GCTAGTCTCGCTTGTGGGCAGCCGGCGATGTCAAGTACAGGGTAATGAAAGTTTGGGCGGGCAATTGAGCGCTTTCAGGACATTGGATGAAATGCAGGCCGCGAGAGAAAAAGGAACCTGCTTGCAACGGACGGGAGCCAACCTTTGACCGCGCCTTTGTTCCAAACGTGCTGTGACACTCGAGAGCAAGAGTGTGCTTCGGTTGTTGGCTTGGTGGCTGGATGTCTGCGGCTTATCAACCACCTGTCAGTGTACCAAGGTACCCTCCCTCACCTTTCTATCATGCTTAGTATTCGTATCCTGCATTTGTACTGCGCAATGGTATACGTCCTCAGTCTCAACCAGTCGGCTGTGACGGCCCGTTGAGCTGGCAGGCCGGCGCTGTTAAGCCATTGAATCCGTTAGCCATTGAATATATCATTTTGTGGCTTCCATTCTTGCATGGGCCGGGCCGCCTCAGCATGTCGCACAAGAGGCAGACTCAACGTCTGACGTCGACGATGACGGTGTCAGCGCCAGCGCGCCAATGCCCCCAGTCCAGCCCACCAGCATCACGATGGCGGCGCATCAACTCTTGCACGTCAAGGATGTAGCAATCTAAAATCAAATCTGTTTTTAGATGGTGGGCTAGGATGGTTTTTAAAGGTAAAACGATGTCTGCCACCTTGATTGATGCCCAAGGTTCTACAGTAGTGTCATCGAATGCCCCGAGACCCCGATGCTCCGATGGTGCCGTCACCTACACGGATACCCCTCATGCATCCTGACTCACGAAGGGTCATGTGCGCTGAAGTCTCTGCTGCTGCTGGGTTGTCGAGCAAAAGTTATATATGATCTAGCTGATAAGATACGCGGATGGGATTATGACGCCGTAAGACGCGGGATGCGTGGGATGGCGGCCTTTGCTACCTAGGGACATGCCGAGGCTGCCATTGCCTACTGGGACAATTGGCAGCCTGTACCAAACTCCTAGAATTGGTGTGGGCGCCATCCTTCGAGTGCCTCGGCAGCTTCGGGCGCTAAAAGAAGCACCCAAAAAAATTCGCTGGGAGAGGTTGCCACACCTGACAGAACCGCTGCGTTTAACTAAATAGTAGATAGTTAAGATAGACTTGCTGAAAAGGTTTGTTTTAAACATCTGTGAGAGGCTTGCGTGCGGGCAATGTTCGACACCACGAGTCTGTACATGAACAATCGATAGATCTGGATTCCCGCCTCTTGGCATACGTAGGAAGAGGTACCTCTCGGCCGAAAAGGCTACCTACAGTGTAGCGCTGTCCAACTGCCATCTTGAGGCTGGCAAGCGAGTGAAACCCTGGTAAAGTATTGAATTCCCAGTCATCTGATTAAATCATGATCATTTGCATACGATAAACCTGTTAAATCATCATAAAAATCCGAGGTACGGCAACGCCGGAAACAGCTTTCAGTCATCCAGTGACAGGGGCCAATGTGGACCAGAGCGCTGCAGTTTTTAGTCTTTGCCGGAGCGTTAGCCTGCTGTGGCGGACTTTGGCGGGAACCTATCGGATGCCGGCTCTGTGATGCAGTCCGTGGTGCAGCTGGCATTTGAGCGGGAGCTGGAAAATAAAGCAGGAGACGGATTATAGTGGTTTATTTTTTTTTTACTTCACTCTAGACTAGACAAACTGCTGATGGGATCACCGTGCCTGCTTGGTCATGAACGGGCCAGCCCCCTAAAGGCACTCGAGTTGCCAGCTCGCACCATGATGGCTTACATTTAGTTCCTATAAGTAATCATTAGAAATATCTGACTAACAACGGCGACGGTCTCAACGTTTGTGTAGTGGCTCGCTCGAGATATCCCTAAGCATCTCGGGCTTCGTGAACTTCGCTTTCGCTGTAGTGGCGCCGAGGCTGCCGCTTCATTTACCTGGCCGAGCGCGAAGAGGACGGCGGAGCGGAGGACAATTGATATATCCGTAACTTGGATGGCTGGATGGCAAACATTTAATGCATGCCAGTACCTAAGTCTTGCATGTGCCACAGCCAAGTTTTCTTAGGGCTAGCCAGCCAAGACCACGTCCCGTCTCATGCCTGAATAAACTTGCTTCGGCCCTCTCGGAAGCGGACCCTCTGCTCCCTCTGTCGAAGTCCCCAATCTACACGCCCCCCCCCCCTCCCCCCCCCCTCAAACTACCTATTGCTACCCCGCCACATGTCTTTCCAAACGTATCTTTCCTGCTTTGCCAAGCGACATTATTACATCAACGATCTGCACCATTGCTCCCGACTTTGCTTTCTACTCTTTTACTCACCATTGCTCGCCGCGCCTGTGCCTGAGATTGCGTTTTTGCTTGCAGTAGGGCCCCTAGCCCCAACGTCCCGCTCTCGACTTCGTCCGCTTCCATTCAGGCTTTTCATTCCTCTCTCTCCTCGACATCGTTACCTTCCATCGCTTTCGCGTTACCCATCTACACCATCATGGCGGACAGCAACGGCAACAACTCTGGCGTCGCTAGTCCCGTGTCCTCTGCCTTTGGCATGCACAAGGGCGGCAGCCCACGACGCAGCACCAGCCTCCGCCACAGCACCATCACTCCCGATAAATTGAGCCTTGATCAATTGTCCCTCGACAAGGGACACAAGGACCTCCGCGATGAGATCCGCGCACAATCTCCTTCCCACACAGGCGTCCACTCCGAGGCCACGCGCAAAATTCTCGCCGGTCTCGATGGCGGCTCAGAATTCAGCAAAACATCGGGCTCTGGTCGCTCCAGCATGGATAGCGTCTGCAGCGCCTCCAGCGCCGACTGGCCAACTCACCCCGGAGAGATTAGCACAATTAGCGAGCTCGCCACTCTGCCCATCGGCTCTCAAGTTCATATTCGAGCCCGAATTCACACTCAACGTCAGCTCTCCAAAGCCCTCGACTTTCTATTGCTTCGTGACCAGACTCAGTCTGTTCAGGCACTACTCACTCGTGACAACATGGACATGGTTAGATGGGTGCAAAAGTTGCAGCCAGAGTCCCTCATCCAGGTCTACGGCACTCTCAAGGAGCCTCCTGCGCCTGTTCGCTCTGCCACTGTCCAAAACGTTGAGATCGAGATTCAAGCACTGCATCTCGTCACCGCTGCCCACAACGCCCCATTCAGCAACTACAAGCCCCCCGAGTCTTTGCGAAACCGCATGTCGGCTCGCTTGCTCGACTTGAGACACCCCGCCAACTACGCTCTCTTCAAAATCCGCTCCATGGTCACCTCCAAGTTCAGAGAAACTCTCGAGAACCAGGGCTTTGTTGAGATTAACACTCCCAAGCTGCAGCCCGCCGCCACCGAAAGCGGTGCCGCCGTCTTCAAGGTCAACTATTTCGGCCGCAACGCCTTTTTGGCACAAAGTCCTCAGCTGTCCAAGCAAATGGCCATCTCTGGCGACTTTGGCCGCGTTTTCGAGGTTGGCCCCGTCTTTCGCGCAGAAAATTCCAATACGCATCGTCACTTGACAGAATATACCGGTCTGGACATTGAAATGGCACTCGAGCACGACTACCACGAGATCATTGACGTTCTCGATCAGTTCCTCAAGTCCGTCTTCAAAACCGTCTATGCCATGCCCGAGGTCGCCGTCGTACAAAAGCGCTGGCCTAGCAAGGAATTCAAGTATCTCGATGAGACGCTGATTTTGGACTTTCGCGATGGTCTCCAGATGCTCCGCGACGACGGCCGCACCGTGGAGGAAGAGGATCTGTCTACTCCCGACGAAATTCGTCTCGGTGAGCTCGTCCGCGAAAAATATGGCACAGACTACTACGTTCTCGACAAATTCCCTGCCAATGCACGTCCCTTTTATACTCACAAAGACGCTGAGAACCCCTTCTGGACCAACTCGTTTGACATCTTCATTCGTGGTCAAGAAATCTGCTCTGGTGGCCAGCGTATCCACGATGCTCAGGAGCTTCGAAGCAGCCTCGCTGCCGCAGGTATGGGTGAGGAGGGCATGGAAGACTACCTCAGCGCTTTTGATCTTGGCGCACCACCCCATGGCGGCGCCGGTCTCGGTCTAGAGAGAATCGTCGCGTGGATGCTCGAGCTCGGCGATGTTCGCTACGCATCTCTGTTCCACCGCGATCCCAAGTCTCTCCCCGAACGCAAACAAACTGTTCTACCCCACCCCGATGCCGACACAACCAAGACTTTGGAGTCGCCGCCTTCCATCGAGAAGCTCATTGCCAACTACGGCGATGCTTCCAATACATCATGGCTCGATGAGAGATTCATCATCTGGAGACACCCTACTGGTGCCGCCGTCGGTTATGTAAGGCAAGGCAAATTTGCAATGGTCACTGGCGACCCTCTTTGCGACGCTTCGCAGTACAAGACCATCGCCACCGCTTTCATCAAATACGTCACAACGGAGCTGCATCTCGTTCCCATTTGGATGCTCGTATCGTTCGATGTACAAAAGATTCTCGGCCACGACCTGGGCTGGCGCACATTATCCTGCACTGAAGAGCAGCGCGTCAATGCCGACAAGATTGCGGCCAACAACGACGGCCCCAAGGCCCGCCGCGTCGAGCGCGAGGGCGTCAAGGTTCACGAGGTAAAGGCCGACGACGACTTCATCCGCCGCGCGGATCCCGCCATCGAAGCCTGGAAGAGCAACCGCAAGGGTAAGCAGGTCCACTTGACCGAGGTCCGGCCTTGGGTCGACAAGGAACACCGCCGCTACTTTGCCGCCGAAAAGGACGGCAAGGTTCAGGCCATGGTTGTGCTCGCCAAGTTATCCCCCAAGCACGGCTGGCAGGTCAAATGGGCCCTCGACTTCCCCGGCGCCGTCAATGGCGCCATCGAGGTCCTCATCGGCCACGCCCTCTCGAGCGTCACGGGCCAAGTCACTTTCGGCGCCGGCGTCTCACAGAAGCTCACCGCCGGCGAGCATCTCCACGGCATCCGCGCCCGCTTCCTCTCCACCACGTATAGCTCCATTGTCGAGAGTCTGGGTCTGCGCCGCAAGGCCAGCTTTCGCAGCAAGTTTGGCGCCCTCGGCGAGTCGGTCTACATTTGCTACCCTAAGCACGGCGTGGGTCTGCGCGACTTGCGTGAGATTGTCAAATTTTTCCAGGATTAAATGAAACCAAGAAGAAGATGTTGCTACTTTCTGTTCTGCGTGTATCTTTTTTTCTGTTGTCTTTTTGGTTTAATTTGCATATCTAACATGTGCATTATCGATCGGTCTGGTGGGATTTCCAGGGGAGGAGGGGGGCCTCTTTTTCAAAATGATGTCTTTGTCGGATAGATGAGGGGGAGGATAGATTAGAGGGAAACTTGAGTATGCCGTCTCTGCCTGTTTTGACTTTGGTCACGATGATGAGGTCCGGGTTCCAGAAGGGAGGGGTTTCAGAAGAGAGACGTGATGAGATAGTTGAACACGATACCAATGCTACGCTTGTTTTTTTTTCTTGATACAGTCTGGTCTATGTGTCTTGGATGCGCATGTTTGACTGCGCATGACTCGTCTTGCTCTTTGATCAACACGTCGTTTAACAGCACTGCCGCATGAGAAAGAGCCCGATGAACAGTCCGGTGATAATTCTGTCAACAACCAACAAGGATAACAAGAGATCTGGACATTGTGTCGCGGGCAAGACATTTAAATCAACAAGAGCTTGGACAACTCTTGTGTATGTTCATGCAGTCGTGATGATGCAACGAAGTAAAACATGTTCCATTCTTCTATTCAAGTAGGCCTGAGGAGTAGTAACAATAATGATGATAAAAGAAAAATTTTAGTATTCGTTATTCTTGAGACGCGTGAAATGCACCACTCAGTCACCGTGCTGGCTAGTCGACTTCACAACTCAGTCAAACACATCTGCCATGAAGCGCTCGTTGCGCAGGTTATCCAGCCACGCCCTCGCCGCCTCGTCCGTAACCTCCTTTGACTTTTCCCTCTCCGCATTTTCCTTGACCAGCTCGACGCACGCATCCTCGATGCCCTTGCCGACCGCCCTGCTGCCGCACAGGTACAGCCTTGCGCCCTGGTCCCAGAGCTTGTAAATCTCGTCCCGGTCGTTGCTCAGGCGCTCCTGGACATACTTGCAGCCGTGCGACTTGTCCGTCGCGCGCGAGTATGCGTGGCGCACGTCAATCACGCCCATCTTCTGCCACTCTGCGAATTGCTCCGCGTACAGGTCATCCTCGCCGGGGGCGCGGCAGCCGAAAAAGAGCAGCGCGGGAGCGAGCTTCCGGCCGGCGGCAATCATGGCGGCGCGCTCCTCGGCGAACCCGCGAAAGGGGGCGAGGCCTGTGCCGGCGGCCACGCAGATGATGGGCGTCTTTTCCGTGTCGGCGGGGAGGTGAAAGGCGGCGGAGGGCCGGACAGCGACGTGGATCTTGTCGCCCTCGTGGAGAGAGAACAAGTAGTGGCTGGCGACGCCGACGTGGCGGCCTTGGCCCGAGTGGGCCGGCACGTCGAGGAGGGAGTAGGTGAGGGTGACGCGGGTAGGGTCAACGAGGGGAGATGACGAGATGGAGTATTGACGGACGCGCATGGGGGGAAGCATAGCGAGGAACGACTCAAAAAGCAGGCCAACGGCGGGGAACTTTTCCAGCAGGTCGAGGGCAGAGAGTCGCTTCGCAGTGACTTCCTCGGAGAACTTGTCTCCGATGAGACCCTTTAACGCAGTAACAGTCTTTTCGTCCTCGGTCGAGTCAATCATGGCCTGTATGTTCCTCTTCGTGGCAGGCTGGCTGAGCTCAACGTAGGCGCCGAGGACGTTGGTGGCGGAGATGGGGACGCCAGTTGGCAGTGTGGTCGGGCCGTTGGAAGTAATGGTAAAAGTGGCATCCCAGCTGATCGAAAAGCGACGAAAGACACGAGCAATAGTCGCTGCGGGGTTAAATGGCAAGACGGCCAAGTAATCGCCAGCTTTGTAAGTCATGCCGGTAGGAAGCCTAATCTCAATGTGTTTCTTGACAGATTGCGTCCCCTTGGTCAGTACCTTGGTGTCAATGACGGCAGCTTCTTCGACGTCCTGGCGAAGAGTCGTCTTGCGTGGGTGCGTAATCTCGACTGTCAGGGCAGAAGCACCCTGACCATCTTTAGTCTCGTCGGCGCCATACTTTTTCTTAAGGGCGGGCCACAAGCATTCGTCCTCCCAGGTTTCGAAATCGCTAAACATGTCGCGGTCAGCGGCGTCGGTGCCGGTCATGGGAATGATGCGGTCGGCGCCGCGCTCGGCCATGGTAGCGTCGACGAGCTTGGGGATCTTGTGGAAAGTCTGGGCCCAGTCGTGGTGGCCACAGCCAAAGACGGCGTAGGATACATTCTTCAACTCATCACCCTTGAGACTTTTGAGCCAGTCGACGAAATGAGCGGCATTAGATGGCGGTTCGCCCTCGTATGAGGCAGTGACAATCACCACTGGGCGGTCAGTGGGAAGCTTTTGGTTGACATTGTCCAGTGGGCCAATTTCGGTGACCTTGAAACCATGGGCACTAGCATCAGCAGCGGCTCTCTGTGCCAAGGCTTCGCATGTGCCGCTGTTGGAGCCGTAAAAGACTGACAATGGCTTGCCATCGCCAGCAGAGGCAGCGACAGGAGTATCAGCCCCATCCGACGACTTGGAGTGAACCGTACCGCCCTTGAGCTGGTCCTCAAGCTCGGTAGCACTCATACCATGGCGAAGGGTCGCGCGCATGAAGAAGTTGTGAGGCTTAAGAGTGAGCGTCTCTTGTATCTCCAGGGTATAGTTGGGGTCGTCGAGGGTAAAGTTGAAGTTCTGGAAGAGAATGGCCATGGCAAGGACAGCTTCTTGCCAAGCAAAAGGTCTGCCAATGCATGCGCGCTTTCCGTTTCCAAAAGGCTTCCATGCGCTGGGAAACTCTTTGTTGAGACGGGCAAAATTCTCATCAAGCATGCGCTCAGGCTTGAAGTCGCTGGCGCTGTCGCCATAGACGCTGGGGTCAAGATGGGATTTGGCGAGGAGCAGAGTGAGACGATGCTCCTTGGGGATGAAGTATTTGCCGCCGAGCAGAGTGTCCTCTTTGGCTTCGACACTAAAGGCTGGGATGGGAGCGTTTACGCGCAACACCTCGCGGAGGACCTAAATATTTTTAGTAACGGGCAGAAATACAATGGCACACGAGGTCAGTGATAAGGCCTACAAACGTACAGCTTGGATGTAGGTGAGCTTGGAAATGTGCTCAACAGTGATGCGATCTCTGCCCACAACAGCGTCAACTTCTTCTTGCACCTTACGATACTCGGCAGGATGCTTGAGAAGCTGGTAGAATGCGAAAGAGAGCGTTCCTGACGTGGTCTCATGGCCAGCAATGAGAAAGGTAATGAGCTGGTCAGTGATGCTTGCGTCTGTGAGTCTCTGGCCATCCTGAGGATCTTTTCCGTCAAGCATGGCACTGAGCAGATCTTTTCGCTCGCTGGGGTTCGCTCTACGGTTGGCAACGACTTCGTCGGCGACGTCGCGCATGGTCTTGATATCCTTTTCATACTTTTCGTCGACGGCGCGGTAGAAGAACTGAGGAGCAAATGTAGGGCGACGGTTCCGGGCACCCGACTCTGTCAGAAAGTCACCCATGGCGCGGACAAAGGGGTGCAGTTCCTCGCGGTAGTACGAGTTGAAGCGGTAGTCCATGGCGCAGAGGGCGACTGTGTCGAGGGCGAGACGGGTAAAGTCGTCGGAGGCGTTGATGCGGTCGCCCGAGTGGCGAGCAAACTTCATGGCCATCTGCGAAGCAATGTCGTGCATCTCGTCAAACATGTTGCGAATGGAGAGGGGACCAAAGGCGGGAACGAGGATGCGATGGGCTTTGCCCCAGTTGGGCTCCGTCTCTGAGTCGGCAGTGAAGAGGCCGTCGTGAATGGCGTTGCGCACCTTGCCCAGGGTACCGCCAACCGTCTTTTTGAAACGACGCTCATCGCAGGCGTCATTGACGAGCTCGCGGGAGCTGACAACGCAAAAGGCGCTGCCTCCTAGATGCATGCGATAGATTTCGCCTGGCGCGCGTTTAGTGTTAGCAGAATGGAGGAGGGGTGTGACTGTGATGGGCCAAGTCGACACTTACCGTATGTGTCTGCGAGACGCTTGAAGTCGTTGATGGGGCTTGTTCGCATCTCGCCCAGATTACCAATGAATGGCAGGCCCGGAGGCTCGGGGATGGGGATGGACTCGGCCATTGTGATGGTAGTGGTTCTGGAGGATGGTGTTGCGGGTGTCTGGTCGTCGAGCAGAGCATGTTAGCGGAACGGCAGCTCGATACAAATGTGAAGATTGGGAATATGGAGCTGGTAATGGCATTGTGATGAATTGACGTGGTGCGAATGTTGTTGGAAGAAAGTTGTCGAGCGTTTGTGTCGTGTCTGGTAGAAGCAGGATGAGGGGCACGTACCAAACGAGGAGAGCTCCCAAAACGGTAGCTATGGTGTTGGCCCGTCTATCGCCCAAAAGAGTTGGTCGTATGCTTCGTTGTGTACAAGACAAGACAGATGAAATGAAGACGTATCAAGAATGTTGCTGATAATTGGTGTAAGCTTGCCGAAAAGAATAAAGTTGATGATGATGAGGCCGCTCACCATTGTTGACGAGGGCGCCTCCAGTATATAAACTCCTATGCGAAAGCTTCCTGTTCCATCGGATAAGGAGCTAAACCACAAAGAACTACCTCAAATCATGCATGACGAGGGGCGGGCGGGCCAAGAAACTCCAACAGACTGAGCTAAACCACGGTAAATCAAGACTCCGGTTCGATGAAGCTAGCAAAACGGCATGAAAGAGCCAAGAAAGCCTATGCGGTGCGGGCGCCGCAATTGGCGGCGGCCGAGAGCATTTCCGGTACACGGCAGCGAGCAACAAGTCCGGACTTGGAGAAGAGGTGGCTGAGACGCCCAGAAAAAATACCGTACCCAGCCCCGGTATGCAAAAGTGATGTACGCTAAAAATAATAAAATAAGAGGAGGCTTTTTTCCTTCGCTTTTCACCAAACCCACAACATTGGTTGGTTGGTTGGTTGGGTGAGCCTGCGAAACCCCCCGGCCGGCCGGGCGGTGGCCCCGAAAAGCTGCCCGTCATCAGCGAGCCCCAGTCAACCCGATGGGTTGTGGGCTTCGCGCAGGAGAAGAAATTGGTAAACCCGAGTGGGTGATTGGTGAGGAGCGGCTGCGGGCAACGGGGTTTTGCATACCCATCTCTTCTTGGCCCCCGTCATCCCTGTTCTGACGCTATGGCGCGGCGTGAGGGGTTTCACAGATATGCTCTTTGAACTTTGGAAAGTAATTAACAGTTATTCTCTCGAGCTAGATACTGTCCAGTTGCAATAAGTCGTAGTAGTCCGTCAGTGTAGTTGGGTATTCCTGGTCTTCTACGAATAATATTGGTGGTTGGTTAGAGTCAAGAAGACGACATTTGATGCTACAGGCAGCTGAGTTCGGCCGTCACCTGTGCATTAAGAAGCACCAACTACGTAATTGTCAGTTGCTCCTGAGATTCGCACCTCGCGTGCCCTAATAATAGAGATTGCAACTCGTCATCTTCGAATCCATAACGGAGCCGCACCATACGGGTACCTGACTTGTCTGGTGTCTTTCTGAGTGCCCCTCTCCGGAGCCGCCCGTGGACAGCGCAGAAACGGGGTTTATAGCGTCGAAACGGACTTTATAACTTCAATGCCGCCAAAAAAAAAAAAAAGTACACGAGGCATCGGCCCGCAAACGGGGTCAGCGGGGCGCTAAAACCACTGCAACAGAGCTCCTCCAACGTTTGTGGCCCTGTAAGAAGTAACGATTTCCCACCCTGTCAACTCAGTGCCTGTATTGATGCCCTGCAGGCTGCAGCTGTAGTAGAAATCTGCCAAGCTTTCAGTGTGGCGGTCGCCAGACCCCAAAAAAGCACCGCCACCAACCCAAAGCTCGGCCTCTACAGGGCTTTACAGGGCTTTACAGGGCTCGGAAAATAAATCACCGCCCGGTAATACCGTTGGTCGATTCCTTCGACTTATCAATCCTTATCCAATTTTTATATTACATGCGCATTTGGCTCATGAACACACCCATTTTCTTCAAGTACCGCCTGGCTCCCACATCCAATACTTGTTCCCCAGTGCGCTCCTCGTCTACCCGTTGTCCCATAGTCAATATGCTTGCTTGCCCTACGTCTCTGCAGTCTCACCTGCACTTAGGGAATGAACCCATGATTGTTCTCTGTTTTTGGTCTCATCATAAAAAGAAGCAAAGCTCTAGTATAATGCAAAATTCATGTGCAACAAGTTTTTTTCGCTGGCGTCTCTGTTCTGTCCCATTCCAGCTTCGGCCCATCTTCGACCAGTTGCCAGTAACAAACTCAAACTTATCCTCTGTAATAAATCCACATACTGCTCTTTCAAGCTAATAGTCAACGACAAGGTCAGAGAAAAAAAAAAGCAAGCCATGATACAAGATTGATATCAACGCTTGGCCTGCAATACCATCCTTACTGAAACAAAAATTTTTTGCGGTCCATTATCAAAGTAGGGAAACGCGATAATGATAAACACACAAAACTTTCAGGTCGCCCTTCCAGCTTTCATTCTCTCTTTTAATGCCGTCTGCTTCCGCCTGAAGATCGCCCTGATGACGGATACCATCTGCTTTGACTGCTCTCGTGGGTACTTGTTCGGCGAATGCTTTGCGGAGGGCTGCGATTTCTCGAGCTTCGCGGAGGACTGCGATCTCTCGTGGCTCTAGAGCTTGTCGACGACCTTGAGCTGCGTCTGTCAGAACCTGAGGTGCCGTGGCGAGATGAGCCTCGCTCACCATGGCTTCCATGGCTACCATGGCTACCATGGCCACCATGGCCACCATGGCGTAAGGAGAGAAGCCGCATTGCTTCTGTGATGCTGTACGATCCTGAGGATCCTGATGCTGAATGTTCATCGTCTGGTGATCGGCGAGTGCGCTGTGAATCGCGTCGATCACCCGCACTGAATCTTGGTATCGAAAAGCGATCTGATCTACGTCCATGTTCGCTCCGCGTTCGGCTTTGCTCTGGCAGTCGACGAGGCTCTGCCGCGGGTCCGTCGCCTCCACCCGCATCTATCGCCGCACGACATACGGGACAAGTGTCATGATCCTTCAACCACTCCAAACCACATTTCTCATGGAATAAATGCTTGCAGGGTAAGGTTAGCGCTACCTGACCCGCTGTCAGGCTGTCCATACAAATTGAGCAATCCGTGTCGCCATCCGTGCTGCCTGCGCGAATGGTCTTGCGTGGTAGATTGGCCAAAGCTTGCTCTGAAGTCAATGGTCTCACAGGCACGTGTGGGGTCAGAGTTGAAATGATTTGTTCCAATGCCTCGTCTGTGACAGCGTCCCCTTGCATCCCGCTGGTGCTTCTCGCTGTGTTCGGATCCGCGCCGCGACCCTGTCTAGCTGCCGCGCTGGCAGCTTCACCAGGATGTTGACCCTCATGATCATGGAATACACTGCTGAAGATCCTGATTGTAAACTATTAGTGCGAGCTTCAGAATGTGGCGTGTCTTGTAAAATAAAGAGATATCTCACTCATGAAATGGATCAGAGCCTGGCGGTGCGTGTCCTGGAGAGTGGTGGAATGTTACAAAGCCTCGAGATGTCCCGTCGTCCCACTCATGGTGCCCTCGGCCATTATGAGATGCCTCGTGTAGGTGATGCCTCATGTTGCCCCCCCTTGGCATGCCAAGATCCGACGCAACATTGAGAAATCTTTCTACGCTTTGCCCAGGAAAGGCGTGGTAGTGATCTGCGCCATGTCCTATTCGGGTTGAGTGGTGGTGCCCGAATCCGTCTCCGTGCGCGTGCGCGTGCATATGATAATGAGGACCATGTACGTACTCGTCCTCTCGATGTAAATCTCTGTCCCTCAGTGAGGGAATATAAAGATAGACTTCCTCGTATTCGGAAGCAGAGGAGGAGGAGTAGCCCAAGTCGTCGGAGCCGCCTTCGCGCGCTGGGCGCGGGTCATTTTCCAAAGTCACCTACAGATAGAATCAAGAGTGTTAGCAAATACGTGGCACGGTGTGTAAGATTGCCAAATAGCTGAAGGGTCAGTGCTCACGATTTCTGTGATCTCGCCGAAACACGCAGGACACATTAATCCCCATTCACGGCCATACCACTCAGATGAGCACGTATGGCAAAAGACAACTTCGCGGGCCTCCGCATTAAGACGCCGATCAAAAGGCATCTTGGCCTGCCTACGTTGATACGCACCAAGGACGCTTATACCAAACCAGCAGCGAGATCAGCGAGGCGGAAAGCACGTGAAGTGAGACTGAACAAAACCGTGGCAAAGCGTACTTTGTCGGGGTATTCGGGGGGTGGGTGAAGCAAGCCCGGCACCGTGGTTGTAGTGAAATCGCCTTGTGATTCGGCTTCGTCTCAACGGTATTGTGAGGGTATTGTGTTATCATGTAGACGCTAATTAGTAGAGAGTTGGCTGATATGATGCGCGGCAAGAGGCTTGGCCGAGGTTGCTGGGATTCTAGTGAGGCGATGACTGGATGTGTTGGAAAGCTGTGATGCGCGTCAAACTGAAATCGTATAGCGGTGAGTCGCGGCGAAGGCTGTGACAGGCAAACACCTAAATCGGAGAAGAATGGCACATGAAAGAAATCAGAAAAATCAAGATGAAAAAGTGTGCAAGAGAGAAAGGAGCAATAGGTAAAAGGAGAAAGTTTGTCTTAAAAGGCGTTTTGAGATGGCTTAAATATTAACCTGAACTTCCAGGTGCGATGTCACTGAATAATCAGGTTCGACGGCCCCCAGCCCGACCAGCGCAGAGCGGCGGGGCGAAAAATAAGGGTAGGTACCTTAGAGAGATACCTGTCGGGCGCTCTTGATATGGTGCAACTCCGAGGTATCCTTTTAGTACAGGCTGAGGACCACAGATAGATGGGTGAACAAGTTGGACAAGCAATATTTGACTAGCATTTTCTGGGCATAAGATTATGGCTCTTTGCTCACCTAGTTTGACTTACTTTGATAAGACACTATTTGAAACTTTGGGGAACCGCTACTATTGATAGGACAGCTAGGCGAATCGCTTGGCCTGGAGAACGGATTACCGCCTGCATAACTCGGCGACGGGAGTGCAAGAGTTGAAGAGACGGAAAGGCACAGCACGGGACCACCACCTGAGACGCAGAGCTGACATACAAAGGCAATACTCAGCTGCAGATAATGGCTCAGCCAGCATGCCAGATAACCGGGTTCTCCTATCATTAGCACAGAGCACCCATATGACAGCACCCCATCGTTTCTCGTAGAACAAATGCAGAGATGAACTTTGACCATGCCAGAAAGTCGACAAAAAGTTGATGTGATGAATCCTCTACCGTTGTATACCTATATGTACATACTCAGCTGCTCGCGCCCCTTTCCTCATCTTACAGTTGTTTGTGCATTTATTGGTTCTTGCTCTGCTCGGCTTGGCTCTCCTCTTTGTCCCACTGAATCAGTTGTCTCGACCAGCTGCCAAAAGTTAGCATTCTGTACCTCTTCCAGAAAGCGTGAATCACTGCGACCCCGTCGTTTCAACATTCGGCTTTTTCATTCCGGCGATGATTAAGCTCAAGGTGGAACCAGATGTGTTGCCTTTGCTATATCCACGTACCGTCTGCTAGGATACCACTCGCCAGGTTGAGGCCTGTGTGCCCATTGTTCCCGGTCGGCGCCAAACTTCCAAGTGACAGCGACAATGCCAAAGATGACGGCGCCGGCAACCAGGGTGTTGCCCCTCCAGTTGGCAGGCTGTGCGTACCAACCACCGGCCGGCGACCAAACGTGTTTGGGATAGCTATTTCCCGTGTGTGATTAGCCATAGATCCATTTTTCCCTTCTTCCATAACGAGAGTCATCCGGCGCGGTCCGTCGAGGTCGAGGAGGTCATCGTTGTCCATCGCGACAAAACTTACGGAACCTTTCCACCGCCACCCTGTCCTGCTGTTAGCAACCTTTGACGCGGCGATACCTTGATATTATTAATAACTCACCATTTTCAATCAATTGTCAATGAACGCTGTGTTGTGTTTGATATTTGGATGCGCAACTGCGTCGTCAGGATGAGCTTGTTCTCGGCAGTCCAAGGTGGACGTCCTAACTATCCGCCAAGGTCGCTGTAGCGGGACCAGGTTAATCCGGTGCCGACCTTGCTAGGCCGCAAATTAGCACCTGCAGAGCCAGGTTACCCCCAAATCCCAAGCTCACACGACTCTAGCAGAACTTTTTCCCGTGAGCCGTTACATAAGAACCACGACACGACATAAACCGCCGACTTCTTTTCCTCGATTCCGTCCACGCAAACAGTCTCCTCCATCATCAATTTCCGGGGAGTCAAGGCGTTGCCCGTCGGCAATTCCTTTTTAGTTGCTGTTCCTATTTCTAGCAGATTTGCCGAGTCGATGAAGAGGTTACGGGTGTCACAATGGAGCGGCCACATGCGCCTCGCTGCCCGGCAAGGAGTTGCCGCCGTGCCTAGACGGCACGCTTTCTCGATATCCGCGCGCTGCCAATCGACCACTACCACAACCGAAGCATCCACTCTCACAGACGACACCCCTTTCGAAGGCGCCTTTTCCACAGCCAACCCTCTCCCCTCGCCGCCCCCTGCCCGAGCCCTCGAGTCGGCCAAGCTCGCCGCGCTGCACGCCCGTCTGGCGCTGCCCATGTCGATTCCCCTACAAACGATAGCACGCGCCCTTGTTACGTCCTCGGCCGACGGCAACCAAAATTTCAACAATGCCAGCCTCGCGGTGCTGGGCCGATCCATCATCAACTACCACGTCCTCGAGTACCTCGTGTGCAAGTGGCCGCGCCTGCCCATTGCTATCCTCTACGAGGCGCTCCGGGCCTTTGCAGGCCGTGAGTCTCTGGAGCAGGTTGCGCGTCGCTGGGGTGTCGACTCTGCCGCCGCTCCCGGCGAGGAGGTCGATCCTGGCCTGCTGCAATGGAAGCCCGACCCCATCGTGGCGCCCAATTCGCGCTGGGCATACGTTCGCGCCGAGGCGGAGCGTGGTCAGCACTACCGCCGTGGCATGAGCAGTCGTGTCGTCCTCGACGATGCCTTTGGCGACACCTACCAAACAGCCGACGAGGGCGAGCCGGGCCTGGCCAAGATGCAGGCCGGCGCGTACACGTCGTTTGTCGAGGCCGTGATTGGCGCCATCTACGCGCACGCGGGAGCCGACATGGCCAAGACATTTGTCAACTCACACATTCTGTCGCGCGAAATCGATCTCGGCCGCATGTTCCAGTTCCAGCTGCCGACGCGCGAGCTGGCCATGCTGTGTGCGCGAGAGGGCTTCGAGGCGCCGCGCGCCCGCCTGGAGAGCGAGACGGGTCGCCGGTCACGCACGCCCGTCTTCATCGTGGGCATCTACAGCGGCAGCGAGAAGCTCGGCGAGGGCGCCGGCGCCAGCCTCGACGTGGCCCGCCGCGTGGCGTCTATGAATGCCCTCAAGGCATGGTACATGTACAGCCCCGGCAACAAGGTCCGCGTACCCAGCGATATGACACAGCCCGACGCCAAGCCCTGGAAGGCACCGCACATTGATATTGGCGAGATTATTTAGACGAAAGCAGCCCCCCAACTATTCATAGGAAGCGAAATCGGTTTGCATGGTGGAGGAGGATGAGGTGCGTGTACCTGTTTTTGTATCAACATGATGGTGTGCGAAGTCAAGAAAGAAAAAGCATAGAATACTGTGAAAAATTTTGGCCGACACGGCGTGTCGTGGAGGTTCTTTTGGGGCATCAAAGGGCCCCTCTTGTACAACTCTTTTTTCTACCTGAAATCTACATTTGTAAAATACACACACACAAAAATTTTATCTCGACATGTGTAAACAAAGGGAATGCAAAATATTGCAAATCAAAATGCCGACTCCCCAAGGACTTGACGTGCAGCTAGCTTTTACTGCTGGCAAAATTTTCGAGAGTCCTTGCCGTACTCTTCTCCCCCCAAAGCATCTAATTAAAAAAAAAAAAAAAAAATATAAACATTAAATCAAAGAAACCGCATTCGTCAGCTTGCGCAGCCTCTGCTCCTCGGCCTTTTCTTCCCTCTTCATCCGCAACTGCTTCTTGCGCTCATACACGGCGCGGACCGTGTTGCGAACCTGGGCTTTGCCCTCGTCATAGTTTGCGCGCGCCAGACGCACCACGTCGTCAATGTTGTCCGGGGTGTAGATGAAGTTCCAGGTGCTCATAAAGTCGCTCTCGGCGGGCGACACGCCGGGCACCTTGTCGTTGGGCAAGAACGGCACGTAGACGACGGCGAGGCCGGCGTTGGGGTCCGACAGGCGCCAGTGCTCCGTCTCGGAGACGGGCTGCGTGGCGGGCGCCTGCTCCGTGGTGGTGCGCTCCTCGGTGGTGCCGATCCAGACGGTGCAGTAGCCGAGGTCGCTGACCTTTTGGCTCTGCTGCTGCTGCTGCTGCTGCTGCTGCTGCTTCTGATCCGACTTGGCCTGCTCGATTTTGGCGTCGGCTTGGGCGGTCGAGTGCGCTTCGGCCGCCTTCATCTCATGGACGGCCTTGATCTCGTCCTGGGGCCAGCCGACGCCGACCGGCCAGCCCTTGATGCCGCGTTGGCGCGCGTAGCCGTCGGCAACGGCGAGCCAGTTGTCCGTCTTGATGTCGGCGGACGCGTCAAACGAGATGAGAATGTCGACGCCGCGGCCCGGTCGGAGCAGAGGGTAGATGGGCAGATTGTTGGACATGCCGGCGTCCATGAGCTGAATGTGCTCGTTTTCGTACATGCTGGGCGTGGCCGTCTTGGCGAGCTTGCCGTGCATTTGGTAGGCGTAGTTGGGGATGATGGCAGGGTCAATGGGATGCACCGTGGCGAGAGTACTGTCCTGTCCTGCGATTAACTGATCGATTTTGCCGAATCCTGTCAAGCTTTTGACAATGGGCTGGATCTCTTTGTAGTAGTGGCTCAGGGTGGCGCAAAAGGCACTGCCAAAGATGCCCATCATCAGAGGCGCGCGAATCTCGGGGAGATGCGAGCCATGCGCCAGAGGCACGTCCTTGCCGTCCTTGAAGCGGCGCCCGAGAGCCCAAGTGGGAATGCCAGCGCCAATCTCTTCGCAAAAGACTTCATAAGGGGTGATTTCGAACCACTGGAACCAGGATTCCTTCTCGGCCTTTTCGAGCTGCTTTTTGGTGGTGGACACGTCCTCGGACGACGTTGTCTTGTCCTTGCCTTGTTCCAAGCCAGGAATCTCGTGACGAACAGCGGTATAGATGGGGAGCGGGCGGTCACCGTCTCTTAGAATTCCTCTTTGGTTGGAGATTTTAAAGTCCCGGTCGTTGACACCGAGTTCGCCCTTGGGGACCAGGAATCTGGCGCCAAGCAAGAGGCCGTAAATGTCAACCAGGCCAAAATCCGCGTTCTTGTCGCCGCGAATCTTTTCGACGACGCCGCTCAGCAGAGGCCGCGAGGTGGGGAGGGAGGTGAACGCTTGCAGGGCAACCGGGGGGTAGGCAATGTGAGTAGAAGTGCGCGCCTTGAGATGTTCCAGAAGCGAGGGAATGCTACCCTTGTTGAAGGAAGTCAGGTACAGAAGCTGCAGCCAGCAGGATCCGCTGACACCAGCGGTATAAGTGGCGCAGTCAAAGAGGCCGTCCTCTGCGGCGGCCAGGAGAGAGCCGGTCCCAGCGATGAGAGCACGGAGACCGCCGCCAGAGCCGCACATGGCAATGGTGGGAATATCGTCTGGGTGGATTTCCTTTTCGTCAATGTCCAGATACTTGGCCAGAGCAGCTCTCGTCTTCTTCTTGCGGCGGGCCAGAAACTCCTTTTCGTCCGGGCACAGTTCATCCGAGACGCGGACCTCTGCGGTGTACTGAATTTCCGGGTGCACAGAGGCGTCATGCGCTTCTGCCCACAGCTCCTCGGCGAGAGACCCCGGCGCATCGGAGAGCTCGTGCTGGAGTTTGCGAATGAAGCTCGGAATCTGTCTCGACCACTCGGGCAAGATGAAGCCGACCAGCTTTTCAGAAAAAGCCGACCACTCCTTGTCCGCGGCAGCGGAGCGCTCTTCCAGGCCCTTTGTAAAGGAGCCCCAGGCAGTCTCATCTGTTGTTGATGCCTTCTTCTTGCCGCCGCCGCCCTCTTGCTCCTCCCCCTCCTCCTCGTCCTCCCTTGATGCTCCCTCATCGGCCTTGCTGGCGGCCGACGGATGAACCAGGGTCGCCTTCCCACGCTTGCCCGACAGACGGTCAAAGTCTTCCGAGGGGTAGAGCAGCCAGACGAGGAAGCCTCCTGCGACAATGGCGGTGGTGGCGGACGCGCGGCGCCGCTGCTTGGCCGCCGTGAACAGGCTGTTGGAGAGTCTCAGCGGCGAAAAGGCAGGCTGCCGCCAGCGGCGGCGGCCCACGCTTGGACGGAGGCCGTTGGAGGCCAATTGGCCAAGAATCTTGCCCGGATGCTTCATTCTGGCAATGGGAGGTTGGGTGCGACGCCCCGAGGCGGACGATTCTTTTTTTTTTTTTGTTCCTTGAGGCAGCGATTTTTTTCTTCTTGGGATGTTCTAGTATGGAAACGGCTAAAAGAGAGCGCTTGCGGGCAGATTCGCGATGGGCTGACTTTAAAAAAGGCGAACGCTCATAGCCGTCTAATTAGGCTAGCCAAATCTGGACCTTTTCTCAGCAAGGCTGAAGCTTTTCCTTGGTGCTATGTGGGGGCACGGAAGCTATCAAGAAGCGACTGTTCCTGGAAAGACACCTTCTTTTGTGCCTATTTTATAGTAGTTATTGATTTTCTAAATGATAGAAATCCTTTTTATATTGCAAATTGATTCATTGTTGCAAAGAAGACAGCATCAAGAGCCAATCGACGAGTGGCGGTTCCTTTCTTGGTTACTTGTCAGTGTGTCACTAATCGAGGTCCCAGCGGCTTCAATTACAGCGAATTACGTCACTATAAACCCCACTGTAGCGGTTCTTCAGTAGGGCTCGATCTTTGGAAAAGTCCACTGTGGCGCACTGGCACGTGTAATTTCACTGCGCATACGACGGTCTTATTCACAACGGCTATCAGAACATCATGGGCTGACTGGGCCCTTGGAGAGCTGGAACTGCAGCTCGCGAGCGCCGCTGTTGCTGGGTGGTTAGCAGAGAACAAGTTGGTGAGCAGGCCACCTCAGGCGTCACCGGCGAAGATGGCCCGGTGCATCGACGAGCCCCGGCCTGGCAGAGGCGACAGCTTCCAAGGGCTGCGAATAGGTGGGCTGGCTGACTTGGCCCCGGAAAGCTAGGACCGCGGCTTGCGAGTGGTGCTGTTGCGGTTCGCAGAGAGCACATCGTGAGCAGGCCGCTCGGAGCTCTGCGGTACCGGTGAGCCCGGTCTGGCAGAGGCGACGGCGGGACCGCGATGGGTTGACTCTGCCTCGGAAAGCTGAGATCGCGGCTCGCGAGCGGGAGTGGTGCGGTTCGCAGAGCGCACGTCGTGAGCACGCCGCATGGGGCTTTGCGGCACCGGTGAGACGGCCGGGTGCACTGGCGAACCTGGCCTGGCAGAGTTGACGGCGGCGCGGCGATGGGCTGGCTCGGCTTTGGAGAGCTGGAGCTGCGGCTCACGAATGGCGCTGCCGGCACCGCTCGCGCCAGCGGGAAGGGATGGCTGGTCGCTCGGCGCCGTTTGATCGGAGCCATCAGGTACAGGCTTCTCAGATACGGCGCCCACATCGCCTACAGGTACAGGTCGCAGTTCGGCGAGCCTTTTGCCTAGCATTTTCCCTGCAAAGGGCCGCTTCGGGCCGGGAGATTCTTGCCCCGCCTCCGCATCGTCCTCGAGACGTCGCTTCGATCCGTGGCCGGGGAGAGGACGTATCGTGCTGAGCCCCGATGACTGAACAGGGTCGCCCTCTTTGTTGTTTCTCGGTGTCTTCGAGCAGGTAGGAATCTCCGTAGGTAAACTAGTCGCTCGCCGGGGACAAGTCATGATCCGTGATGGTTCGTTGACGGGCGGCAGGGACATGGCCAGCTCGTAGCAATCAGCGGCCGTTGGGCGCTGCTTAGGATCCACAACAAGAAGATTCTGCAACAAGAACCTCTGCAAGCCTTGCAGATCCGCCTCGCAAGTGCTTTGCGTCTGCTCCCGAACCGCGTCGCAGTATGCCTGGTTGATGGCTCGGTTCCGAGGCCACTGCGGTTTGCCAAACAGCACCTCGCTGAGCATGGCCCCCAGTGACCATAGATCGCAGACAATTGAGTAGCAACCGCCCCAATTACTTCTGCTTTTGATTACTTCGGGGGCCATGTATATTTCTGTGCCGCAGTACGATTGGGGGACAGAGATGTTTGTGGCTTTTGATTCGCCAAAATCTGCGAGTCGAATCCTGAAAGGCGTCAGACTCTCAACGAGAATGTTTGAGAGCTTCATGTCTCTGTGAGCAAAATGTTTTGCATGCGCGTGTTTGAGGCCGGCCAGACATTGCTTTAACAACTCCATGACGTGGCCGAGCGTGAGTTCCAGACCCTTCCAAATCTTCTCAAGACTACCGAGTTCATAATACGGCAAGCATATGGTCCATTGAGGAACTTTGACATAGTGTAGGAGCGGTACAATGTTTTCCTAGCCAAGAAATGAGCGCCAAAGAATTAGCCGTCATTGTCAGTATGTAAAAGACGTCTGCAGCTTACATGCTCTCCGAGCCTTTGCATGATGCTTATTTCGTTTTCCCATTTCTCCGCGTCGTAGTTCCCGATTGGCGTCTTTTCCACATAATCCTTGCCCGTGCTCATGTTTATCCAGCGTGTTGCCTGGCCGAATGACCCCATGCCTATGTTGCAATCTAGATACAGCGGACGGGTGCTGGGGGTGTGCATTTCTGTTGCAGTAGCTGTCTGCCCTCGGCTCTTCAATAACATGCCATGAATATCTGCATTACTCAATGTGTTGGCAGAAGTATAAAGATCTCTCCATTTAGGAACAGAGAGATCTTCACCACCCGATAAAGCAGAAGTATAAGGAATATCTTCATCAGTCATTTGGCTGCGAAACTGGTCAATCAACGATGCAGAGCCATCATCGGCGAAGATAGCATGGTTGATCAAGGCCTTCAATTTCAAGATAAACCCCATTTGGATCTCGATGGCCTCTTCGTGGAATTGATCGATGCCACCAATGATCCACGTAAAGTGGCAGCGTCTGTCGGGAATCTTGTCCGAATAGGAGACCACTGTGCCGTTTGCAGACCTCAAATCTTTGACTACCAAGTGCTTTTTGTCGTCAAAGGTGATACAAAGATGTTTGCTGCTAAGCCCCAAGTCACCAAGCAATTGGAAGTCGCATCCCGGGTCAGCGCCAACAAGGAAACCTTGAGGATGCCTGCGGACGGTATCGAAGCGAAACTCGATATAAGGCTGGCCGTCAAACGCATCTTCATTGCTGACAGCAGGCGTCTCATCTTTTCGTGTTTGAGCGCGTTCACGACGATCATTATCAACACCATCGTTTATCGGTTGCCTACTGCGGCGTGGGCGGCAATAATGTGCGCATTTTTGCATGCTATTATCGGTGGTTGTTTCGCCGTACGGAATTGCATAATAGAGGCGCAAGATGACATTCTTGTCCATGTTACGTCTTTGTGCGACGAGACGGTCAGTTGTGTCCATTGTTAGACTTGAAACGTAGTACAAATGAGCACAGTTGCGTTGGTACAAATTTTGGCATCTGCGGATGCACCATGCCACTATATGGGAGGACAGGAGCCAGCTTACAAAGTGGCCAAGGCGTGGGCTTCGGAGCGGGAGTCATCCTGCATCAACAAAGGCTTGATCAGGAGGACTAGAAATGATTTCAGGCTAATAATAGCAACAAACTTGCCAACACACCAACAGTGCGTGGACGGCTCACAGGCTGCAATTGATCAATAATAAACGCTGGCGCTGTGACGGCGTGCGGGGTTGGATTGGGCATATCAGACAGTGGCGGTGGCATGCGTTCATTGTCATCTTGGCAGATGTGCTGATATAAGAGGATATAAAAAGGTTAAAAGAAGAGGGCTGCTAAATCAACGTCAAAGTCCGAATTTTCCATAGCCTGCTGTACTTCATTTGGGAGGATACATGTAAGGTAGTAACTCTTTTAGGCTAACGTCACCAGTAGAGTTGATTAACGGTAATGCTGTGAGGTCGGCGTGGAAGCCGGTGTGATTGAGGTGATGACACTACCTAGCGGCTGGTCGATTGAAACAGAGTTGTACTTGTCATATAGAAATCATATAGAAATCATATAGAAATCATATAGAAATCATATAGAAATCGTATAGGAATAATATAGGAGTTGCACTAATTTGTGTCGTGTACGCCCTGAAGGCTCGAGCTTCTAACGGCGGGGGTCGGTGGCGCAACTCTAGAGCCTGCATCTGTGGCGGTATCATCTGCTGCATCGTCTACTCTTTGCCTGCCTCTTTGGCTGGCTGATGCCCGCCGCGGATGAAAAAAAATTTCGCGACAAGGTTATTAATGTGCTGATAAAGGAGGCAAGTTGTGCAGAAACATCATGACTGCGGCAGCCCGGTTGTTGAGGGCAGCACTGCCTCCTGATCCGTTAGGCCCTCCCGTTAGGCCCTCCCGTTAGGCCCCGTGGGCCCTCCCGTTAGGCCCCGGGCCTCAAGGCCCGTAATTGATCTGCATAGGTACCTAGGTAGGTACCTAGCAAGGGGGGGGACAAAAAAGCTGGCCCATCCTCATATTGCACTACACCAGCACCTAGAGAAGGAAAGTAAAGTCAAAATTCTAGAAAATAGATAAAATATTTATCTAAAGAAGAAAGTATTATTTAACTACTATTATAATATCTTAGTTATTTTATACTAAAATAATTTTTCTAGAATTGATAGAAAATAAATAAAAAGGTAGTCTTACTTTAAGGGTTCTCATTGTGGGCCATTTACTTTGTCCCCCCGCTGCCAAGGTAGGTGCCTAGTACAAGGCAGTAATCCGTACCTAGGTAGGTGCTAGGTTACCTAAGGTACTCTTGTCTCGGCCCCACTACGACTTTATATAAATGTGAATCAGGCCCTATAGGTACTTTTACGTTCTTATTAACCTGCTTTTGTACTCCGTACTCCGTACTTGGCTTTTACTGCAGCATCACAATACATTGCAGTCCCGTCCAGTCAATTTCCCTATAAATACGGCACCCTGCAGTCGACACAAGCCACATCACATAGAGCGCCTAAGTGCAGTCATAGCCCTCCCCCCTTCCTGATCATCTCTGTCTTGAAATGCTCATTCGACGCAGGAGGAGTGAGGATGCTTTATTCTGATCAGCCACCAAGTCGCGAACGTTAGGCATTGTGCATCCGGTCCTTTCGCAGCCCGGCTGACAGGGCATGCCTCGCGCATTGAGGACAAGTCGCATTCGCACCGGCCCACGAGAGAAGCATTTTTGAGGCAACCGAGTTTTACCACGTCACCTCCTCAACCATCGCCACATTCGTTAGGACCGGTAACATCAACAACGTAACGATGGCTTCCGCGGTTGAGATCTCGTGCAGAGACTTTCTTACACTCAACGACGACCAACTGGCCGATCTAGTGCAGAAATTCCAGCGAGCCGAAGGTTACGTAGCCATCCCAGTCAAAGACTTGGACAACGTCAGCGACAAAGATATGCAGAGGATTCGCACGCGACTACTGTAAGAAAAAGTTGCCCACATTATCACTTTCACGCCCAACTAACTGATGCCCTCACAGAAACGCACAAGAGCTCATGATAGCTAGAGCCGTGCCGTTGGATCTCGACAGGGTCAATGAGCTTTTAATGATGGATAAAGCGGGTGCAGCTGCAAGGTTTTCATCATTCACTCGTGATTCCGCCTCGACAGACGACGGATCTGTTGCCGAAACCGAAGCCGAGGACGTCATCGGCGATGCTCTGGCCAACGAAAGAAGGTCTTATGACGAGTTGGTTGCAGACGGGGGCAGACCCCTTTACCCTATTGAAATGCTGGAATCGGTGGCCAAAGATCCCGAGCAGCATCGCCATCTACTGCAGCCTTATTGGCGGCACCCCGGTATCAATTACAAGACCGACTATCATCTGGACTGGGAGGTATTCCAGCGGCAGTTGAGGCAGCACAAAGCATTCAGAAACTGGCAATTAGATAATCGGGGAATCATCGAGGAGCCCGACTTCGATGCATACGTGGAACAGCATAAGGCTTATTTACGCAAACACTGCCGAGGTCGAGGTCTCGCGGAAATCGAGGTAAATCCCGAGTCGTTGAAAGGTCCAAACACCGAATGGGAGGAGATGCAGAGTAAAAGAGCGCGCGAAAGAAGGCAATTTCGGGAGCAAGGGTGTAGCAGCTTCGACGAGTATCACGCAGCCCTACAAAGACGTCTTGCAGCTCATGGGCTCAGTGAGAAGACGACTCTGCTCGCGGACCCCAGAAATCAGGATGCGCTGACAGAATGGCACGAGTATCTTGGCTTCGAATGCTGGTGGCAGGATCAGTATACTCGTGAATACAAGGACCGCTTGAAGCGTTATGACCAAAACTGGAATTTTATTCAACGTCAAAAATGCGTGACAAGCGACCATACTCTCGAGTACATCCAAAATTGTATGGGTAGCCATCTTGGCGCACAGAGACGAGAAGCGCGGCGGGAAATAGAAAAGGCAAAATCAAAAGTCGAAAAGGCGCGTCAGCACATTGGCTTGGATCCTGTTGATGGCAGTCATAAAGATGTCACCCCACAAGCGCTTGGTGATGCGCTGCAGCAGCTAGCCGAAGCAGAGAAGAAATCCAAGGAGCTTGATCGTCTCTACACCGCCATCGCGCACATCTCTGTGCTTGACGATAAGTGTAGTTGTGCCAAGGACCATGTCGACTCACAACCCGTCCTGATTCAATGGGTGATTGATCAAATACCGCTGATCAAGGCGGAAATGAAGGTCAAGACGCACGGCAGCGCGATGTCAGGCAGAGCAAAGAAGCGCACACGCGAAGATGGTGAAGACGCTCCGGCACTGCAAAGGCGCAAAGTGCGCAGGTTGACCACACCAGAAGAGACGGCCGAATCAGAGGCGACGGCAACACACGTACCAGAGGAGATGGTCGAACCCAAGCAAACGGCAACACTTGTACCAAGCTCATCTCGCGATAATAGACGCTCGCGAAAGTTGGCCAGACCACAAGAGACGGCCGAATTAGAGGCCGCGGCCACAGGGATACCAGAGGAGACTGTCGAATCCGAGCAGACGACTACAGTTGTACCAAGCTCATCTCGCGATGATATACGCTCGCGAAAATTGGTCAAACCGCAAAAGTTGGCCGAATCAGAGGCGATGGCCACAGTGATACCAGAGGAGACGGTCGAACCCGAGCAGACTGCTTCACTTGTACCAGATGAAGAAGCAACACTTGTACCAGAGAAGACAGCAACACTTGTACCTCGGAAGATGGCCCAATCAGAACCGCCAACGCTTGTACCAGAGGAGACAACACTTGCACCAAAGGGGACAGCAACATTTGTACCTCAGAGGAGGGCCATATCAGAGGAGGCAACACTTGTACCAACGGGGACAGCAACATTTGTACCTCGGAAGAGGGCCATATCAGAAGAGGCAACACTTGTACCTCAGAAGAGGGCCATATCAGAAGAGGCAACATTTGTACCAGCAGAGACAACAACACTTGTACCAAAGGGGACAGCAACACTTATGTCAAAAGGGACAGCAACACTTGTACCAGAAAGCGTTTCTCGTCGTGGTCTACGTCCACGCGACAAGTCGGACACCGACCAAATGTCTTCAGTGGCTCAGCCTCGCAAAAGCGCTCGTCTGTCTGCCAAGCACAACAAGACGGTGGCGCCTACTGTCCCTGAACGAGCCGCCCAGCCTCGCAGAAGCGCTCGTCTGGCTGCCAAGGAGAACAAGACGGTGGCGCCGACTGTCCCTGAAAGGAAAACTAGCGTGAAGAAGCCAGCCCGGTCAGCGACGACTAGGAAAGAGAAGAGACCCAGCACCAAAGTTGACACTGACACCGGCAAGAGAGCAAAGCGCGGGGGAAACAATTGTTCTACGCCTGTGCCGGGTAAGTAATGATCTGTACACCAAGTGGTGATGCGCATGCACCGTATTATGCCATTGTATTTTATAAATGACCGATGAAGAAGATGAACGAGTGAGATGTTTAGGCAAGTGAATTCCAGCATTTGCTCCTTGAGGCCCCTCCCCATACTTTTTAGTCATTACCTTACTCATTGTGCTGTCTTTATCGACATGGCCGTCTCTTACAACGCTTCGAAAAGGTTAATATAATTTGTCCAGAGTGAGAGGCATTGTCGGACCTCCGTAATGAAGGAAGGGTTGATCAGGATTAATGATGTGAGCTCTCAATCAACTACTACCTACTTTACGTATGGCAGTCAATATATCATTAAGAAACACACTCTATCGAAGTAGAATTGCAACGTTATACTGCGAATTGAGCAACTGTGGGATTGATCTCATTGTAAGCCGCGTGTTCACCAGACAGTTGCGGGGCATACAAGAGGGGTGGTGACGTCAGTAGTACCTAGTGAGGCTTCTCGTAGTACTTGGTTGCTTGGCTTGAGCTGACAACTGGGCATGGCTTGCTGCCGTTATAATCCTATCTGCTATAATAGACTAGGCCCTGTAACGTCTTGCATTATCATTGGTTCATGAAATAGTACAGCAGCTGAAAATGATGCCATTGTTGGTGCGTCCCGGTGCTGATCGTGGTGAGTTGCATCTCACCCCGGCTCCGCCCTGAATTTTCAGTGACGTTTAGCGTGTGCGGTCTGCGCTGGACCCCGCTACCTACCTAACTAAGCTTAAAGCCAATTGTACTCCCTCCTGCATCCCCCGAACCTGCCTCAGCTCGTATGTTTTCGAGGAAAAAATAAAGTTTTGGGCCCTTTTCATTTGTCAAATTCTCCCTGTTACACCTCGATAACTGCATTCGGAGACCAGAGCATTGCTATTCCCTATCCTACATCTCCCTTGAGACCTTCTCTCGCTCTATAGCTTACCCCGCCATTTTCATCTGCGTCGCCGACGTCACCTCGGAGCGCGCGCGCAATCATCCTGCTGTGCCAAATTTATTCACCGTCGCTATGACGGGGTCCGGCGAAAAGTCCGAATCCGGCGGCAATGTCTTTTCGAGTTTTGTGGGCGATATGAGGGAGAAGCTTCACGATTCGAAGCTCCACGACGTCAAAGTGGCCCTCCACCACAAGAGGTACGCGTCCCACTCGCTGTTGCGACCGGTTGCACACGCCCTAGCTGACTTGCTTCAGAGCTCAGATTGGTAAAATTGGCAATATAGTAAGAAAATTCGCAGGAAATCGGCTTTCCTAGGCTGAGAAAAAAACAAAGAAGTGCTGACTAGGAACGTAGTTCAATGCGAATCATCGCCACGACGAAGCCCACGAGCAAGAATGCGATGATAAACGAACTGCCACCTGCGAGTCTCACCGCTTCCAGTCCTACTTTCCTGAGCGAGATGGTAACCTTATTAAATGGTATGTGGACGGGCGTGACTACTTTTGGGCCGTCTCGGTCGCCTTGGAACAAGCTACAGAGTCCATCTACATCGCCGATTGGTGGCTGTCGCCAGAGCTATTCCTGCGCAGGCCCCCGCACTACATGCAGGAATACCGTCTGGACCAGATACTGAAGCGCAAGGCCGAGGCTGGTGTCAAAATATTCGTCATGGTCTACAAGGAAGTCGAGGCCGCCTTGACTTGCAACTCCATCCACACCAAGCACGCCCTTCAAGCTTTGTGTCCCGAGGGTAGCCCCGGCCACGGCAACATTCGCATCCTGCGCCACCCCGATCACAATCCGTTTGAAAATGTCGCCGATACAACCATGTACTGGGCTCATCACGAGAAGTTCATCGTCATCGACTATGCAATTGCATTTATTGGCGGTCTCGATCTCTGCTTTGGTCGCTGGGACGCAAACCATCATCCGCTCGCTGATGTCCATCCCGAAGGTGTGACTGAAGAAATTTGGCCCGGACAAGACTTCAATAACAATCGCGTCATGGACTTCCAAAAGGTTCAGGACTGGCAGCAAAATGAGCTAAGCAAGGCAGAGTACGGCCGCATGCCGTGGCACGACGTCGCCATGAGCGTCATTGGCCCATGCGTGTACGACATTGCTGAGCATTTTGTTCTGCGGTGGAACTTTACCAAGCGTGACAAGTACAAGCGCGATGAGCGTTACGACTGGATTATTTTGGAGGGTCGTGAAGGCGAAAACGAAGACATTGTCGGCGTGCAGCGACCGAAGCATCCCTGCGGCGACTACGTCAAGCATCCTCTCACGCCTCTTGCAACCAAGAACCTCGAAAACAGAGGCACTGTTCACGCCCAGCTTGTCCGCTCCAGCGCCGATTGGTCAAGCGGTATCTTGACTGATCACTCTATCCAGAATGCCTACAGCGAAATCATCCGCAACGCTCAGCATTATGTCTACTTGGAGAATCAATTCTTCATTACTGCCACTGGCGAGCATCAGAGCCCAATTCACAACACGATCGGCCGAGCCATGGTCGACGCTGTACTCAGAGCCGCCAAAGAGCAGCGCAAGTTCCGCATCATCATCTTGATTCCGGCTATTCCTGGTTTTGCCGGTGATCTTCGCGACAATGCTGCATCCGGCACTCGAGCAATTATGGACTATCAATACAAGTCCATCTGTCGCGGGGAGCACTCAATCTTTGAGCAGATCAAGGCGCAGGGTGTTGATCCCAAACAGTACATCTTCTTCTTCAATCTGAGATCATACGATCGCCTCAATAGGAGCGAGGCACTCGTAGAGGCAGAAAAGAAGTCTGGTGTCAAATATCAGGACGTGCAGCGAGCGGAAGCCGAGGAAATCATGAAGGAGGGCATTCATGGTACCAATGACCCCAACCACGGTGAGAGAGATGAGCACATGGGCACCCTTGAGCAACAGAAATCCAAGGAAAAGGCGGACGCTTATGAAGAAGCCATGGAGGCAAAACGCAAATTCGAGGCAGCCATGCCAGAAGAAAAAGACACAAAGCTGCCCTCGCTAGCGCACCATGCGATGGCTGGTCAGGGCTCCCTTGCCGAGGAACCTTGGGACGAGGTTGACGACCAGGAGTTGGAAATTCAAAACTGGATCCAGGAAGAATTGTACATTCACTCGAAACTCCTCATTGCCGACGACAGGGTTGTCATTTGCGGCTCCAGCAACCTAAACGATCGCAGCCAGCTCGGATATCATGACAGCGAGCTGAGTATCGTCATGGAGGATACGCGCCGGATTCCGAGTACCATGAACGGCGAGACCTTTGAGGCCGGCTACCACGCCGCTACCCTCCGCCGCTACCTGTGGCGCGAGCACCTGGGCCTGCTCCCCCCTCAAAACTTTGACGCGGGCAATGACATCAACGCCCAGCCGCCGAGCGTGCAGCCAGACAATGATATTTACGACAGGGACGAGAGCTACAAGTTTGTCGAGGATCCGCTGGGCGACGAGCTCTGGGATATGTGGACGAGCCGCGCGGATCGAAATACGGAAATCTTTCGTCATTTGTTTCATTGCGATCCGGATGATCACAGTAAGTTTACCTATATATCTGGCCCCACCTCGACGCCCTTTTCCGGAACAGCAACCATTTCGGGCTGCAACATTGATTTGGAAAGAACGCAGAGAAGTTTTTCCTTTTTCTGTTTTTCTTCTCTCTCTTCAGGAATCGCCTAAAGCTAACCGTCCGGTTCAGTCAAAACATTTGAAGACTATGATAGATATCTGCCGCCGCGCGGCGTCAAGGCCGGCCACATCTTTGACCAGTTCATGCCCGCGGCCGACGCGCGGACCAAGCTGGATGAGATCAAGGGCCACCTGGTGTGGATGCCCATGGATTTCCTCAAGGATGCGGAGATGGCCGAGAGGGGGTTGCAAGTCAATACCTGGACCGAGAGTGTGTACACGTAGGGTCAGGTAGAGACATTTAGCAGAGCGATGATGCAGGTCAGTTTGGTGGGAGGATCCGGGGTCTGCCCCAGTAACAATGATTCGACAGAACGCAGCATGGACGTCTTCCTTTTCTTTTATAGTTCCAACGCCCAACGAGATGAAGAAACTTTTTGTTCGTTTCGGCGTTGAAAACTACGCGAGAACATGAAACCAATCACATAGTGATGGCGTGAGTGAGTGAGTGTGTGTGTGTGGAGTGAGTTAGTTTCCAGAATGTGATATAGGAATGTTGTACAACCCTTGCAGCGGGCAAGATGCCCTCTTTCGGGGCGTATACGGATAAGCAAGACCACCCGTTCGTTTGGTATAGTCGCGGGCGCTACAGCCCGCCCGCCCGCTAACGCCCGGGTGTGAAAGAAGCAGGCGGGCAGGCGGGCAGGCAAGCAAACAGTACAGCAAAAGAAAAGGCAATTCTCGTCGTCGTCACAAACTTTGTCTTTTCTTTTTCTTTTTCTTCGTACCCAGCCGGCGCTCTAATATTGAATGCCGGCCATGGTTTGTCTTGGGGGGCCGCCCTAGACCCGTCTTAGACCATGTTTAAGTGGTGAGTGGTGGGTGGTGGTATTGGCGGTGGTATTGGTGGTGGTGGCTTGCCTTGCCTATATAACTCTGCGTCGGGGGCAACAATCAAGGAGGCTCGGGCAGAGGCGTAAATACGGGTTGTGCGTAATTTAATTGACATTTCGACTTGTTTGTCCTCGAAATACGTGTGCTGAAGAAGGTATTCAAGAAAAAAAATTCCTTTCTTGTTAATACTGGACAAAGACTGCACTCTCATTCATGCCTGGCTCATCGCCGCTCGCGCCGCTGCGCCGCATCGGCGACGACGTCTACCTCTACGAGCCGTCGGGCCCGGCCGATCCGAGCTACCGCGGACCTTCACTCATCGTCATGACGACGTGGCTCGGGGGCGCCTCGGCCAGGAATATCGGACACTACGTCGCCGGGCACCGGACGCTGTTTCGCGAGGCGGCCGTGCTGCTCGTCACGGCGCGGCTGTCCGAGATTACCGTGACGCCGTTTGCGCGGATGCACGCGCGACTGCAGCCCGCGCGGGACGTTATTGCACGACATGTCCTGTGCGGCGGCGGCCGGCTGCGCGACGACGACAGCCAAGGGGACGGCAACGCTGCTGCGGCCGACTCGTCGCCGTTTATATTGTGGCACATCTTCTCGAATGGCGGTCTGAACATGGCGATTCAGCTCGCCCGCATCACACGGGAGGCCCTGGCCACCACCGGGCTGACCGACTCCGCGGAACTCGACAGGGCCACGGGCGGCGTCATCATGGACTGCTGCCCGGGCGACAGCTCGCTGAGTCGGACGCTCCGCGCGGCCGCCTACTCGCTGCCCAACACGTGGGCAGCGCAGACCGTCGGCCGACTGCTTCTGCTCCCGACGATTGCGGTGCTGTTGGGCGTGCAGAACGCGGGCCTCCTCGGCCGGGGCCGCTCACTCGCCGCTCTGTACCGCGGCGCGCACGACCCGGCCGTCTTTGGGTCTAGCGTGCGCCGTCTCTATCTGTACTCGGTCTCGGACGATCTGGTGCCGTGGCGGTTCGTCAACCAGCACATGGCTGAGGCGCAGCAAAAGGGCATCGTTGTGGACGGCGAGGCGATCCCTGGCGGACGACACTGCGCACTGCTGCGAGGTGATGCGGGCAGGTACTGGCGGGCCGTGGAAAGATTCTGGGGCGCAACGCAAGAGCAGGCGGGGGTACCGCCGACAAGTGATACCAGTGATGCTGGTGTAAGTGGTAGCAGGGATTATGAGGAGATGGAGGTCATGCTCCCAGTTACTGGAATGCTGCGGAGCCGTCTCTAGAGCTGAAAAGGACGATATACTATTTGTCTTATCTGATACACGAATTTGCGGTGTCGAAGTTGTTGTAGAACCGCATTGTCTCGCTGATCAGTCTCAGAGTGCAGCAGTGCCGCGAGACAAGGGCTGTAAAGCAACGAGCAAAATTTGGTCGCGCAGTGCTCGGCCTGCTATCGTATGCCCGTATCCATACGATTTGGATCATTTCCTAACCGCCTATAAAGTGTTCCAGAACATATTGGCGGACCTGGTGGAAGAGCCTACAAGTGCCGTGGCTTCGGCATTTGGGGGTGGCTTCCTCGCCAGGCACCAATAAAGTGCGGGGTTACCGCTACTACGTTGTTGATGAGACATCGTTGCAAATCACACCTGAGGCCCGAATCCGAAATAAATAGAAGCTAAAGCTGCCTGAGCGACGAGCTCTCTTGGTTGGACAGTTTCTTCGTAGTCAAGAGTAGTAGTGGAGAGAAGCAAGACGCTAAGCAGCTGGCGCTTGAAGTGACACACCACAAGGCCGATGAGGCGTCTTATTCGCTGGAGAGTACGGGAACGGAAATGAAGGTCGTTGGAAGTTGGCACACGTAAGCTGCCCGCGTGAATGTTCGTGAGAAGATTGACGCCACTGAAAGGAGGTGCTGAGGAGTAGAGAGCAGACTGGTAAGAGAGTGGAGGGGTAGGGCAAACCAGCGCATGAAGATCTGTTGTGACACCTGCTGCCGATGACTAGATGGTTGACAACATGTGGAGTTGACTGCAGATGATTTGGTGTTTGTCAAATGTATGCAAAGAAGCTGTAGGCGTTTTATTCGTTCACATCAGACTGCTGCCCCACAGAGGGCGATATCAGGGCCAGTCTTTCGTCACACCGAGCAGCACTGGCACCGAGCAGCATTCACACCGAGCAGCATTCGCACCCAAGTGCAATGGAAGCTACCCCGAGAAATGATTGCCCAACAACCAAGAGTTGCCCAAGAAGCACTAGTGTGGGCGGTTAGAGTAGTAGAGCGAGAGAGGCGAGAGGGTGTGGGCAGAGATGGCGGGCGCGTAGCGGCGAGGAGGCTGTCAAGTGTTTCTTGTGTGCAGAGACGACAAGAGAGATTCTCATTTGCTCAATGAAGAGGATGCATTCTCCTGGCTGGCGGCAATGCAGCTTGTCGCGACGAGGAGGGTTGTAAGCGCTGAAGATGATGAAAGAAAAAGGAGGAAAAGTTAGGAAAGAAAGCAACGGTGACTGGTGATTTGGCCAGCCAAGTTACAGTGGGCCTCGGGCACGTCGGTACCCAGCTTATAGGTAAGGTACCTAATTTACCTGTTGAGGATAGGTAGCGCCGCCTGAAGCTGCGTCATTTGCCCGGTAAAGGTACCTGGTCCGGCCTGGAAGCGCGGGGCCCGTCTGGAGACTGGCGGCGTGGCGTCCAGCAAGTTGCAACTAACTGCATCCACCCCGCTTCTGCCGTGCCCAGTGGTAGTTCCTTGAGAGCTACATTTACCTTTTATTTGAGATCTTGTCGTGCAACATTGCACTTTCTCTTTGCCGTCCGGTTCGTCTTCGTCTCTGTCGCGCACTCGTCTTGTTTCCGCACAGCGTCGGTTGTCCTGGAGTTGCTCAAGACCGCCCATCGAGCTGCCCTCTCCGAAATATCCCAACCGCTCTACCTCACCAGCCGCAGCTCCTGCACCACCCACCACCACCATCAAGCACGAGCCACACACTTCGAGATCAGGCCGCATCATATGCGACCTCCTGTGCGCTACTTATCGCTCACCGCACTGCAGGAACCAAGCATTCTAATCAATCAGGCTTGCCCCAGATTCCATCTCGCTGACGAGGCTCCAAGTCCCAGGGCGGCTTCGTCTCCATCGGTGCCACATCACCCGACAGCAGGCATTCACCCTGTTGCCTGCGGCTCCTGGGCAACTATTCCCGACAATCCTCGCCCACGCTTCCTACCAACGGGCATCACTTCCTCAAAATGTCACAGTCGCCCATGATATCTGTGCCTGTCAAGGCCACCAACGAAATCGACTGGGTTACGCCGCTTAAGAGCTACATCCGCAACACCTACGGTGACGACCCCGAGCGCTATGCCGAGGAGTGCGAGACCCTCAACCGCCTGCGCCAGGACATGCGTGGCGCCGGCAAGGAAAGCACTTCGGGTCGGGATATGCTCTATCGCTACTATGGTCAGCTCGAACTGCTCGATCTGCGCTTTCCCATTGATGAGCAGCACATCAAAATATCCTTTACCTGGTACCTTTACCCAAACCCATGAAGAAATAGCACTGGGAGTTACCTTCTAACACAGTGTTAGGTTCGATGCCTTTACCCATAAACCCACGACGCAATACTCTCTCGCATTTGAAAAAGCCTCTGTCATCTTCAATATTTCTGCCATTCTCTCCGCCCACGCCGCCCTCCAGAACCGCGCCGACGATTCGACCCTCAAGGTAGCATACCACTCCTTCCAAGCTTCTGCCGGCATGTTTACATATATCAATGAAAACTTTCTTCACGCGCCTTCTTTCGACTTGAGCAGGGAGACGGTCAAGGCATTGATCAATGTCATGCTCGCCCAGGCGCAGGAAATCTTCATCGAGAAGCAGTCCAAGGACAACACCAAGATTGCTCTCCGCGCCAAGTTGGCCGCGCAAGCTGCATACCTCTACAGTCAAGCTCTGGAAGGCGTGCAAGAGAATGTCACAAAAGCCCTGTTCGAAAAGGTATGGCTGACAATGGTCACCATTAAGACGAGCTTTTTTACGTCCATGGCACAGTATTACCAGGGTCTGGCCGACGAACAAGCTGGCCAGCACGGAATTGCTGTGGCACGCTTCATGGCTGCTGAAGCTTTTGCTAAAGAGGCTGATAGACTTGCTAGGAATTTTCCCAGCAACGTGCCTTCAAGCTCGAACCTAAGCGCAGAGTGCGGCGCGCAGCTGCAAGACCTTTGCAAGCGCCATTACTCTTCCGTTCAGGACAAACATAAAGAGGCGCTTAAAGACAACGATTACATCTACCACCAAACTGTTCCAGCCGAGGCTAGTCTACCCGCAATTGCTAAGCTTCCCGCAGCCAAGCCAATTCCTGTCAGTGAGCTGTATGCTGGACAGGATATCCAGCGTATAACCGGACCCGACTTGTTTGCCAAGATTGTACCAATGGCCGTGACCGAGTCTGCTAGTTTATACGATGAGGAAAAGGCAAAGCTCGTGCGAGCCGAAACGGAAAAGGTCGATACTGCCAACGGCGAGATGGCGGCCAGCTTGGATTATCTGCGACTCCCTGGCGCTCTGCAGGTGCTCAAGGGCGGCTTTGATCGAGATATTCCGCCAGACGAGAATTTCCGACAGTGGTGTGAAGACATTGCCACTCACGACGATCCAGCTTCGATATTCGAATTCCTCAGTTCGGAAAAGCGAGCCATTATCAAGAAGCTGGAGGAGACGTCAACATGTTTGGACAGGGAAGAAGGTGTCTGCGAGAAGATGCGGTCCAAGTACAGTGCAGAGTGGTCTCAGCAGCCCAGTGCTCGCCTCACAACGACTTTGCGAAGCGATATCCGAGGATACCGAGAGGCGCTGGACGAAGCTTCCCGAAGCGATGGGCAGTTGTCCAGCAAGCTGCAGCAAAACCAAGCCGACTTCAACGAAATGCGTGATGCTGTCAACACTGGCAGAGTTGATCAAATGTTCCAAGATGCAATTTCAAAAGCGCGAGCTCGCAGCAGCCATGCCAGCAGCCCCGCCGGAATCGAGGCAAATTTGCTAGACACCGACTTTGGCGAGAGTGGGCCAAGTGTAATGGATCAAATAGCCATCATCGAGGACATTCTCAAGAGGCTCAACTTGATTAAGCGTGAGAGGAATCAAGTGCTCAAGGACTTGAAAGAAAAGGTCAGCAGTTAGGCGCAATGATAAGTAGGAAAGAACTAACGGCTCCGCTAGGTTCACGATGATGATATTTCCCAAGTATTGATTCTCAACAAAAAGTCAATCTCTAATTACGAGAATCAACTTTTCCAGCAAGAACTAGAAAAGTTTAGACCTCATCAAAACCGCCTGTTGCAGGCTAATCACAAGCAATCAGCCCTCATGAAGGAGCTGACTCTAACATTCAACGCCCTGTTGCAGGATAGGAGGGTGCGCTCGGAGCAAAGCAAATATGAGACGGTCCAAAGACAACGCTCGTCTGTTATCAACCGATACAAGCGCACCTACCAAGAGTTTCTCGACCTGTACGCTGGACTGCAAAGTGCCAAGAACTGGTATGGCGAGATGAGAGAGTCGGTGCAGAGCCTGGAAAAGAATGTTGAAACTTTTGTCAACAATCGTAGAGCAGAGGGTGCACAACTTCTGGACCAAATTGAGAGAGACAAGTCGTCAAGCCGCAGCAACCAGGCTGCACTGGAGCAAGAGCGTCTACGCGGCCTGATGGAGCGCATGTCGATGGAGGGCACGAAATCACCGCCGCAAAAGTCACGACCAGCTCCAACCCCTCTATTCCAGTCTGGACAGGCGCCACGTTACCAGCAAGCAGGCAATTACCAGGGGCAGCACCAAATGCCAAACTCACCGCCAGCCCACCAGCAAATGTACGGCGGCTACTCTAGCCCAGCTCCGCCAGCCAGCACCTTTTCACAGCCGACTTACAACCCCAGCCAGTACGGAATCACGCCGGGACCGACATCGCCACCCCCAAACCAGGCCTCGTTTGGCATGAACACGATGCGTCAAGGTCCTCAGTCACCGCCGGCAGCGCAGACTTCGTTCAGTCACACGCAGCAGCAGCCATACCAGGGATATCACCAGCGGTCGTACTCGTCGCAGTCGCAGCAGCACGTACCGCAACACGCGCAGCCAGGCTACGTGCCTCCGGGGTTCGTTCCGCCGCCGCCGCCGCCCGGGCCGCCGCCACTGGGGCCGCAGCAGACTGTACATTACGGAAACCAGGATTACGACCCTACCGGGGGGCGTCCTCCCAGTTCACAAGCTCGACACGGGCAGGGCCAACAACCACACGACCCATGGGCAGGGCTGAGCGCGTGGAAATAGGGAACATGAGAACTACTGGTAAGAAATAGCTGACGTGTGCACGCTGATATGTTGGATATCCTTTTTTTTTTTTGTCGTCTTTTCATTATTGCCCTTGATCATGTTTAGCTGTCTTTTTCATTAGTAGTTTGTGCATTGGGTGAATTCGCTGCATGGAATAGAAAAAGCCGAATCAAATCATGTTTTCACTGATGGTCAGTTTCATGGTGTCGATGATTTGCGTCATTGAATAATTTCTGATGGTGTCGAGGGACTCGGAGCCGATAATGAGCGGCAGTCTGGAGAAGGGAACGCAGCTGCCGTCGGAACGCTGATATTTAGTAGCAACATGATTGGCAAGGACACCAGGCAATAGCGGTAATAGCGGGACGCTCTATCCGATAGCGGGGTTGGCACATTGTTCCCCGTAGGCGGCGTTGGAATTGACACTGCGATAGGACAAATTGGGGGCCGTAGACGCCACTTGTACTGGTAATAATAAAAGTCATGATGAAAAGGAATAATCTACTCCAATCCTCATCCAGCAAATTAGCTTGCTTGTAGTAATGCTGCCGCCATCTTACCCCACACCAGCCCGCTGCCCCCAGCTTCTCGGCTTCCCCCCATCTTGGTTTCCCCAAGCCCGTCCGGCACACATGCGATTCCGGAACCGCCCTCGACTCTTTTTTTTTTCTCCGTCTACCCCATGATTTCTCCTCTTCTTCGTCCAACCTTGTCCCTCTCTAGCATCCTCTGATTTTCTTCAACCACGACAATTTTTTTGTATTGGCATCACGATAACTACACGCTCCAAGCATTGACGTGACACGAAGCTCCCTCCATCATGTCGCTAAAAGGTGGCGACGTCGCGCAGCACAATACCGCCGACTCGTGCTGGGTCATAGTTCACGTACGCTACCCAATCCGTTTTCTGCCATCTTTGAAGGTATTCGCATGTTACAGAATCTAACATCGATATCGAATAGGGCAAAGCCTACGATGTGACAGAGTTCCTGCCCGGTTCGCCCACCCACCGCCCTCAATGCCGAGGCTCAACCATCTAACACGGCCTTTGTACAGAACACCCGGGCGGCTCGAAAATCATTCTCAAATACGCTGTACGATCAAATCTGAATCATCTATTCTCCTGAAAACACGTTGCTAACTACATATCCAGGGCAAAGATGCGACGGAAGAATTCGAGCCCATCCATCCTCCCGACACTCTCGACAAGTACCTCGACCACTCCAAGCACCTGGGCCCCGTCGACATGAGCACCGTCGAAAAGGCGGCCGACAAGGCCGACGATCCCGAGGAGATTGATCGCAAGGAGCGCGAGGCCCTAAAACCTCTGCTATCGCAATGCTACAACCTTCTCGATTTTGAAGCTGTCGCCCGCCGCGTCATGAAGAAGACGGCCTGGGGCTACTACTCGAGCGCCGCCGATGATGAGATTGTGAGTCAATATGCCCCCCCATCGTGCTCTTTCAGGCCGACGGTGCTAATTTGTGATCCTCAGACGCTCCGAGAAAACCACAGCGCGTTTCACCGCATCTGGTTCCGCCCCCAGATCCTCGTCGATGTCGAGCACATTGACTTTTCCACCACCATGCTTGGCGACAAGACGTCGGTGCCCTTTTATGTCACCGCCACCGCTCTCGGCAAGCTCGGTCACCCCGAGGGCGAAGTGGTGTTGACGCGCGCCGCCAGGACGCACGACGTGATCCAGATGATTCCCACGCTCGCGTCTTGCTCGTTTGACGAGATTGTCGACGCCCGCGCCGGCGACCAGGTGCAGTGGCTGCAACTCTACGTCAACAAGGACCGGGAGATTACGCGCAAGATTGTGCAGCACGCCGAACGCCGCGGCTGCAAGGGCCTCTTCATCACCGTCGACGCGCCGATGCTCGGGCGCCGCGAAAAGGACATGCGCAGCAAGTTTGAGGAGCAGGGATCCAGCGTGCAGTCGGGCACCAAGACGGACACGAGCCAGGGCGCCGCCCGCGCCATCTCCTCCTTCATCGACCCGTCGCTCAGCTGGAAGGATATTCCGTGGTTCCAGGGCATCACCAAGATGCCCATCATCCTCAAGGGCGTGCAGCGCGTCGAGGACGTGCTCCGCGCCGCGCAGCTCGGCGTCGCCGGTGTCGTCCTCTCCAACCACGGCGGCCGCCAGCTCGATTTTGCCCCCTCGGGTGTCGAGGTGCTCGCAGAGGCCATGCCCGCGCTGCGCCGGCACGGGCTCGCCGACAAGCTCGAGGTGTTTGTCGACGGCGGCGTGCGCCGCGCCAGCGACATTATCAAGTGCCTGTGCCTCGGCGCGACGGGCGTCGGCATCGGCCGCCCCTTCCTGTACGCCATGAGCGGCTACGGCCAGGACGGCGTCGAGCGCGCCATGGACCTGCTCAAGGACGAGCTCGAGATGAATATGCGCCTGATTGGCGCGGCGTCCATCAAGGACCTCAACCCGAGCATGGTCGACACGCGCAGCCTATTTGTGCACACGGCGACCCCGGCGGATAACCTCTCGCATACCGTGTACGACCCGCTGGTTTCGCCGCCGCAGCGGCCCAAGTCGAAGTTGTAGCGGTTTTGTGGAAAAAAAAGTGGTGATGACGAGGATGCATTTTTCGGCACTGATGATGAATCTTTTTTTTTTTTTCTTCTTTCCTTTTTTTTCATACACGCACAACGTGGTTGCAGGCGTCATTTTAGAAACGTTGTACATTTATGACATGTAGATGCAGGTCCCGCTTTCTGTATAGAGCTTGTTTGAAAAAGAATACCATGTTCATATTAAAATCACATCTAATGCGTAGCTGAAGCCAAAGATGCGTCAATCCCCAAAACGCCCTATTTCGCAGAAGCATGCTCGAAAAGTAGTCAAACAAAAACCTACCCCGAATCCTTCATGTGTGCAACATGCCCCAAAACCCTTCACAGCGGCTTCAGAAACTCGGCCAGCGAGAGTGGCTTGCGCACCGCATTGTTCAGGCCTTCGTGGTACGTCACCCACACTTTACGCCTCTTCTGCGCCGTCTGCGCTTGCGTTTCGAGCTCCGTCAGCGGGCGCACCTCGATGACTCGCCCGAAAAAGTCCTTTTTGACCAGGTGCTGCTTCTCGCCGCCGCCGTCATTCTCCTTGTCGTCGTGCGGATGCAGGCGCGCCGCCATCATTTCCTCTGCTGCCTTGGCGGCGGCCGCCGCCGCCACCGACGCCGCGGTGGTGGATGACGGCGTCCCGGCGCCTGCTTGGAAGCGCGTCTGTCGGGCGTGGCTCTCGCGCAGGGCCACGGTGCGGCGCAGCTCCTGGTCGAGGACCTGGCGGACGGCGTAGCGTGTGGGCGCCTGCGCCGAGAGGAGCGTGGCGCCCGTCTCAAAGTTGGAAAGTGCGTCAATGTCTCTGTGGGAATCAAGTAGTCTTGTTAGCATCCCTGTTTTTCTGAAGATCTGCGAGTAGGAAAAAAAAGGCAGGCGGAAGATACGTACGGCTCCATTCGGTATACCCATTGCGGCGCGCGGCTCGACATCATGTCGCCCTCAATCTTGCCCTTGATCAGCTCGATGCCCACCTCGGCCAGCACCTCCGAGGCGCGCTTCACCATGAGCCGTTCGCTCTCCTTGCGCACGCTCGCCGTCGCGCCCTCACTGCCAACCACGAGCACGGGCTTGACGTCGGGTGAGATCATGCGCGCGAGATATGGCAAAAAATCGCTGGCCATGTCCTCGGCGCTGCGGAATGATCGCATCAGCGACGCCGGCAGCTGGCTCTGCATGGCCTGCAGGGCGGCGCGGTTGTGCTTTTCGGCTTCTCTGGCCTGGTAGTCGGCACGCGGGCCAGAAAACGGCATCGGCGGGCCGACATCCTCTTCGGTTGCGTCGGCGCCGCCCCAGCGGACGCCACCGGTGGTGTTGTTGTAGTGGCGCTTGGGGGAGGCAAAGAGATGGTGGCATGCGAGGACCGGTTGGGAGAGGTAGGCCGCCAGCTCCCACTCTTGGTTGGCAAAGAGCCGCGACTGGCATGTATCGTGAAAGAATAGCCAGTCGTAGGCCTGACAGGGCTTGCTGAGGTACAAATCATCATTGTACTCACGGTTGGGGTATTCGGCCATGATTTCCGTCATGATGTAGCTGATCTCGCCGCTCGTCTCAACCATCTGCTTAAGACTGTCCATGGCGTGCTTCTTGACCTGCTCATTGAATCCCAATTCTGTCTTGGGCTGCTCGTGCTGTGTGTTTTTGGACATTGACAGATCCATGGCCTGCTTGGGAAATCCGCCACCCTCCTGGAACAGGCGAGTTACAATATCCTTGACGTTTCCACGTCCGATTCCTCTAGCTCCAGCTGCGCCGCTGGACAGTTCACCCAGGATGTGTGTTTCAATCCAATGCCTCGTTAATCGCTGGTGGGATGACCCCAATAAAGTAGATCGGAACCTCGCCGCCGCCCACTCGCCCACAACCATGACGCCGCGAAGGTCACCTTCAACGGTGCTCTCGGCGCCACGCTTTGCGTCAATGCCACTTGTAATGCCCCATGCTGCTTCACACAGTTTTCTCGATGCGTCCTTATCGCAGGGAATACCCTCCTTCTCAAACACAGCCTTGAGTCTGCCCACAACGGCGTCAATCGACGGGCGTCCAACATGGATGATTTCGGCTAGATTCGATTGCCGAAGCGGTCGAAGCGAAGGGTGGTACACATCGTTGCAGATGAGAACCAACGGTCGCATCAAGCGAAAGTCGTCGCCTTTCTTCTTCTTCCGTGAGTTGTCGTATGAGGCAGCTCTAGGTACGCTATTCTTTTGATCCAAGAGTACCAGGTCAATCAGGGCCTTGATAAAACCACCCTCGCCAGAACCTCCGGAGCCCGACACGACGCCGTCCACTTCATCCACGACGACACAGACCGGCTTGGCCACCTTTGTGTTGCCGTCGGCGTCCTTGCGATTTGCAACATTTTTGACGGTTTCGGTGCCCAAACTTGTGCGAATGCGGTTTTTGACCACGTCTCGACTGCGATCATCACTCGCGTTGACTTCAAGAACCTCGTAGCCAGCCTGCCTTGCGCACACGTGAGCGAGTGTAGTCTTGCCCAGTCCAGGAGGCCCCGTGAGTAGCAGAATCTTCCTGTGTGGCTTCTCCTCTTCTGCTTGTATCTTGGAGCCTGGCCTCTTTACCACGCCAGCCTTTGATCTGGATGCACCAGGGAACACGATTGGATCCCAACGCTTGAGCCAGCGTAGGACAATACGATTGGTGCTGTCGTCGCCGCAGAGATCCATGAAGCTTCTTGCCCGGTATTTTTCGGTCCACAAAAGCGTCTTTTTGTTCTTCTTGCCATGTCGCGCAGCTTCGGGCTGTTCGGTCGACTGTCGCGGCACATCGGGCGTAGGCTGCGTCTTGGCCGGGCGCTCGGCAAGCTCCTTCTTGGCATTGTTCACGAGTTCGTGAATATCAATTCCGTAATAGCTGCGTTTCGCTCGGCCATCTTTGGTTCTTGATCGCGCAGCTACAATCTGATCGTACGAGATGGCGGCACTGACTTGGCGCTGCTTGGTGGAATAAGCCTTGCCATCGCAGGTCTTGATGTCGTACTTTATGGGCCTCAGTCTTGCAAAAAGCGATCCCGAAAATACGGGCAAAGCAATATCCTGTGTCTGTCTATTGTCTGGTGCGTCATCTGTAGGAGCCTCTGTCTCGGAGGAGTCGATCGTTTGTATTGCTGTCGTGTTCGCTTTGGTTTGCGAGGTGAATTGAGGTTCATCGTTGTCAAAGGATTGCTCCAGCATTGGTCGTTTTGCAGGCGATCCCGTTGTGGCCTTCGCTGCCTCTTCGGCAGAGTCCTCTTCATCGTCCACAAAGGGGCCCTGAATTCGGCTGTTCGGCTTGCGCACTGGCTCTGGCTCTATATCATGAGGCCTGTCGCGCTTCAACGACGGTTGCGCCATGCTTTTGGTAGCAGGTACGGGGGTCGTCGAAAGCACGGCAATGTGGCTCATTTGAGGGGGATCTGGGTGTCTGCAATGCACCTTGTCATCAAGTCACCTGAAATATGAAGTTGCGCTGGTCAATGTACTTGGCGTGCTAATAGAACGTTGGGGTTCGGGCGGCCTGGACCGCGTCGGTTCGACGCGTCTTACAACTGACCCGCGTTTAGTGGCGCCCCACCTCGCACGTAGAAGGACCTGGAGCACAAGCACACGCAACTGAGTTTAGAATCTGAAAGACGATATAAGCTGAGAATCGAAACAATCATCAGCGACCGAGATTTTATCCGATTGGTAGTCGATGTTATATACTCTTTTCTTCAGATACACAAGTACAAGCAAGAACCTCGGTCGGTAAACAAAGTCACTTCTAACCAGAGTCAGGAAAGAGATGTATATAGTACTACGTGAAAAAGCGAACCAACTGCTTGACTTTGTAATGCAGTTTGAAATGCAGCGCTTCGTACTTGTCGAGGCAATGTAGTCTCAAATAGTGAACTTATCTGTTAGTGAAAATTTTCCATGGCTACTTAAGGATTCCATTTCGCTCAATCCCCGAAAGGGAAAAATTCGAAAAAGTAGAACGATCTTTATCTTTGACCATCTGAAATTCTTGAAATTCTAATATTGAAGAACCAGTAGCTATCTGTTCGAAGACGCGGATTTAGTTAATAAGATAGTCAATTCCACAAGTGGAGGCATCGCCCGCCGGCTTCCCGCTGTCACTTCATTTCGGTGGCTTCTCCAGCCCTTGACAGCCTTTTACAGTCGCTTCACAGAAGAGAACATTTTTTCCTTAAAATGAACCATCTTACTCTTATAAAAAAAAATCCCGCACTGCTCACATTCATCATCATCATCACTCGCATTGCAATTTTCTCGGTATGCCGGCAGGCCCAGGATTGTCATATAGGTCGGAAAAACTACGGCCGAACTGAGCTACTATCAAAAAATTAGCCACTTGGGCTCCTGAGCATACGACACAGTTTCAACCAGCCCAAACGAGACAGCGCGCTGTACACGACGAGAAAATGCGCAAACCAGCCCGGTTCTTCAGCCTGGCGAAGCCTGTGAGTGCCACTTCACCATTTACGGTCTCTTGTTCGATGCCATATGCGCCAATTGACAGGATGCGACCTGCCTGGACACAGCTGACGGTTTTGCGCCCGATAGAAACTGCGACAGTCATGGAACAAGTATAACATGTACAACATCTACCGCAATGCCGCCAGAGAACCGGTGATTAGGGGCACGCCTACATTTTTCCAGCAGAAATGGGCCGCGAAATCGAGAGCTCGTGCGTACCACGGCGAGCACATTCCCGAAAAGAAATGGGTGCGCCTCTTCTCGCCGCGCCTCATGTCGGCAGTCGACATGCCTCCTGAATATCTGGCCGCGCATGATGGATCTGAGCAGGCGGCCGGCCGCGGTTCGGGCCTGAGCACCTCTGATGTCAACGCGGAAAGATACTCGCGGGTGCCGGCACCGGAATCTGCTATCGACAACTCGACGCCCTCATCACCCAACGAACTTATTGGTAGACAATATCACGAAATGACTCCATACATGCAAATGACGTTTGCTCCTCTCGAGAGAAGGCTAGATACGGCCATCTTCCGCGCCATGTTTGCAACGAGTGTGCGACAGGCACGCCAGTTTGTGCTGCACGGCGCAGTCAAGGTCAATGGCAAAAAGGTAAGCTGACTGGACATTGACAGTACGGGAATGGACGCTCTAACGATTGAACCAGTTGCTGCATCCTTCGTATCAATTGAATCCCGGCGACATGTTCCAAGTCGATATCGAAAAGGTCATGTATGCCACGGGCGTACAAAAGTCCAGCAAGATTCAGTGGCCTGGGCTGGATTCTAAGCTCGCAACAAGACGTAAAATATCGGAGCGCAACCAGATTGCCCAGGCCGAAAAGTATGCGTCTGTTTCTGAGAGCCAAGAGGGCCAAGCCGAGGGAGAAGAGTCGGCTGAAGCTACTGCTGAAGCTACTACCGAAGCTGCTGCCGATGGAGAATCAGCTGCGGTGCCGGAGTTGTCCGAGGAAGCTCGACAGAAATGGCAACGAATGGAGTTGAAGACCTTTTTGCAACGTTGCAAGGACATTTTAAAGTCAGAGGCTAGCAACCTCGCTGCAAAGGAAAAGCTGAGCCTGCGTCTGCTCCGATCGGATGCGAAGCGACTATTGTCGCGCCCTCAGGACAGCGACCTAGATGTTTCTGAGCTGATGCAGGAGCTTCAGCTTGTGATTAAGAACCACGAAGGTCTCGCAAAGCTGGATACTCAGTCACAACCAGAAAAGGTGGAGGAACAAAAGTTTAGTCGCGAAAAGCAATATCGCCAGACTCTGGACGGCCTGTCGGAGGAGCAAAAGGAGAGAGCCAAGGAAATCGTGGGCGACGCGCGGATGACCAACGAGGAAATGCGCAAACTCAAGGAACTATTACTGGCGGACGAGGAGAATCCCATAGACGAGACAAAGCCGTACGCGACGCCGTGGGCACCTCGGCCGTTTATGGCGGCATTTGCATTCATCCCGAGATACCTCGAGGTCAACCACGACATTTGTGCGGCCGTTTATCTCCGCCACCCAGTAGCGAGAAAGGGACGTGCCGAGGTGCCTACGCCGTTTAGCTACGTGACGAACCAGCTGGCTCACAACTGGTATCTGCAGCGTGGGTAAGCGGACATGCAGCGAGCGGCGACTCTGGAGTCGTCGGACGGGGATTCGAGACAGCGGGCGCAGTCGGGTGTGGATGTGGCAGGCAAGGGGATGGCATGCATGTAGACTAGATCGGCCGATCAAAGGCAGCGGCCTTGTATGAGATTGGCTATTGTACTATACACATACAGCACTGTAATTTTGCCAAGAAAATGTGTTTGATTCTGATCGTGATCCCGAAGGCCGAAGCGGCTGTCGGACAAGACTGTCCATGCTGACAAAGCAGTGGTTGATACTCATAATTACTGGTTAAAGACTTGGCACATATCCGCTCGCTCTCGCGTCGGCTGTTGTCTAGAACGACCAGTCTGCGTTATATATTATGCATTATGAATTGAGCGTTATATTATAGAATAGGGGTAAGGCTGTTTATCGTAATTTTCTTCAGCCTAGTCGTTATTATAATGCGCGACCACTCCAGAATCCTTGGAGAATAGCCTAAATAAATTCAGCGCTCAGATTTTATTTGCCGAGACTGGCACTGGCGAGCTATCTTTGGCACAACGTAAGGATTCTGTATATTCTGTATACCTACGTATGAGTGGGCACCTTGTGGTGATGGCAAGGCAGGCTCCGGAGCAAACCGCGAAGATGGATCTATTCCAAATTCTACCAATTTTTTTAACCTTTTGTTAGTTGCTCAACTTTGAGCCCTCGAGCCCCTCCAGGAGCGCGCCCTTTCCAGCTCATGCCACTTGCTCCACTCAAACTGTCGTCTCTTGCTGCGTCTGCATACCTTACATACCTACAGCCTACGGAGGTACATTACACACATCGCTGCCCCGGACCGGATCCCCATCGCGCTGCGCGGGCCGCCTTCATTCAGCTCAATTTTATTATCTAGTTTTCAATCGTTCTCTTCTTCTCCATCTTCCATTTCGCTTGCCTCTCTTTTTTTTCCTCTCCCTCGCCTCCGAGTATAATTCGTCGTCGTCTGCGCTTGCACAAGCATAGAGGACCCCGCGAGTCAGTGGCAGCATTCCTCGCCCGCCGAAGGACGACCCTACGAGGCTCTTGACACCACCCAACCGCATTTTCAGCTGCTGGTAATAGTGTCCATTTTCTCCCTCGCCGCCGCCATATAACCGATCCGAATCAACTTCTGCCATCTTGGCATTTTGCAACAACAAGCTTCAGTCTGTACTCGACCCTGACTGTCGACTCTCATCCCCCACATCCGTGAACCTGTGATAGATAGTGTGGGCCTAGGCCATTTCCTCGCATCACCCACCACCAATACCAACTACGGCGACAACTCTGCCTCTGGCCATTGTCAGCAAAGGCAACCAGGCTGCCGATAGTCCGACGACTACTCCATCATCAGCTTTGGCCGTTGACAAACCCCGCACGAAGCGGTCAAAACCCAACCACCACATACATCATTCAGCCGTCGCCTGCGTTCCTGTATCCCGACCACGCCGATCGCTTGCATGCAGCGACCATGCAGGTGACCCTAGAATCGTATGCCGAGACGCGCGACAGTTCCACTGCAGGCGACCCTGGCCCTGCTGTCAAGAAGAAGAAGTCGCGTCGCGCACCCGATCCCTCCAATCAGAAGCGAAAATGCATCAGCACCGCCTGCATAGCCTGTCGGAAGCGCAAGTCCAAGTGCGATGGCGCCGTCCCAAGCTGCGCAGCTTGCGCCAGTGTCTATGGCACCGAGTGCATCTACGACCCCAACTCCGATCATCGTCGGAAAGGCGTTTACCGCGAAAAGACGGACGGCATGAAGGCTGACGATGCGACACTCAAAATCCTTGTCGAGGCCATACTTAATGCTAGCGAAGACGACGTCGACGACATAGTGCGCAGGATCCGTAACTGCGATAGCCTTGACGACTTGGCCCAACAAATAATCAAGGATGGATCCGACTTTGACGGCCCCAGTGCAGAGCAAAGCGGCGACGAACAGCAGTGGCCCGGCCAGGTGGATGGAGAGCGAGAGCTTGCTGGTAAAATGGGCGAACTGCGCGTCGAGAACGGCACAATACGTTTCATCGGCGGCACCTCTCATCTCATCTACCTCGGCGGTGCTGCCTCTGGCCATGAGGCTGAAGCCCATTCGGACAATTTTCTCCCCTCCATGGACCCCATTACCAGTTGGACCGACGTGACGAGCGATGTCGTCCTCATCACGCACCTTCTCAACTTGTACTTTACCTATCACTACCCTTACTTCACCACTCTTCCACGCCATTTATTCTGGCGCGACTTTGCCAAAGGCCGGGGCGCCGTCGGTCAAAGCTCCTCCCACTGCTCTTCGCTGCTCGTGAATGCGATGCTTGCTTTGGGTTGTCACTTTACTGACGTTCCCGGAGCATTTGGCGATAGTAGTGACACCAGAACAAAAGGTGATCACTTTTTTGCGGAAGCCAAGCGTCTCATCATGGAGGGCGACGAGTTTGAGCGACCGCGCCTTGTCACTGTTCAAGCACTGGCTCTCATGTCTGTGCGTGAGGCAGGCTGTGCGCGTGAAGCCACAGGCTGGGTTTACAGCGGCATGAGCTTTAGAATGGCTCAGGATATTGGCCTCAATCTCGAGGTTAGCTCCAATGACAAAAAGGTCATGACTGACGAAGAGATTGATGCCCGTCGCATCACCTTTTGGGGCTGCTTCAACTTTGACAAGTGTTGGTCCAATTATCTGGGCCGTCTGCCGCAACTGCCCAAGTCGACGTTTACCGTAGCCAAATTCGACGTGTTTCCCGACGAGGATTCCTCACCATGGATACCACTCACCGACAAGGGCTTCGATGAAACGGCAAAGCAGCCGTCAAGGACCCGTGCTGCCGCGCTCCATCTTTCAAGCCTCTGCGAGATCAGCAGTGACCTTTTGCTGTTTTTTTACCACCCGAACCACATTCACCGGTCGACGGGCAAGACTGTTGAACTGAAGAAGCTGAGTGAGCTCCATAAGCGACTAGAAGAGTGGCGCAAGCACCTGCCGCGGGAGTTTGAGGCCGGTGACGGACAGCTTCCCAACGTAATCCTTATGCAGTACGTCTCGACATGCTCCTTTTCTATGCAATATTTGACCACTAACGAGGCTGTAGCATGTTTTTTCATCTGCAATTCATTCACCTTTTTAGACCATTCCTCAAGTACTCCCCCAAATCTTCGCCGCTGCCGTCGCACATATCCCCTAGAAGAATCTGTACGTCAAACGCCGGAGCCATCTCCAAGTTGATGCGTCTCTACAAGAAGAATTGGAATTTGCGCCAAATATGCAATATTGCCGTATACATGACGCACAGCGCCTGCACGATTCACTTGCTCAACCTCCCTGAGAAGACTGCAAAGCGGGACTTTACTCATGGGGTCAAGCACCTTGAAGAAATTTCTGAGGACTGGCCGTGTGCGCGACGGACTTTGAGCATTTTGAGCGTGCTGGCCAGGAAGTGGAACTGCGCTCTACCAGAAGACGCGGCACAGATCCTGCAGCGAACCGACGAGCTATACGGTCACTACAGCACCTCTGAGGTCCCGTCACCCAGGTCGAGCACCGGGCTGTCGCCACACGCTTTTGCGGAAGAAAGTGCAGCTGCACAGTCGCATATGTCGCAGTCACACTTCACTCAGCATCCTAGCCCCAGCAGAGTGCAGTTCACTCAGTCTGGCATGGCACAAGCTGTCGGACCACAAGCCTCTATCAGCGCAAGACTGGATATGAACAACGGTCCCGTGTCGCCTCAACAACGGCACAACCAACCCCAACAAGATGTGGGAGTCAAAACACAGCATGTCACGTACGCGCCGGGGACGTTGGACAGTTGGGATGCGCCCATCATGGCAACCTCTCCCACGGCGGGCATGTACCCGAACACCTCCACTGCCGGTCTGAGCTCGAATCCGGAAGAGATTCGGCATTTTGCCGGATCCCGCATGGCATCTAGTGGAGTGCTGACCGGACAAGGCGCTGGCCTGAACAATAACCAGTGGATACTGAGCGACAGTGCCAAGTGGCAGCACAACTTTGATGGTTGGGATCTGGGCCAGCCGCTTTCCGGCGCCATGCAGTTTGCGTTCCCGTCGCAGGGCTCCCTCCCACTGAGTGCAAACCATGCGCAGCAGGCTGCTGCTGCGGCGGCGGCGGCGGCTGCCAACATGCAAGCCATGGGTCATCCGCCGTCCAGTCTAGAGGCGTTTGATGCATCAATGCATGATACCACATGGCTGCCGAACCTCGAATAACGGCTGGCCGTTGAAACAACGAGTGAGGGTCGGCGGCGGTGGAGCCAGGAGGGAGGGAGGGGGGGGTGGGCAAAAGGTTGGATAAAGTCGGCAATATAAAACAATGAGAATCTTTGTGTGTTGCCATATTGATTGGCTCGCCTTGTTTCAGTCTTTGCTTTTTTTTTTTTGTCCGAGAAGGAGGGAGGCATGTATATTGTATATGATAGAGACGTTTACATGACTTGATGAGGTGCTGCAAAGTCCTGTGACGGAACTAACGATTGGTATAATGATGGCAATTAATTTATTGTTTTGAGATGCGATCTCGGGTGTCATGCGACCATCTTTTCTTGTTTTTTTTTTCTTTTTTTTCTCATTTTTCTTTCCTCCCGCTCCGCGTGAACCAGCGCGGTCTGATCTGCAGCTATCCGGGAGCTTTGTCGTTTTACAAACGTTGTTCCCGTCGTTGCACTTGAACATGCGGTGATGTGTACTACTATTCGGCACGCACCTAGCCTACGAACTATTCTCTCTCGCTCTCTTCATTCTTTCTTTTTCTTCCTAGGCCCCTGCTCAATTTTTTTTTTTTTTGATGTTTTGTCTTGATTCTTGCTGGTATTATAGACCCATGTTGGAGACTTGGGGTTGTTGGCATCTCCGGACGAGGTCCACGTCATGGTAACACCACTATTGCTGTAGACTTTTGTCTTTTTTTTCATTCTTTTGTTATTGTATCATCTTTTTCTCAAAGCCCGTTCTGGCGAGAGAGTTGACAGGGATGTCATGTGCTGTCACTTGTCGTGTTGCCTTTTTTTTTTTTCGTCACACGACTTGGAAAAAAACTATAGAATGAGATGTGAGCATACAGACGGACAGACAAGAAGTCAGGAATATATTTGCACACGCTACAGACGCATAGCTGCTTGAGTTTTGTGATCCGTGGAGTGGAATATATAGATGGCTCAGCCGGTCCCGTTCCGGGCCGGGAAAGGGTATTGGTGCACGTGTTCTTCTTCCTCTTCTTCTTCGTCGTCGTCGTGAGCAGGGACCGGCATGGGGGCTCGGAGTTTGGATATGGCCAGATTCTCTTGAACGGGACGGTATACGAAAGCGGCAAGGGGGCCATCCCGAACTGTATATGCTCAACCGGCCCCCCCCCGTTTCATATAGCTTTCGCCGGGCTCCTTGACCACGCGGCTTTCCTTCTATATCCCCATCACCATGTCAAAGCAGCCTTCTTCTCTTCAGACACTGTTCTTCTGACACCGTAGCACATGCTTACCTTTCGGCTTTCAATTCCATTTTCGAAAAATGTTGAAAATAGACAGTTGTGGATATATTTCAAAGTGCCGCTTTCTTCGTAGGAACCGGATAGTACAACCCAAGCAAGGCCACTTGCAGTCAACACCTTTATTTATTTATTTATTCATTTTTTTCTTCATCAGATAATCCATGCAACTTTCATGTCGTGTCCCTCCCCTTTGTGTTTCCAATCCCTTTCTCCCCCCGCCTCTTTTCATTCGCTCTTGAATCACCAACTAGGCGAGCACACACACCACACACGCACGCACACCGGTTCTTTGCACGGCTGGGCGAGCTTGTGTTTCCCCATCATTGGACCAAATATCGGATCACTCAGTCGGTGAGGTATTCCCATTTTCTAATCACAGGGTGCTTTACTTTTTATTTCATTTTAGTTTTTGAATAAATCGATCATTATTGTTTTATTAGTATTATTATTTGGAATTATTCGCTTCCACTCCCGTCTATCCTCGTGGCCGAAAGCACATGGGACCTGTGAATCATTGTTGGCATTGTTGTTGCACCGCCTTGTTGTGATGCGTCTGGGTATATAAATCCAAACGAAAAACAACCTTCTTTTTTCTTAGCCCAGAAAGTTTGCGTCTTCTGATTCAAGGCTCCCTCTGTCCTGCAACGCCCAAAAAGCATTCATCCTCAAACGAACCGTTTGGATTCCCCCCCCCCCCCCCCCCCTGGAACTTGTACGAGAGAACACATACAAGTTCACCCCAAGTTTTCCAACCTTTTACGGTTTTATAATACATTTTCCTTTTTTCCCCAACTGTATCACTCTTGTGATTCAAGATACAGCATTTGTGCTTCTTTTTTTTTGCTACACCATTGGCTTGGAGCTTGACCTTTTTCGCCTGTCCATCCTATATGTCCTTTTGTCACGGCCATTTCTTTCTTCACTGATGTTATAAAAGCTTCGAGTCATCATCAATCATCATCATCATGGCTCTCCGGCTGCATCCTTCTGCAAACCTCGATACGACGCCGCTTCACCTCCCCATCGCAGCACCGCTACCCTCGCAGACCAACACGGACGCGGGCATCAACGCCAGCAAGCGGCCACGACTCGTCGACAACATCATCACCGCCGAATACCTCCAACACCAAGCACAGCAACAAGGCTTTTACGAGAACGGCTCCACGGTGGATACGCAGCTACAATATCACCAGGGAGAAGAGCAACAACAGCCAGACTGGGCCGCGCTACAGTTGCAGCTAGACGCGCCGCAACAACAAGAGCAAGACCAGTTCCAACAGCTGCAACAGCTCCAGCACAGCCAGGATATCTACGCAGACGGTGTGGGATTCCTGCTCCCCGAGCTGGTGTCAGAGGAAGTACAGTTCCTCTCGTCTCATCTCAACCACCAGCCTCTCCATCATCCGGAGCAGCAACCGACACCACATCTCAACCACCAGCACCTCCAACATCCAGAGGAGCAACTGTCACCACCAAGTCCAGCACTGGCTTTCGATCCCAGCCTCACCTTTCTCCCCGGCTCTCTTCCCATGTCCTCTGTCGTCACCCTTCCTCCCGGTGCCTTTCAGCAGCAGCAGCATCCTCCCGCCGTTCTCATGCCTCCACCTCCTCCACCTCCTCCCCCTACCGCAAAGCCTCACGCCAACACCCCTCGCCCACCACGAGCTCCTCCCAAGACCAGCACATCCGTCACCGCCGCCGCCGCCCTCTCCTCCTCCTCCGCCTCCGCCGCCCTCGCCTACGTCCACGCCTCATCTTCGTCGTCCGCCGGTACCGGCGGGCCCTCAACCTGCACGCTCCGCATCGGCGGCTACACCCTCGAAGAAGCCGGCATCAAGCTTCCCCCCAACCTCTCCGACGCCGAGCGCCGCCGCCGTCTGCGCATCATTGCCGAGGAGCTCCACCACGAGGCCACGCACCCGCCCGTGCTCCCGCCCTCGCAGGTGCCCGATCTGCCCGAGAAGCCGCCGCCCGTGCCGCTGCCCAAGATTTTGCCGGGCATGACGCACGCGCAGCGCGAGGCGACCAGCGCCGAGATTCTGCGCCTCTCGCAGGCGCAAAAAAGGGCGGACCAGAGCCGCAATAACCTCGCCGCCAAGAAATCACGCATGCTGCGGCTCGAGTGCCTGGACAACACCCGGCTGCAGCTCGATGCAAAGAGCGCAGAGTGCATATGGCTGCGCGTGCAGATTGTCGCGCTGTCGGGCGAGCCGCTTCCCCGACGGCCCAGCGAGGCCTGGGGCGGCTTCGACTATGTGTACCGCGCGAGGAAGCGCCGCCGCCGCCGGCTTTTAACGCTGCTCGAGGACGAGTCCGAGGCCGCCGACGGGCCGCCAATCAAGATTGAGGAGGTGACGGAGGAGGATGAGGAGGAGGAGGATGAGCCAGACGTGGAGGGCATTGTGCCGCGACGCGTCAAAGAGGCCATTACGGAAGAGGTCCGCGCCAGGGTCGAGGCGCACAAGGACGCCGTGGAGGAGGAGAGTAGGCGCAAGACGAGCGCGAGTCGCACGGCGAAAAAGTCAGAGGCGGCCAGGGCAGAAGCGGCCAGGGCAGAGGCCGCGGCCAAGACGGACAAGGGAGGGAGGCAGCGCCGAGGCTCGGGAGGCGGGAAGCGCAAGCAGTGATGAATGCTTTTGCTTGGTCTTTTTGTGATGAAGTGGTGTGTGTGCGTGGGAAGTGTATGAATGTTGAATGTTTGCTCAAAGTGACTTTGGGAGGGGAGAGGGCTGATGAAAGAGTGAGGGTTCGGTGGTGAAGGTGCTGTGAGACGACGAGGCGCCGCAATTGTGCTCGCTCATGTTGCTGCTGTTGGTTTCCGTCTTTGTCCTCTCTGTCTTGTTCCCTCCGTTACACTCTTGTCTTGTTTTTCCACGTCCTCTTCTTGACTTGATTTCTGTTTCTTTTTTTTTTTTTCCCTCTTCCCTTTTATGTACTGGTGACCCTGGCATATGAACGAGAAGGTGTTTAGGATGGGGTCTCACTTTCTTTGGCATGATATACTATCCAGAAGAGTTGAAACGTGTTGGGAGTCTTGAGAAAGCCAGTCTTGAGAAAGCCAGTCTTGAGAAAGCCAGTCTTGAGCTTCTTTTTTTTTTCCCCTGTCTTGCTCCTGGTTTCTTGTTCTTCTTCGTTGGAATGGATCAAATTGTTCTAAATTGATATGGATTTTTTTAAAACTGATGGAGATGACGCTGTTTCGGGTTCTGCGCAGTGTCGCATTCGTTGTCTTGCATTTCAACTGGCATAGCATCTTCTTGCTTTTCAATTTGCTCATTGACTCATTTGCTCGATTCTTTATCAAATTGTAAAATCTCTCATCTCTAGCTTCAGATTTCTAAGAAATACCAATTCTACCAATTCAAAGAAAATTCGAGACATCCTTTTCAGCTCGAGTTCATTTCAAGCGCCGTTAAGCAATTATGATGGATCATGATGCCATCTCGCCCAACTCCGGCCTCGCCAAGCCACATAACCTTGGAGATGCTTCCTATGCTAAATGCAATACAAAATTCCGTCAAGGAAGAAAAGTCCCTCGCGGATAAATCTTCACCTTCTCGCGTGCACGAGTCGGCCCTTGACCCAAACCTTTTTCGTGTTTCGGTCGTCGCCATTGTACAGCCACTTGGCCAGCATCTCCTCCCACGACTCCCAGCCAAAAATGTCCACATTTCCCTCGTCGCACCCGTTGATAAGCGCAGGCACCACCGCCGCGCCGGAGCCGTTCCCGTTGGCCGAGAGCTCCTCCCCCTCGCGGAAGCCCGAATCGGCAACGCGGCCGAGCCCGACGAGTTGCGCGTCCCAGTCCTTGCCGACCTCGAAGCCGCCGATCCTGTCCTCGAGGCCAAGGCAGACGGCACCACCACGCGTGGCCAGATACAACACCTCTTCCACGCTCAACTTGCAGCGCTCCATTTCGTCGGGGTCGTCGGCGTGCGTGGCGACGTGGCGGCTGACGAGCGCAGCCTGCCGGGCCGCCTCGAGAATGGAGGGAGAGTAGCCGCCCGAGACGTCGGTGCCGAGGCCGACCTCGATACCTTTTTGCCACATCCAGCGGACGCGGGCGGCGCCGCTGGTCAGGGACGAGTTGCTGCAGGGGCAGTGCGACACTTTGCTCCGGCGGAGAGCAATGAGGCTGGCCTCCTCCTCGGTCAGGTGGACGGCGTGCGCCAGGACCATTCTAGGGGTGAGCAGCCCGTGGTCGTCGTAGACCTGGGCGTACGAGCGAGACCCTGGGAACAGCTCGCGGACGAGCTCAATCTCACCCGTATTTTCCGAGATGTGCGTCTGGGCCAGGTAGCCGCCTTCTTTCTGCAGCTTGGACAGCGCCCTCATGCTCTCGGGCGTGCAAGACGGAGCGAACCTGGGCGTCAGGATCGGTGCGACGAGGTCAAACTGGGGGTCAGCGGCGCGAATGTGCGCAATGGTCTGCTCCGTGGCGCGAAGGGCGGCCTCGGCGGACGCGTCGCGGTAGTAGTCCGGGTTGATGCCGGGCCGGTCCATGCAGACGCGGCCGACAAAGGCGCGCTGGCCGAGGGCGAGGCACAGATCGGCCAGCAAGTTGGTGGCGTCAACGTCAATGGTGGCGTAGTAGGCGGCAGTGGTGGTGCCGTGAGCGAGGGTGCGGCGGACGACGGTGGTGTAGACCATGCGGGCCTTGGCAAGGTCCTTGAGGCTCGACTCCATGGGAAAGGTGTACTTTTCAAGCCAGTCGAGAAGTGTCGTCTTGCCAAAGATGCCCGCATTAGGATACTGAGGTGCGTGTATGTGAGTGTCTGGGCAGTCAGCACAACTACTCGGACAGAAATATTCGGCCCAACTTTTCAACATACCAATAAACCCGGGAAAGAAGAATTGAGATTCCTTAGTAGTGTGAAATTCAACGTCGTTGGCGTCCCAGCCGAGTTTGGCCAGAGCTTGCGTCTTGGCCGCCTCTACGCTGGCACACTCGCGTTCCACGGCAGCAATCTTGCCGTGGGCATCGACAGCGATGGCACCATTATGAAAAACGTCCAGCTCCCTGCGAGACTTGCTGTGGACAAAGGTGCCGAGCAACAGCTGGTTTCGCTGTTCAGGCCGCATCTAGATAGCAATTGTGGGGTAACTGTTGTCTTGGTGGTCAAGCGTTTCCGGCGTTGTGAGGAGCACCCGGTCTGCAGCGACTTGTAGAAGAAGATGGAAAGAAACGGTGATAGGATCCGGGTGAGTGCAATAATCTCCTGTGACCAGTGTTGTGTCAGTTGTTCGTCGTCGTCTGGTAAGAAGAGAAGTCTTGAATTTATAGAGCTCGTTTGTTGCCGAGGCTAGGGGCCGGATAAGTTGGCAAACTTTCGAGGTAAGATGAAAATGAATGAGGCGATGTCAAGCGATTGGTCGAGACGATAGATCGATGCAAGATAGATTGAAACGAGAAGCAAAAGGACGACCGGATTGGGCAGAGTGTCGGAGGAGGGAAAAAAAACGTCACAGGATGGTCTTGTCCGACACTGTGTTCCGACACCCACTCACTCACAGCACAAGTTCAAAGTCGTGGGGTCGCAGCGCTGACCAGTTTGCAAACGGAGAGCTGCCGACAAGCCCTGCCTAATGATACAACCTGATGATAGAAACTGCTGATGACAACGGCAACAAGATGCAAACTGAAAATTAGCCAAAAAAAAAAAGTTTCCAAGACTTCCATCTCCATCCGAGCCGACCCATTCAATCTGAGTAGCGCTCGTTACAGCCGAGCTATCAAGATGGCGGCGGATGGCGGATGGCGGATAAGCCACCCACAGTAACTAGGCAAGGTAATCATACTTAGTTGAGGAATAGCGCCATGCAATAACATGCCGTAGCGTCAACATTATTTACATGTAATATCTTGGCCTTGTTTTGACCTAACCATCGCCCGGAGCCGTCCGTGCCGCACATTTGCTGGCCGCTCCGCCGATCCTCCACTATCATTGCCATCGCCAGACCTCTACCACTTTGACCCAGCTTCATTCACCCAGCACTCCCTCCCTCCCTTCCTCCCTTCCTCCCACTTTACAATCAATACATCGTCTTGCCTCGGACTATTATCCGGGCCTCTTACTTGCTCTACTCGTCATACCCCGCGTTATCCACCAGCACTTTAATCTACCCAACTCTCCATGTGAACATGTGAACATGCACACCCACGTCATCCTTGCCTAATACGTCCAAATTACACATCACATTGCACCACTCATGTGCACAAAAATGAACAATCATCAAATCTATACTATATACTGATACTAAAAATAATCTATGGCAGACACACAAGTCTAACGTACCTGCCTGCTTTCATCGTCATGCTCTCTGCTGTACTGCAGCCAAGCGCTTCCACCGTTGTAGCTTTTGAAACAAATTATTAACAAACAATCGACACATCCTCATCACAAGTTTGCTCTTCGTCAGCTGAATCAAATCAAATGCCTCGACTAGTCAAACTATGCGTTCCCAATGCCCCCTTTGACAATAAACTTCATCATGCCCATTAAGCAGCCGCTCCGGGGCCGTCGTGCTCGGCGCTAACTCCGCTATCGCTGCCTGACTTGGCTTCGCCTCCGTCCTGCGTGATCTTGTCCCAGTTGGCCAGCACCGCCCCAATCTTGGGTGAGTTGGTCAGCTTGTACACATCCTCAAAGTATTCCTTGGTAAGCGCAAAAGGCTTGGCCGTTACGTTGGGAATGTACTTTCCGACCAGCTTCGAAGGGTCGATCGTTGTCTTGTTGATCTTCTTGAGCAGGAAAGATCTGAAAGGCTTGACACCCGATCGCAAGAACGTTGAGTGGAAAGGCACGTCGATACCCCGCAGCGGGATTGTTGCGAATCCGCGCTCTAGCTCCAGAGGAACGGGCTTCTTGAGAGTCGCCTCCGCGCAGCCCCGAATAATCTCACGCAGAGCATCCTTGGCTTCTTCGATGTTGCTACGCATCTCCTCAATGTCAATCTTCTGCATCTTGAGGAAGTTTGTCACTCCCGCTAGCGTGTCAAGAGCCCGAAGGTCACCAGCGCACACATACTGCATGTTGGCGATGTTGTAGTTGACAATCTCCAGCAGCCAGCCCGTTTCCTCTGAAATGTTATTCACCACAAACTGCAGAGCCTCCTCGTTGAACGTCTTGGAGATGCGGCTGGGATTGACAGCGCACATTGAGTAGTTAGAGCGGCCTGCAGCATCGCGCTCAACAGCAACTTGCATGGTAAGACCACGGTAAAAGACAACCGACACTAGACTCTCGATAGGCATAACATCGGCCAGAGCAGCTAATGCAGAGTATTCACCCAGCGAGTGGCCAGCAAAGGTGCTGTCGCGAGGCACGAGACCCTTGGACTTCATATCCTCAAAACTGGCCTTCTCCATAAGAGTCAGAGCAGGCTGAGTGAATTGAGTCGCCGACAAGAGACCGGTCGGCGAGCGGTACGTGTACGACGTCGTTTTCTCATCCACGTCCTTGAAGATTCTTTCCGACTTGATCGAGCCATCCGCAGCCACTGTTTCGAACGTCATCGCCATGTAGTTTTGACGAATAGCCTTGCCTCGAGGACCACCAAAGTGAATAGTAAGCTCCTTGGGGTTGTTTCGGACAATGTTGGTAATCGAGAAGCCGTAATTATCTAGCAGATATTTGTCGGCGCGATCCCAGACCTCCTTGGCCACGGGACTGCTATCGTACAGCTCCATTCCCATGCCCTGCTCTTGCGAGCCTTGACCAGTGAAGACGTAAGCAGTTACGGGCTGCTCAACCTCAGCCTCGCCGAGGAGAACCTTCTCTTCCGTTTCCTTGTTGCTGACCTCGACCTTGATGATCTTGCGGCCAGCTACCATACCAACGTGCTGCAGCTGGACCTGAATATCATCATTGGGCAGAACCATGCCGACAAGAGAAGCATGGAAGCTGCGGACACGACCGACGTTGTTCTCAGCAGCCCAGGTTTCGACAAGACTGCGGACGGCGGCACTAGAGTACATGCCGTGGGTAATGGTACCGGGGAGGCTGGCGTAGGACGAAAACACGCGAGAAACGTGAATAGGGTTGTAGTCGCCAGAAACACGTGCATAAGTCTCGTTGGAAGCAGGGGCGCGGAGCTGAAGAGGAGTACGGCCACTGAGGGGAATGGGGTTCTCAAAGTTGATGGGTTGATCCAAAGGAGTGCCGTGACGCTCAAGGTAATCAATAACAGGGTTGCCTTGAGAGTCTCCAGCATCATAGTCAACGCTAGCTACCTGAATGATTTCCTTGGTAGGCAGCTCGAGAAGAACCTCGCCGCGAGTCTCAACGCTGCTGAAGGAATCCTTGTTCTTGTAGCGCATCAAACTCTGAAGACGGAATGTAAGCGTTTTGCCAAGCAGGTCAAAGTCATTGGGCATCTCGTCAGTAGAGAACCACTCCTTGGAGCGCAGGACGGCAACATCCTTGCTGGTAGCCAAGTGAACCTCAACGGGAGTTTCAACCTTGCGCTGGAAGGTGTTCTCGAAGTCGGTATAAGCACCACGGTAGAGGAATTGGGAAGTAACTTCCATCACGGGTTGACCCTCGCGGGTGATGGTGCCGCAGACCTCGACCATTTTGCCGGACTCCTGGTTGATGACAGCGTTGATCTGGGCCGTGGTGGAAATCTCATCTCCCTTTTTCAGAGGCTCTGCGCCGGGAAGCATGCGAAAGCCGTTGGAAAGGTGAACAAGCTTGAGCAAGTCACCGTCAATCTTGCGAGGGAAAATGGGCTTGGTGATGGCCTTCCAACCAACGACAATGGCGAAGTCCATGGGAGCGTAGACGACCTTGCCAGGACGGTCAACAAAGGCCTCACCAGTGTTGCCGACAGCATGCACGAAGTCGTTGATGGCTTCTGCGGTGATGGTAGTCTTGCCACCATCAAACTTGCTAGTGACCAAGGCATCTAGATCCATGGGATCCTCACCGAACCACGCCTTCCAGTAAAACTCCTTGATGCGGTCGTTACGGTCGTCCATGACTTCACGAATAGGAGCGTAGCCAGCTTCGGGGTGGTAGGTGAAACGCAGAGGAAGACCTAGAGGTCGTCCAAGAGCTGTCGTATCCTTGATCATGTTGACTAGAATCTCGTTCTTGCCAGCAAACTTGACCTCAATCACAGTCACATACTGGTTATATCGCGGCTGCTCCTTGACAATGATCTCCGTCTTGGAAGGATCATTGGGATAATTGATCTCGACGAACAAGCCACGGTAAGGCGCAAAAATGCGACGGAGGGGGTTGGTCTGGAACTTTTGGCCTTGAACGATGACATCGGACATGAGCAGGGCATGGCGCCAGTTTCGGTTGGGGCCAGCAAGCAGCGACAGCCAAGCATCGAGGGGAGGCATGGTGGCACCCGCTCCAGAGGCAAGACGGTAAGTGTTCTTGTGTTCGTCATAGCTGACAGTCAGACCCTCAATATCGAGAGGTATCTCGGTCTCAACCAACTCGCCACCGAAGTACTCGATAGTAGGAATGGCGCTCTCCTTACCACCGTAGTAATCGCGAGTAAGATACTGTATGTGAGAGTTATGAATACCATCCAGAATAGACTTGACCGGCTCATCCAGAATAGTAGAAAACTTGACGGCGGTAGGACCTTGCAGAATACAGGTACGTCCAACGTCTTGGTCAATAACAGCATCGAGGTCCTCAGACTGCCAAAGGGAGTCCTTCTTGAAAAAAAACTCAAAATTGCCATCGAGAGCAGGAATAAAAGTCACAGGCTTTTGACCAGGACGCATGCAGAGAAGCAAGAAGTGCTGGACGTCCTGGGCATTGACGATCTGCTTCTCAGCATCGGGGTAGAAGGAGAGAATGCGTTTCACGGCACTGTAGGGTTCATCGAGTTCAGCATAGCTCTGTAGGTGCGAAGGCTTCCCGGGGGTGGTAGTGAAGCGCTCCTCAACGCGGTGAATAAAGTCGCCGGTGAGTCTGGCAAAGGAGGCGTCGATCCAGCGTTTCTGATGCTTGACGTAGAGGAGGTCAACGAGACGACGAACGATTTCTGCATACGTCATGTCTTCCAGATCGACAGCATTGCCATCCTTGTTGCAGCCGAACCAAACCTTCTGAAAATCATCATTGAGCTTTTTGATGATGTAGTCACGATTTTTCTTGAGTTCAGCAACACGCTTCTCCTTGGGCAGGGCGAAGATTTTTTGGTCCATTTCAGCCCAGAAACGAACACCGCGAGTAGCCAGCTTGTGGATGGGCTCGCCCATCTCAGATCGAACGGTAATAACACCACCAGCAGGTCCCTTATAAGTCTGCTCCCACTGAGCATCTTCCAGACCAGGGGCGTCAATGATGGCTTGCTTGGCGTCCTTGCTGGTATGGGCCTCCTTGGCGACCATCATGCGGCTACCGAAAAGGCAGCCGTCAAAGGGCATGGGGGGGTAACCGTACTTCTTGGACCAGTCACCAGTGACGTACGGGTAGGTGTCGTCGGCGCCTCCGAAACCACTACCAGCCACGAGAATGATGTTCTCCTGACGACGAATGCGGCCGTACATTTGAAGAATAGGCTGATGGAAATCCTCGAAAGAATGGTGGCCGCCGCCACGGCCGCCAGTCCATTGAAGCAGAACAGGGAAAGTTGGGTTGGCCTTGGCGATATTGATAACGGCCTGCACGGCCTCGACGGAGCCGGGCTTGAAAGCAATGTGCTTCAGTCCCAGGGTTTCGATATATTCTTGAGCGACTTCGATGGAAGGAACACCAGCGCCAATAGTAAGACCCTCGATGGGTACACCCTCAGCGCGAAGTCGGCCAAGAAGAGGTATCTGCCAAGCCATGGCTCGAGGGTTGACATAAATCAAGTTGACAGTAATACCACGGCCAGCGGGAATAGCTTTTTCAATCTTGTCGAGCGCCTGGCTCATGGTCTTGGCGTTGAAATAGCCGCCACCAGCGAGCTCAATGTGGTAGCCAGAGTTCATAGTAGCAGCGACGAAGTCCCACGGAACGGTGGCAGGAGTCATACCAGCAACCATGACGGGTGGCAAACCAAGAAGACGAGACATTTTGGTGTCGACATACTTTTCGCCCTTTGAATTCTTGACCAACTTTGGACCAAATTCTTTGACCCAATCGATGGCATATGTGATGGCGTTCTCTTCGTCTCTATCGAAGAGCTCAGGCTTGTATCCAACCGCATCAAGCGCGCCTTCAATGGCACCAGCGATGATGACGCGAACACCGGTACCCTCCTTATTGCGGCTAGTCAAGTTTCCGAGACCAGAAGCACCGCCAGGGCCAAAGTCGAGGACGTGACTGGCGTTAGGGAAAACAGTGGCAGTCTCCCAGTTGACAGGGTCACGGGTAATGAGGCGAACTAGGGTAGGAACGATGTTGCCGCTGACCTCGGTTCGCAGGTCCTTGCCAGTGTTTGTGTCGAAAACAGGTATACTCAAAGAGCTGCTGTCAATGACGATGTTCTTGAGGTCCTCGTCGATTAAAGCAGTGGCCTCGGTAAGGTACTGGCTGTGGAAGGGGGCGGTAATGGGCAGAAAGCGGTTCGCAAAGCGCACCTTTCGCTCTGTGTAGGGAACACGGGTCTGGTCAAGACCAGTGGGGGCCTTGACCTTGCGCAACTGCGAGTTGAGACCATAGAGCGATGTAGGGGGGCCAGTAACAACAAGATTTCTGGGACTGTTGATGAGAGAGATACTGATGTGGCGATTGGCGGGGAGGTATTGGTTGGTAGCGTCGATGTGCTTCTGGACCTCTTGCTGGGAGAGGTCGCGAATGCTAAGCATTGGCGTAGGGGTGCCTTCGCCGTGATCCATTGACTCTCTCAACATGGTAGGAGTCATGGAGGTGACGGGGAATGCTTGCTGGCTCCGAGTGCCAATCCAGAAGAGGATGGTGAGGGTGGAAGTGGCGATGTCGCGCCACGACTCCCAAGAATCAGCGGCCGCAGTGGCGGCGGCCATGACAATACCCTGGGAATGACCAGTAGAACCACGAAGACGCTCACGGAGGTGCCCAGGGTTGATTCCAAGCACCTTACAGGTTACCTCATAGTGTGCAAGCTGGACAAGTCCAATGAGGGGGAAGCTAACGGGCGCCGAAATGAGGTAATCGATGTCAGGAGTGGCTTCGGGGTGCTGGAGCCAGTTCATGATATCCAGGCCCTTGGGAAACGATTTTTCGGCGCTGGGGTCATTGGAAAGGGTCTGGAGCAACTCGGCGGAGCTCGTAATAAGCTCGGAAACGAAGCCAGAATATGTCGTGAAGATTTGGCGCAGCTCCTCAAAGTACTCCTCAATGTTACCTTGGCCACCAAAAATGGTATAGAGATCGGCGGCGCCATCATCGGCAGCGCGCAGGAGAGCGGACTCGTGAGGCTTTATAGTTCTATTGATAACGCTGCGGGCAGCATAGTAACTCTTGATAACCTCAAGCTTCTTCAACTCGATGCCGGGGAGGGTAGCAGCGACGGCATGGACCTCGTTGCCATGGAGAAACGCGCGTTCGAATTCGTTGAGAACAAGTTTGAGGACCTCCTCGTAGGAGCCTTGGGAGTCGTCCTCTCCGGTCTCGACCTGGTCGGCAACAAATCCGAGGTATCTGGCAACAAGCTCGGCAACTGATGAGGGTTCGTCGTCCTGAGCGAGCTCATCGGTTGGAGTTGGTAGATTCGCAGTGAAGCGCTCTTTTAACTGTGATGCGTGGAAGTGAAGGCTTGTAGGGATGAGGAAGGAGGTTTCAAGGATGCCGTGGGAGAGCGTCAATGGTCGTAGAGATGAGCTAGATCGCGGGGTGTTGATGCCCGTCTGGGCCCCGTTTGCTGCTCCGTACATGGTGGTAGGTTGTAGGTGATGGGATTAAAGGGTATCGTGTGAATGTCTGGCGGCGGCTGTACATTAGCGCTATGGAAAGGTACCAATTACAAGTAGCAGCACATACCTATTAAAGAACCCGTTTGCTGAAGTCGTAGTGATGGTCGTGATGTCTCTTGGCCCGAGAAGATGTTTGGGCCGCTCGAAGAGCACGGGATTGACAAACAGGGAGCTTAGTCGCCAGGAAGTAGGTGAATTATGGCGATCAATGCTCTCAGCTCGACAGCAAGCGAGTCTGTATGCAAAATTGAAGATGTGGAGGAGAATAAACAAGGTAGAAGGGGAAGTAGCAGAAAGAAAACACGGTGGGTGGGATAAGAAGTCTACTCGAGGCGGTTTCTCTCAACGTCCAGCCAATGTCGGACGAGACGGAAAAAATGAGGGCCACCTGGGAAGCTGGATTGGACTCCTGGTTGGAGAGCCAAGAAGCAGGCAAAGCTGGTGCCTACAGGTAATCCGCAGGGCATTCACAGGCGACGACGACTCATTACAGCGCTAACGAGCTCACTACGGGAAGGTGTGTGTGGCCTCGCTCAAAAAAAAAATTAGTTCTGTTGGGGATGCTCATGGTCCCTTTTTTTTTTTTTCGAGAAAGCTTTGGACGGAGGGGCAGATGTGAAGTACCGGTACATGCGCCACACTTGCAGAAGTTGCGGTTGGGGTTAGATTTGGAGCGCGGCGGAACGGCAAGCAGGGGCCGAGTCTAGCTAGGGCCATGCAATGTTCCCCTTGGCCCTATCAGAGGGGGCGAATTTGGTCAACCTGCAGGACCAGTGGTCCAGAGATTGTTGAAGAGTATGCGGGAGAACAGTCAATGGTGGTGATAAGCAGAGACGGGCCGTCTAGTTTAGTTGTCGGTGGTTTGTTAAATTTGGCTTCCATCTCTGGCGTGACCCAAGATGGCAGGCGGTGAGGCGTCTAGAAGAAGGGCCGACAGTGTCGCATGGCCTGATTGTGACGGGAGGGGCGGAAGAAGACGGGCAAACGGAGAGTTGGGCGGTTTGCGATATCTCCTGCTGAATCTGGTACGAACCTGGGGGCGATTGGTAAGGTAGTACAGCCATCAGTCAGGAACCGTGGCGTTGGTGAGGACAAGTTAAGATTATGGTCATCTGCTGTATCTTTTCCTTCGGCCTCGACGATTCGAATCATCTAATGTTGACGCTCTGCGTTGTCTGTTTTTTTTTTTTCTCTTCTTTTTTCTCTCGCTAGACAAGTGTGGTTATGAAGGCCTGTCAACGACACTAGTAGGAATCTTGGAGATTTTGTCAACTGTCACGGTATTGTATTGAATAGTTGACACCGGGCGGCAATCACCTTTGTAAATACCACAAGGATCCCGAGTTGCGCCAACCCAGAGACATTGAACAAACACAAGCATGGAATGAAACATGTCATGCATTAACAGTGCTGCCTACGGATAGCGCGAACTCTGCGACTCTCAAAAACTCTTGTCAATGAGCTGCGACCCCTTAGCCTCACCTTGTACTAGTACATCTCAGCGAAATTACGTAGTGTTGCTAGGTAAATACCCATCAATCGTCTTTCAGTGCTTGCAGGGGCCGATAGGGTGCTTTGGTGGGGCGCTGCTCCGTTCTGCCGGATAAAAAAATTAAACAAAAAAAGCCGTCACCTCGACGCGCCAGCTTCGAGGGCAGCACCTGGTATCTACGGAGTACTAAAAAATTCAATGTTCAGAGAGATTTGCGTCCATTCAGAGCCAGATACCTATATGAGTTTGCGCTTCTGCATCATCATGCCTAGAGCCTGTTGTTGAATTACATCACTTACTCCCCGTTGTTTACTACTATCAAAACAGCAACACCACCAACTCCCCTTTCCCACCAGTGGTCCGGCTTTTGACATTATTAGTGTGACAGAATACGCACTCTTCCCAGTTGGGCTTAGCTTCACAATCTGGTTGAGACGCCCTGCTGCAAGTGTGCTGTGCTAGCTGCTGCAACATCCCCCAATTTTTTCTTGCAGTCGCTTCAGCAGAGCTCTTCTTGGGGACCTCGATGTGGATCCCCAGTTCAACAATCCAAGCCCGCTGTGCTGCCAGTCCTCCGTACAGCCAGAGAGCCCAAGCCTGCCTGAACGGCCAAACTCCGTTTGGTCCCGTCTCGTCTCGTCCCTCCCAAAACTCTGCCTATCAAGCTGTATCCTGTCAGGTTGGACACTTTGTTGCTTTCCTGTAATTCTCTCATCCTACATCCTAATATTTGCATCACTCTTCTTCTCCATTCTCCTTCCTCATTGTCTATACATTCTTCTCTCACCAGCCTTAGGATCGCCACTCCAAAGCTGCCGCTCCAAGCTGGGTTGCGCGGGACCCTTCATTCTACCCTTCGAAAACCACATATACATAATCGTGGCATTGGCGTGTGCAGCTTTTCGCAATCGGTAGCAGTAACATCTGCTCTACACGGCTGCATTTCCATACACCTCTGATTTGCCAGTCGACCCTTACACTCGACACTCTCCTCAAAATGCGTCCCGAAGTCGAACAAGAACTCTCCCACACCCTGCTCATCGAGCTGCTGGCCTACCAGTTTGCATCGCCTGTCAGATGGATTGAAACACAGGACGTCTTCCTCGCCGAGAGGACGGCTGAGCGCGTTGTCGAGATCGGCCCTGCTGATACTCTTGGTGTCATGGCCAAGCGTACCCTCGCCTCCAAGTACGAAGCCTATGATGCCGCCAAATCCGTCCAGAGACAGATTCTCTGCTACAACAAGGACGCAAAGGAGATCTACTACGATGTAGATCCTGTAGAGGATGAGCCAGAGTCTGCTGCTCCCGCCGCTGGGTCTTCTGCCAGTGCTGCGCCAGCCTCCGCCGCTCCGGCCGCCGCCGCCGCCGCCGCGCCCCCTCCCCCCCCCAGTGCTGGCCCTGCGGCTCAGGTTCCCGACCAGCCTGTGCAGGCCGTCGACATTGTTCGCGCTCTCATTGCGCAAAAGCTCAAGAAGCCCCTCCTCGATGTGCCTTTGAGCAAGGCCATCAAGGATTTAGTTGGCGGTAAGTCTTCTCGTCCGAACGGCTCGATTTGCCCACTAATGGCTCCATAGGCAAGTCGACACTACAAAATGAGATTCTCGGTGATCTTGGAAAAGAATTCGGCTCCACTCCCGAGAAGCCTGAAGATACCCCTTTAGACGAGCTCGGCGCATCCATACAGCCTACATTCGACGGCAACTTGGGCAAGGTCTCCCAGTCCCTGATCGCCCGTCTCATTTCCTCCAAGATGCCTGGCGGTTTCAACATCACAGCTGCTCGCAAGTACCTCGAGACAAGGTGGGGTCTTGGTTCTGGTCGACAGGACGGTGCACTGCTACTGGCTCTGACCATGGAGCCTGCGGCGCGTCTTGGCGCTGAAGGCGATGCCAAGGCCTTCCTCGACGATGTTACTCAGAAATTTGCCGTCAACGCTGGTATAAGTCTCACCAGTACCGCCGCAGCTGATGCGGGTGCCAGCAGTGGCGGTGGTATGATGATGGATCCTGCCGCCATCGATGCTCTGACCAAGGATCAGCGCGCTCTGTTCAAGCAACAGCTCGAGCTCTTTGCGCGCTATCTCAAGATGGACCTTCGCTCCGGTGACAAGGCTTTCATTGACTCTCAAAAATCTGAAAAGATCCTACAGGCCCAGCTTGACCTCTGGACTGCTGAGCACGGTGACTTTTATGCCTCCGGTATCGAGCCTGTTTTCAGCCCCCTCAAGGCCCGCACATACGACTCCTCTTGGAACTGGGCTCGCCAAGATGGTCTCAGCATGTACTTCGAAATCATTTTCGGTAGACTCCAGACTGTTGACCGTGAAATCGTTAGCCAGTGTATCCGCATCATGAACAAGTCCAACCCGAAGTTGCTCGACTTCATGCAGTACCACATCGACAACTGCCCGACCGAGCGAGGCGAAACATACCAGCTCGCTAAAGAGCTCGGATACCAGCTTATTGAGAACTGCAAGGATGTCTTGAACGTTGACCCTCACTACAAGGACGTTGCTGTACCTACTGGTCCACGTACCACGGTCGACGCTCGTGGCAATCTCAATTACGAGGAAGTCCCCCGCGCGAGCTGCAGAAAGCTCGAGCACTACGTTCAGCAGATGGCCGAGGGTGGCAAAATCTCCGAGTATGGCAACCGGACCAAGGTCCAGAGCGATCTCCAGCGCATCTACAAGCTCATCAAGCAGCAGCACAAGATGTCCAAGACATCGCAGCTTGAAATCAAGAGCCTGTACGGCGATGTGCTTCGCTCTCTTGGCATGAACGAAAGCCAAATTATCCCCAAGGAGCCCGGCAAGGGCCGCATGGCTACGACCCTCAAGGGCAGCAGCAGCAATAAGGGCCGTGTTGAGACAATTCCCTTTCTGCATCTCAAGAAGAAGACTCTTCATGGCTGGGACTACAGCAAGAAGCTTACTTCTGTGTATCTCGACTGTCTTGAGGAAGCTGCCCGTGCTGGCGTTACCTACACTGGCAAGCATGTTCTTATGACTGGCGCTGGCGCTGGCTCCATTGGTGCTGAAGTCCTTCAGGGCCTGATTAGCGGTGGTGCTCGCGTTGTTGTCACTACTAGCCGATTCTCCAAGGAAGTCACCGAATACTATCAGTCCATGTACACTCGTTATGGCTCCCGCGGATCTCAGGTTGTAGTCGTTCCCTTCAACCAGGGCAGCAAGCAAGATGTCGAAGCTCTCATTGACTACATCTACGACCTCAAAAATGGTCTGGGCTGGGATCTCGACTACATTGTGCCTTTTGCCGCCATTTCTGAGAACGGCCGCCAGATTGACAGCATTGACTCGCGCTCTGAGCTCGCCCACCGTATCATGCTTACCAACCTTGTCCGACTTTTGGGATGCGTTAAAGCTCAGAAGGCTGAGCGTGGCTTCGAGACCCGCCCTGCTCAGGTTGTTCTTCCTCTCTCTCCCAACCACGGTACCTTTGGTAACGATGGTCTCTACTCTGAGTCAAAGCTTGCTCTCGAGACTCTTTTCAACCGATGGTACTCTGAGAGCTGGGCCAACTACCTCACCATCTGCGGTGCCGTCATTGGTTGGACCCGCGGCACGGGTCTCATGTCTGGCAACAACATTGTTGCTGAAGGCGTTGAGGCTTTTGGTGTCCGCACCTTCTCTCAGCAGGAGATGGCTTTCAACCTGCTTGGACTCATGTCTCCTACCATCGTTGATCTTTGCCAGTCGGAGCCTGTCTTTGCGGATCTCAACGGTGGCCTGCAGTTTATTCCAAACCTGAACGAGGCCATGACTAAGCTCCGCAAGGACATAATGGAGACGAGCGAGATTCGCAGGGCAGTCACCACGGAGAGCGCTATCGAAAATACCATTGTCAACGGAGCCGAGTCCGAGGTCCTTTACAAGAAGAAGACCATTGATCCCCGCGCCAATATCAAGTTTGACTTTCCTCCCTTGCCTGATTGGAAAGAAGAGGTTGCTCCGCTCAATGACAAGCTCAAGGGCATGGTTGACCTGGAAAAGGTGGTGGTAGTCACTGGTTTCGCTGAAGTTGGTCCCTGGGGTAACTCGCGTACCCGATGGGAGATGGAAGCTTTCGGCGAATTCTCTCTTGAGGGATGTGTTGAAATGGCGTGGATAATGGGTCTCATCAAGAACCACAACGGTCCTATCAAGGGCAAGCCTTACGCTGGCTGGGTCGATGCCAAGACTGGTGACCCCGTTGACGACAAGGACATCAAGGCCAAGTATGAGAAGTTCATTCTGGAACACTCCGGCATTCGTCTGATCGAGCCCGAGCTTTTCGCTGGCTACGACCCAAACAAGAAGCAGCTTCTCCACGAGGTTGTCATTGAAGAGGATCTTGAGCCATTTGAATCCTCCAAGGAGACTGCTGAGGAGTTCAAGCGTGAACACGGTGACAAGGTCGAGGTGTTCGAGATCCCCGAGAGCGGCGAGTATCTGATTCGTCTGAGAAAGGGGGCTTCGCTCTGGATCCCGAAGGCGCTCCGTTTCGACCGTCTCGTGGCTGGACAGATCCCCACAGGCTGGGATGCCAAGCGATACGGCATTCCTGATGACATTATCGATCAGGTTGACCCTGTCACTCTGTTCTTGCTTGTCTCAACTGCCGAGGCTCTTCTATCCAGCGGTATCACTGACCCGTACGAGTTCTACAAGTATGTTCACGTCTCTGAGGTCGGTAACTGCGTTGGTTCTGGTATGGGTGGTACTACTGCCCTCCGCGGTATGCACAAGGATCGTTACCTCGACCAGCCTCTCCAGAACGATATTCTTCAGGAGTCGTTCATCAACACCATGGCCGCTTGGGTTAACATGTTACTCATTTCTTCCTCTGGTCCCATCAAGACTCCTGTCGGTGCTTGCGCTACGGCTGTTGAGTCTGTCGACATTGGATACGAGACTATCATGGAAGGCAAGGCTCGTGTCTGCTTTGTCGGTGGCTTTGACGACTTTGGCGAGGAAGGCTCGTACGAGTTTGCGAACATGAAGGCAACGAGCAATACCATTGATGAGATGGCACATGGCCGCACACCAAAGGAGATGTCTCGTCCCACCACTACGACCAGAAACGGTTTCATGGAGTCCCAGGGCTGTGGTGTACAGGTTATCATGACTGCCAAGCTTGCTCTTGATATGGGTGTTCCCATCCACGGTATTCTCGCGCTTACCACTACTGCCTCTGACAAGATTGGCCGCTCTGTCCCCGCTCCTGGTCAGGGTGTTCTCACGACTGCTCGTGAAAATGCTGGCAAATTTCCTTCGCCTCTTCTGGACATGGACTACCGACGTCGCCAGATTGAGCGCCGCAAGAAGCAGATCAAGCAGTGGCAAGAGTCCGAGCTTGAGTTTATTCATGACGAGATCAGCGCCATGAAGGCTCAGCAGAGCGAGTTTGACGAGAATGAGTATGCACACGAGCGCGTTCAACACATCGAAAAGGAGGCTGCTCGTCAAGAAAAGGAACTTCTTCGCAGCATGGGCAACAATTTCTGGAAGAGCGACCCCAGCATCGCCCCTCTACGTGGTGCCCTAGCTACTTGGGGTCTTACTATCGATGATCTTGGAGTCGCTTCTTTCCACGGTACTTCCACCAAGGCCAACGACAAGAATGAGTCTTCTGTCATCTGCCAGCAGCTGCGTCATCTCGGACGTTCTGAGGGTAACGCCGTACTTGGTATCTTCCAGAAGTACCTCACCGGTCACCCCAAGGGTGCTGCAGGTGCCTGGATGATGAACGGCTGCCTGCAGGTCCTCAATTCTGGCCTGGTTCCTGGCAACCGCAATGCCGACAACGTCGACCCTATCATGGAAGACTTTGATATGATCCTCTACCCCAGCCGCAGCATCCAGACGGATGGCATCAAGGCCTTCTCCGTTACCTCGTTCGGTTTCGGCCAGAAGGGTGCTCAGGCTATTGGTGTTCACCCCAAGTACCTCTTTGCCACTCTCGATGAGCGCACATATGCCCAGTACTGCATCAAGGTGGAGGCTCGCCAGAAGAAGGCTTACCGCTTCTTCCATAACGGCCTCATCAACAACAGCCTGTTTGTTGCCAAGTCCAAGGCTCCTTACACTGATGAGCAGCTCAGCTCGGTTCTTCTCAACCCTGACGCTCGGGTCTCAACTGAGAAGAAGACTTCTGACCTCACATTTGCCGCCGACTTTATGAAGAAATCTGAAAAGGTTATTCCCTCTGTCTGGGCTAAGGAGACCCAGCAGGTCATGGAGACGCTTGCACGCAAGGTTGCCAGCCAGAACAGCAAGGTTGGTGTCGATGTTGAGGATATTGCCGCCATCAACATTGACAATGCTACTTTTATCGAGCGTAATTTCACTGCCAGTGAGATTGCGTACTGCAAGAAGGCCCCCAGTCCCCAGAGCTCATTCGCTGGTCGCTGGAGTGCCAAAGAGGCTGTTTTCAAGTCGCTTGGTGTCACCAGCAAGGGTGCCGGTGCCGCCATGAAGGAGATTGAAATTTCTCGGGACGAGGCTGGCGCGCCCAAGGTCTCGGTAAGTTACTGCCTCTGAAATAACCCGTTTTAGACGTAGCCAGCTAACAAATCATGACAGCTCCACGGTGAAGCCGCTTCTGCTGCCAAGCAGGCTGGCGTAAAGGACATTTCCCTGTCCATCTCGCACTCGGACAGTCAAGCGATTGCTGTTGCTGTTGCGAGTTTCTAAGAGATTTGCTGTACACTATGTTTTGAGGACTTTATTATTTGCATGATGAAGGGAGCGGCTACAATGTCTCGCGGCTAGAAGTCTAGAGTCGAGAATCGATGAGCAAATTGATTATAATAGAACCTGTTAATACTTTTACTAACTGTCACTCTTAATTGCCGGCCATATCCATGCACGTCGTGACTTTTGATATCGCTCCATAGGAAGTAACACGATATATAGCACAGCGCAGTAAACCATGACTCTAGCTTGTATGCTTTCCGATTTTTTTCTATTAATTTACTTTATATTTTGTCGCTTGCCTACGCTTGTGTCTAGTCAGCACAGTTGGCGCACCGCTCTGCCGTAGTCCGTTGATTATCCCAGAAAAAAAAGCGCCCTAACCCAGAGGCTGTCTAGATCCGCTGATGATGGGGTCATAGAGAGCAACAGGCCCCATGCCATGCTGCACAGTTCGTACGTAATCAGTCCTTGCTGTCCTGCTTATTCTCACTGTCCGCGACCACCACGACCTCGTCCGCCACGGCCGCCGCCACGGCCTCCGCGTCCCCTGTCGCCGCCGCCGCGACCGCCATAGTCGCCTCTTGACTGGCCGCCGCCGCGGCCGCCGCGGAAGTTGCCCTGCTGGTTCTTTTGCGCCTCGGTGGCGAGCTCAATGATTTCTTCGGGGACTCGTAGGTACTTGATCTGTAGAAGAAAGAAGTTTGTGGTCAGCAAGTATTTTCTCGGTTCGTAGGTTCGTAAAAATGCAAAGCAACGAATTGAGGTGAGGAAAAGGCGGTGCCATGTCTCATACATTGTTGCCCTTGACGTAGACCTCTGGTAGGCGCACAAACTTGTCTCCTTCCTGCAGGCGATAATTAGCAGTCTGCTTCTTGGACCGACACGACGCGCGCGCTCGTGAACCAAAGCAGCGAGTTGATGCATCCTTTGGAAGAGTCGCGCGGCACATTCAGAGGTGGCATTCGTACAGGACTCGTTTGGACAACTTCTTTCAGCGTGAGGTTCATCCATGTATCGCAGTTGACGAGATGTCCATTGAGCGTCTCCCCGTTCTTGAGCTCGACGAGCATGGGGTGGCCCTGAGCAGCATTTAGCAAGCCTAGGGGAAGCTGCAGGGCAACGGGCGGGTTAGCAAACTCTTAGGCGGTCTTGGAAGGATTTGAGAGGCGGGCGGTGGGATGCGCGCGGTGATTGCGTGCGCTGGCCTTGTCATGGCAGCATGTCCGTACCATTGTGGTTTCGTATCAATGTGTAACCGCGACAAAGAGGGTATGTTGGAATATAGGCTCAATGGCTCGCTGGCGGGCGTAGCTGCGAACGATGATGGAGCTTGCTGCTATTGAGGTCACTTTTGAGACCGTGAGGTGGTGGCACTGGTGGGCTGCTCCAGCATAGACTGAACCTCGCCAGATGCATTGCCCCGGTTGCTGCTTGCGGAACACTTCCGCGCAACGCTGGCTCAAAAATGATGTCGTCCCCTTTGTACCAATAATTATCAGGTTCCTCAACAACCTTGGGGGGAGGAAAAGAGCTGCGGGACAGTCAGAAAAATAGTCATGCAGCGCAGCACGATAGTTTACGACGGCCTCTGGCGCTGTCTCTGCCCTGCCTTTGACAGGACGCTCGTGCGGCACGCCGCGCGACTCCCAGCGTTTGCTCGAGCAGCCTCGACCTCGACGGCGTCGCGGCGCCATGTAAACACGACAGAAGCGCCGACATCCATCGATTCATTTATCCAAGACATGCTCAGGGCGGGCCCGGCATCGGGACCGACGCCGACGCCGCGGCCGACCATCGTGCTGACGAGCGAGACGCCGCCCAACGAGGCGATGCTGTTCGCCATGTCCATCGACGAGCTGATTGACCACCTGCACACGCTGCGCGGCCGCGAGAAGCCGTGGATCGCCACGGCGTCGCATGTGAACCGGCACAACCGTATTGTGCACATTGTCCGGCACCTGGTCGTGCGACGCCAGCAGCGCCTGACGGCATTTCTGTACGAGTGCATCGTGGACACGCTAAGCGACCCCGAATGCAGCGGCGTCGCGCTCGTCGCGCTCATGCGGGATATGGCGCAGCAGAACATTGAGCCGACGCGGGAGTTTTACAGCGGAGCGCTCGAGTCCCTTGCAGTACATCCCAGCTACGTCGCCATGCTGGAAATTCTTGAGCAGACGCGCGCGCGCGACTGGCCGGAAGACAGGCAGACAGTGGCGCTGGCGCTGCTCCGTGACGAGCAGTACGAGCTGGCCTACGACACGCTCATGGAGCTGCATGCGGGCAACACACGCGTCGCGCCGTGGGTCTACGACATTTTCGTGTTTGTGTTTGGCAAGATGGGCTTTGTGGATGAGATGATGGAGGTGCTGACGGCGCGGCTGTCGCTCGCGTCGACGGACGGGCTGGATGCGCTGCAGTGCTACGCCCTGGATATCTGCAGCGCCGCGTTTCACTACCCCGGGACCCTCGCCGGATGGAACACGCTGGTGCGCAGCGGCAAGGTGCACCTCGCCGACGGCATCGTGGAAAACGTGCTCAACACGGCGGCGCGGCAAGCCGATACGACGCTCGCCAGCGAAGCCCTGGACATGCTTGCGCAGCGCACCCGCGTGCAAGACTACCACTACGACAGCCTCATCGACGCCTTCATCCTCGACAACGACCTCGCTTCGGCGACGCGCCTGCACTGCATCATGCACACCAGCAGCATCCCCGTCAGTGAAGCTGCGGTGCAGCGTCTAATTACCGCCGCCGCCGCCGCCGGCCAGCGCGGGCGCGAGCTCAACGAGTGGCTGCTTGCGGCCTCGGCACAGAAGCTACTCGCGCCGCCGCGGCTCGTCCACGCCGCCATCACCCGCCACGTGCTCGAGGATGACGCGGAGCTCGCGCTGGAGCTATATTCCCGCTACGAGCAGCTCTGTGACGAGACGTGGCCGCCGGTCGAGGTGATGCTGCTGCTGCTCCCGCACTGCCGCGCCGGGAAACCGGCGACGGCGGCGCTGCGGGATCGGCTACTGGAGGAGCTGCGCGCACAGGAAGCCGGGGAGGCGCGGGACGCGATGGCGGCACGATTGGCGGCGGTGGTGGAGAAGATGCTGGCGGACGGGAAGACGGCGGCGGAGGGTATGCTGCTCAAGGAGAAGCTCGACGAGACGATGCAGCGACCCCAAATCGAACAATCCTAGTGACTACGATTCTTTGAATGGCCTCGCAATTTAGGTTCAACATGTGGGGGGAAAAGGCGAGCAGGGGGGGGGACATTGATTCACTGATTCACTGGATATGAACGTGAGTCAGGGACACTGCAGAGGCAGAAAGAGTCAGGACACTGCAGAAATGACCAGGATCAACAGCCGGCTTTTCGCAAAGGGACTCAAAGTATATAGAAGAGCCACCGCAACTTGCTCTGTATTTTTACTCCATCTTGACTGAAATAATCAAACATGCATTTTTTATTTTTTTTTTACCTTGCTTTTGCTCCGATGTCCGTGCTGCTCGGCTGTCGGTCATTTGTGGAACCAACGGCGATTGCAACGCCCACCGAACGACGGCGGTAGTTAGGTGTCGGCGTTGTCAGCACCCGTCTTGTCCGATTATGTCCGCGCTTCCGAAGCTGTTCAAGCCGAAAGATATTGGTGAATCGAATCTCACGAGCTAGAATCTGTATGAACTGTCCACGTGTTTTTTTTTTCTTTCTCCTTTTTCCCTACTGGGCCTATCTGGAAAGAGAGGGGGGAGGCCGGGGTTTAACGGAGGAATGACTGGGTTGGGGCGTTGGGGCTGCGACTTGAAGGCAGCAAGTCAGGACGAAGACGCGAACTGTTCTTTTTTTTTTTTTTTTTTTTGNGAAACGAAACTGCTTTTGAAAAACGTGGGGCCTTGGTCGTAGCCTCTTTTTTAAGCCCATCAACGAACGTATGGAATCAAACCGTACGTGAACATGTGTTCGTTCAAGCCCCCCCAAAACTCCGCAGGCCGAAGCGCGAGCAGAGTGCGCTACCTATAACTCTATATTGGGATTGATTTCCAAGCTTCGTGAGAAAAGAAAAAAAACCTCCGCTCTCGTCGCTAAATTGCGTTTCGCCGGAGATGGGGGGGGTTGCGTGAGCAGGCCTTTGCCATTCGCAATCAGCAGGCGAACTCTTGGGGTCTCTAGAGGCATGCGCACGCCATCAAGTTGTCATGTTTGCCAGAGAATTGCGTTTTGGGTGTAAGCCTTGTGTGCATTGTTAATGCAGAAACAGTCATGTTTGGGTTTGTAATCTATGCTCTGTGTGGCTTGCACTAGTTGGTTACGATTGAGTTGACGTTTCTGAGCTAGTCCGGACTCGTGGGTATGGCGTTAGTCGCTCGACATGACTTATTGTTTTTTTTTTAGAAGAAAAAAAAGGAAAGAAAAAAGAATCTGTTCATAGGTTGTTAATAAGCTGCTTGATCTACCTTGATGGCTGTAATTTACCAGCTAAAACGCGTCATGCGTGTCAAGTTGCCATGGTCTACCGATGCTTTGCATTGTCGTAATTCTCAACGAACAATTAAGCTTTTTTCCATACCGAGTTTTGCCAACTCTGAAACCTCCATGATTCCATCATAGCCAACACCAAAGATGAGAAGAAACAACAACCCATAATAAAACACTACTTGTTGGCGGTCAAAAGTCCCACATCAACCCATGGTTTGACTCAACTCTCTCTCTCCACTGCTGGTTGGTAATCCATATCATCTCCGACATATTTAGCACCGATGTGCCGCGACGCTAAACTATCCAGCCTTGTTCCCCCTCAAGACCCATATATTCGTCTGCACGGTTGTTTGGCCTGACTCTGTGCTGCTGTTAACTAGTTCAACTCCGCCGCTTTCTGCCAGATCCAAGCGAAGGGGGGGGTTGTTTCTGTGTGTGTTGGGCAGGCTGTTTCACGGTTGCCTGAAGATCCTTTTCTCAGGCTAGTTGCAGTTTTCTAATCCCCCCCCTTCCTTTTCTGTTCTTTTGGTTTGGATTTATAAGAATTCAGATGGAATCGTACATAGCGCCGCAGTTAAACTAATAAACTCCGCTGCTCGTGCCAACGGCGCCAACGCCATTCTGGGGCTCACAAGGCCATTTCCTCTTTGGGAAACTAAGGGGGGGTTTTTTTTTTTTTTTCATCTTGATTAATCAGATTTCACTGACATATCGGGGCTACCATTGTTAATTATCGCCTTCGCAGAGGTTCCATAGCTCCGTGCCCCGTCTGCCGGCCGAAACAAGATGGGGTTGCTTTAATGTATAAGTATGCAGGCCATGCCTCTTGTTAATAGATTCGTATAGATAATAACAGAGAATTGCATCCAACCCACTCTGCTCTCGACTGTTGGTTCCTCTGTGGACATATAGACTCTCTCTATCATCAACTCTTTGTCTACTGTGGACACATATACTACTTGTGCGAGGACTTTGCTTTCCAGGTTCAAGTGTGTTAATCGTTTTGGCCATACTCGGGTAAAGAGCATTCTTTTCTCGAAAAGTCCCCCTCCACCAACCAATACACAACAAAATGGCGGACATTATCCGCGATGCCGCCATCGGCCAAATCATCCGTTGGGCCACCAACAACCGCTACCTCCAGTATCCCGAAGAGAAGCCCGACTTTAAGCTCCCAGAGGCCTATGCCGCCATCCTCGACGGATCCTCCGCGACCACAAAACACAAACCGGTACCCGGCTCCTTTACAACCCTAGACGACGACAACGTCGTAACGGACAGCGATGATGTCGCACCCGCACCTCTTGCCCCCATCCCCTCACACCGCTCCGGCATCAACCAAATCACCGAAGCCGCTCTCGAAGCCGACCAACTGCACCGCGCCGAAAAGACGCACTCCCTCGCCATTGCGCCCCAGCAGACCAAGGACGGCACCGGTACCGTCCTCGTCGACTGGTACCGCACCGACGACGCCGCCAACCCGCACAACTGGTCCAACGGCAAGCGCAACGCCATTGCGCTCCTCATCTGCCTCTACACCTTTGTCGTCTACACCACCTCGGCCATCTACACCACCTCGAGCGCCGGCGTCATGCGCGAGTTTGGCGTCGGCGCCCTCGACGCCTCGCTCGGCCTCTCGCTCTACGTCCTCGGCTACGGCGTCGGCCCGCTGCTCTTCTCTCCGCTCAGCGAGATTCCCCGCATCGGCCGCAACCCCGTCTACGCCGTCACCATGTTCCTGTTCGTCGTCCTGTCCATCCCGACGGCGCTGGTGCACAGCTTTGCGGGACTCATGGTGCTGCGCTTCCTGCAAGGGTTCTTTGGTTCGCCGTGTCTGGCGTCGGGCGGCGCGTCGCTCGGCGACATGTATAGCCTAATGGCGATTCCATACGCCATGATGGCTTGGGTCTCTGCTGCCTACTGCGGACGTAAGTTTTGACGTTACTAAACCAACCCCCCAGGGACTATTATATCATCATCATCTTGCTGACTACTTTTTTAGCTGCTCTTGGTCCTCTTCTCAGCGGCTTCTCCGTACCAGTCATGGGCTGGCGCTGGTCCCTGTACGAGTCCATCTGGGCCTCGTCTCCCATCTTCATCCTCATGCTCCTGTTTCTCCCCGAGACGAGCAGCGCCACGATCCTGCTGCACCGCGCGCAGCGTCTCCGCAAGGTCACTGGCGATGCCCGCTTCATGTCCCAGAGCGAAATCGACCAGCGCAGCCAAAACACGACTGCCGTCTTCATGGATGCCCTCATCAAGCCTCTCGAAATCACCATCAAGGACCCTGCTGTCCTGTTTGTGCAAATCTACAGCGCCATCATCTACGGCATCTACTACTCTTGTAAGCAACAACCCTTCTACAACTTGTTTTTAACTCGGCAACTAACAACAGAAATAGTCTTTGAAGTCTTCCCGCTCGTATACCCCGTCGATTACCACATGAGCCTCGGCCAGGTCGGCCTAGTCTTTCTGTGTATCCTCATAGCCTGCATCATCGGTGTCGTCACCTACTTTTGCTACCTGTACTTTTACATGAATCCCCGCATCGTCAAGTTTGGCTTCGGCGCCCAGGAAGAGCGTCTCGTTCCCGCCCTCGGCGCCGCCTTTGGCCCGACCATTGGCCTCTTCCTCTTTGCCTGGACCGCCCGCGCCTCGATCCACTGGATCGTGCCCACCATCGGCATCACCATCTACGGCGCCACCGTCTTCGTCGTCATGCAGTGCATCTTTGTCTACATTCCGCTCAGCTACCCCCAGTACGCCGCCAGCCTCTTTGCCGCCAACGACTTCTTCCGCAGCGCCCTCGCCTGCGGCAGCGTCCTGTTTGCCCACCCTCTCTTTGGCAACCTCGGCGTCGCTAGGGGCACGAGCCTGCTCGGCGGCCTCAGCGTCATCGGCATCATCGGCATCTGGCTCCTGTACTTTTTCGGTGCGAGGCTTCGCGCGATGAGCAAGTTTGCACTCGCAGACTAAAGGAAAAGAAAATTAAAGAGTGACAATTGCTGAACAGAGCAAAACATCGGTACGAGGGTAATTGGCTAAAGAAGCATGTAATATAGACAGCGTTGCATCTAATTTATTTCAATATTAATACACAGGTATTCATTCCAGACCATCACCACTGAAGCCAATTGTTTTCATCGAAAAATAGTAGAAAATGAGGGGGCAGTGCTAAAAAGTCTCCTCCATCATGAAAGGTGCCTTGGCATCCCTTGCGCTACAACAACGAAGAAGCAAAAAATTCCGGACCGAGACCGCAAACGCCAAGCCCAAATACCACTCCATTCCCATATTACTTCGTCGTCTTTCTATATACAGGTTTTCCGCAGAACCAGATCTTGCCAAACACTCAAGTTCAACTCTAGAACTCAATTCCAGCCGTTGCCAGTCGAGCCTCCCCAGCTGTGGTTCTGATGCGTGTTGGTCGTAGAGCTGCCATGGAGACCATTATATCCATACCAAGACTGCTGCGAGTGTTGCTGCGAGTGCTGCTGCGAGTGCTGCTGCTGGTTTGGTACAGCCGAGGCCTGCTGCTGCGTCGACTGCGACGAGTACGACTTTTGCGACGAGACGCTGCGCTTAGCTGCGCCCATAATGCCGTGCGCTCCGTCATGGCTGCCGCTGCTTCTGTGACGCTGGTTCGGTGGATGCGCCAACGACATCGCATTGGCTGGACTAGTGCTTCCTCCATAGCCGTGTGTTCTGTGGTGATTGTCTGCTGCCGCAACATCGTGCCCGCGACTGGGCCATGAGGGCTTGGCGGCGCCAGCATGTGCAGGGGCCGACGGCTTCTGCTGGCTGAATGACCTGGGCGGTGCAGGATTGCGATACGCACTCGCATGAGGATCATACGCAACTCTCTCCGATGCGGTGTCTAGCAATGGAGGATAAGCTGCTTGGCTCTGGCCATAGCTGGTGTTTTGTCGATGCGCATCACTCGCGTACTGCGGCTGAGTTACCGATTGACCGTATGGATCAGCCGGAGCCCGGTCAAAGGCAAGCTGGTTGCGTGGTTGGGCCTCGTGTCTTCTAGGATTGTGGCGTTCAAGGGGACTCTCGTGTCTTTCGCGAGTGGGTGAAGCGATGAGGGCCTGAGCAGGAGTCGGTACACGGCCCATAGCCTTTGCTGTAGGTTTCGGCGCCCGCTGGGACCTCTTTAGGGCCGGTGCACCCACAACGGTACTGGCGTTGTTTGGCAGCGGTTCTTCCGGTACTGTTGTAACGGCCGGAGGATAAAAGACCCTCCCTTGAGGCAGTGCTAGGCCGCCTGAGCTCCAGTTGAGCGAGCTTGTCGGAGGGGTATTTTCGTATGAAGGTTGAATACTCGCTTCTCCAATGGGGCGAGAGCCATTGCCCTCACTATCTGGAGTAATTTGCATCATGTCTGCAATGGGAACCTGCGCAAAGGTCGATGGTTGGCGGGGTTCCTCGACTTCTGCGAGAACGACATCTTCTGTCCTAGGGACTACTGCCTCGCCTTCGGCATCCATAGTCTCCGACATGATGGTATCCTCATCTTCTGTCACAAGAGCAGCAGATTTCCTGGGTCTGGGTTTGGACGCTGGGTACTCGCAGGTCAACCCAGACTCTTGACACACAGTACATATAGGCTTGTCTTTAGAACACTGAACAACGTTAGACTTTCGTTTCAATTCCGTTTGTCTTTTCAACGTACCTTGGATTTTGAGAGCTTGCAGTTGAAACAAAAGACTCGTGATTTCGTTCCGGCTTTGGCTTTGCTTGGTGTCTTTGGCTTAGCAGTTGCTTCAGCGGCAGAGACACCGGCATCAGCATCTTCGCTCGCAGTATCGTTCGCAAGCCGGTTAGGACTGACAGCGCCGGACGCTATAGATTCGGCATCAGGCTGGCTCGGAGCCGGTCGTGGGCTATCCTTCTTTACTGGATGCACAATGTGCAGCCTCTCTGCACCGTACTTGACGAGCATATTCAGAGACTCTGTCTGCACTTCTGGCGACTGGTTGGAAAAAATGCTGAATTGACCCGCACTGAGCGTGGCCGGGTCAATGCCAGCCTCGGTGAGCCTCTTGGTGGCCGTTTCGCGCCGTCGTACCGCCTCTTCGGGCGAAACATTCAGCGATGCTGTGCTATTCTGGGCCGTCTCCGCCGCGCCATCGTTCGGAACAGTTTCTTCAGCTGTCGCTGCTGAAAGAGCTGCAAGAGCAACCTGGTCCGCAGCATCGACTGCAGACACCGACGTCCCATCGTCTGCGATGGGAACCAACTCTGCCTTTGAAAGCTGATTCTTTGCGCCTTTTCTGGGTCGTTTCCTCGGCTTCTTAGGGAGGGGCTCTCCATCCGGTCCAGTCGCGGCTTGTTTCCTGCGTGGCGTGTCCCTCTTCTTGGCCGAGCCGGGCGTCTTCTTCTCAGGTGCGACTCTCGGGGGCGGAGGTGGCGGCTTGAATAAGTCGTATTGCTCACCGACTGTCCGATGGAAAGGAGTGTGTGAGTAGTTGACGGTTATAGCACTGTTGCCTTTCGAAAAGCTGATCGTCACTGTTCCTCGACAGTCAAACGCAGGTCGCGCTGTAAAGGTCAGTAGCCGTCCGGTCGCCGTTTCCTATATCTCGATGGAAACTCACCTCGAGACAAAAAGTCCAGCTCCTTGTGGCTGTATTCAAGGATTGGAGGCGCCTGTGCCGCCGTGTCGTGCCGTGTCCACTGCTTCCAAGAGTGATTACAGACATACGTGATGAACCAGCCCTGCGCTTTGCGCTCTTCCTCAATAATCGACCATGTACTCGAGTCTATTTCTCCAATGGCGTTGAGAATCTCTCGCGCGACGGCTCGTTGCGTGGTAGGGTTCTGCTGCGGCTGCGACACCAAAGCATCGCGGGCGGAGATTCTGCTTAGGCTGGGGTCGACGTTGTCGTCGCCATGACTGTCGAAAATGGTAAACTGAGTCGAGGGTCCAATGTCGATGCTTATAATCATGTGTTCCGCTCGCGTTTCGGTCACTTTTCCCTCGTAGCCATCGCGGAAGCGGGATTGCACTTCGTCGAGGCTTGCACAAGCTTCTACTCGCACGGGCTCGTCATCCTCCGCCGCGCCAAATTTGAACGAGGCCAAAAAGTCTGCCATGGCGATTTTGTATCGACGGGCGCTCGGATCGCTGTCAAAGACTGGGAAGCAAATTGGGCTTCCTGGCGATGAAGCAGCCGAGCACTGACGTCCGGCGCAATTATGTTGGCCTCAACTGGTTGGCGCGCAAGTTCTCCAAGAACTTGTGTGTGGGGCGCGTGGCTCGACCAAGGCCAGGCGCGCGCCATCACGCTCCGCAGCACACGCGGTCCATTGTCCTTGCCTAATAATAATAAGTAACAAACAAGAGGTACCTAGATATATTGTAGCAAAGCACAGGTGTAATGAAAATGCCGGGCCGATCACTTTTATCCAGCCAGGAGTATCCGCTCATTTGATTTGGGTTTTTACTTTATTTTTGTTTCTCCTGATAACTTCAGAATTCATGTTTCTCATACAGACAGCTAACAACAAATGTACATCAACAACTCATCTGCTGCCCATCAATTATCTGCCCATTGCTCTATCCTTTCAATTATATCAGCTTTCCTTCCACTAGTGCTGAGGCCTCTTTCTGCTGCAACGTCCTTGAGTTGAGCAACTGTCATTTTCGAGATCGATCCGTCCCCTACGGCAGCTTTCACTTGTGCGGACGTCAGTTCCGACCCGCCTGGTTGAGCAGAAGCCGTCTTTCCACGCTTGGCCGGCCGCTCAGGCAGCTCGTCGTCATTTTCTCTCTTGACAGCTCTTGCTTCAGTGGTTGACTTGGCCTCTCTGGATAGAGTCTCAGACCAGTCTTCAAGGTAACCGCCAGCGCGTTTGCTAATGGCCTTGAACTTGGGCAGAGTAGCGTCTTCGGCCGATTCGGGCACTTCTTCTTCAAGAGCAAGAGCCTGAAGAATCTTGTAGTGCCACTGCAGCGATGGGTTGGGGTACTTGGTCGGGTTGTACATTGCCTTGGGCAGCTGCAGCTGCTGGATAATGGTACGCATTTGAGTTTTGAGATCATCCGAGGCCTGCGCCATTTTGCCGGGAGGTTTAATGTCTCTGAGATCATCTGCAAAGGGAAGAGGATATAGCCAGAGTCCAGCAGGTAGATATGGTGTTCCCGAGTCTTCGTCAGATTGTGGTTTGGAGGGCATAATGGCGGCCAGCATTGGATTCGCATTAGTTCGCACAATGCACCACGCGAGAGCCACCTTGTCACTTTTCAGTAGCTTCCCCCATAGCGCTGTGAAAACGCGCGTAGAGCCGACGTAATCCTCTTCGCTCGGATAAATGAAACTTGATTTCTTGACGCTGCTCCAGATTGGAATCGAGCGGCGAGACTTGAAGCCAATGATCCTGATGATAGGACTGCCAAAGTCCTTGAGACTCTTTTGTTCCTCGGGTGAAAAGTATACATACTCTCCACCGAATTTATATGCCTTCTTCATCTCGCCCTTCTCGACGGTTCGCGTACTATCTTCCGCGATTCGGGTTGTTTCACCCACTGCTAGCTGCGGCTTTTCACCGTCCAACCAAATGTAGCAGGTCCTCGCCGGGGCTTGTCTGTGAATGATGTTGTAACCCTTGACAGATATTCGCAAACCAGGTGCAATCTCGAATGGAAGATTAGAGAATAGCGACCGCTTCGGAGTTTGTTTTGAGTTGATGTTTGAAATGAGGGAAGTAAGCAGGTTGAGCCCATCCCCAGATTTTGAGACTGCGACTTCTTGAGAATTTGCTTCGGCCAGAGGATCCCGATATAGAATATCCTAGAGAATATATCAGTAAAGGACAACTGTTGAGGAATCAAAGGAGAGCATACATCGTAAAACTTGGCCAAATCAAATTTGGAGTCTTGATGCGAAATGGGGAAGAGATCTATCGACACGCCCAAATCATACAAGTCTTTGGCGCGCACAGCGGCGGCTGATCTGGCGGCTTTGTCTGTAGAGTGGGGGTTATCATTGTCAGTGACAAGAAACAGGCGCCGACTCCCAAAGTTAGCAGCCCGCGTTGTGAAAATTTGGTTGGCGCAGAATAAGACATTCGACATGGATACCGTTTCTGAAGTTGGCTTTATAATTCCGTCTTCATCCTCTTCGTCTTCGACAAGAGACTTCAATGCCTTGACATCGTCTGCCGATGGCACGTCCAGGTCGGTAAACAGATAGCAATGAGGGTATCCCAGGCCACTTCTGCCATTCTCATCAAGCTGAAACCTTGTCTTTTCGGTACCGAACAGCAGTATACCAATCATGTCCTTGGGATTGGATATAATGCGCTGCTCCATGAAGTGGTACGCACACTTCAAAGCAGCTTGAACGGGGCTATCCCGGTCTGCTTTCTTGGAGTCTGAAGGTGGTGGTGCCTTGAGCATCGACTCGCTGACCTCAATCGCTAGTAATACGGCATCTTTTTGCGCTTTGTATGACTGTGCGCGTTAGCATGATGAAAGAGGCTGATGCCAGTGAGTAAACACTGGAGGAACTCACAGTTTCGTCAATCTCCTGGTCACCCTCGTCTTCCTCAACCCCTCTCCAGTCTTTGCTGTCTGCCATTTTCGCGAATCTGATGGATCAGGTGAGCAGTAAATTTGAGAGCAGCAGGACATTGAGCAAATCAATGATTATTTCTATAAGAAGCTCAACGTGGACGAGCTGGCATAGTCGTGAGTGGGTCCCGGATGCTGCCTAGAGCGAGCTCTAGGCACGAACGCGTTGGCCAGGACCGAATTAAGCGTCGCGATCTAACACGAGATCACGTGCATGTCAGTTGATTATTCGCAGCACGGCGATTGGCCACCATGTCCGTTAGTAGTTACCTGGGCTTCTGCCCACAACAGTGCCTTCATAGAAGTACTTAGTAACAGTCTGTCAGCTCGGCAGTAGCCCGTCGGCTGGGTTGATCTCCGGAGAAGCAGCGCAAGCTCTAGATCGCTCGCGAGTCCGCATTTTACATATTTTTGTTTCGCAGCTCACATCGTGGATTTCAATTTTGCTTCTTCATCAGTCGCAATTGCAGCATAATGGCACTCCGTATCACCACGAGGCAGCTGTGCCAGAAACTTCCTAGAAGCAGCGCAAGCTTGCAGCAGATTGCAATTCAGAGACGGCACCTCGCCACTACGTCAGCGCCGCCAGTCACACAAAATGCCACAGGTTCCAAGGGCCCAACAGCGATGGTCTTCCTCAACATGGGCGGCCCATCCACCACAGCGGAGGTCGGCGACTTCTTGAGTCGCTTGTTCGTAAGCAATTTTTCGCACCGTGTTGCCGTCGTGTTCTAACCCGACCGACCTTCCGCAGTCCGATGGTGATCTCATCCCGCTCGGGCGACTACAAAACTATCTTGGTCCATTGATCTCTGCTCGCCGCACACCCAAGATTCAGAAACAATACGAGGCCATTGGAGGAGGCTCACCTATCCGAGAGTGGTCCGAACATCAATGCGCTGAGATGTGCAAGATCCTCGACAATATTTCGCCCGAGACGGCCCCTCACAAGCCCTACGTCGCTTTCCGCTATGCGAATCCCCTCACCGAAGACATGTACAAGAAAATGCTCCAAGATGGTTTTGGCGGCGGAAAAGGTGGTCGAGCTGTGGCGTTTACTCAATACCCCCAATATTCTTGCTCGACGACGGGCAGCAGCATCAACGAGCTGTGGAAGTGGCGACACAGACTGGAAGGCAACACGAGGGCAGAGACTGAGGGTGCGATTAACTGGAGTGTGATTGATCGCTGGCCAGTACATCCCGGCCTCGCCAAGGCTGTTGCGCACAACATACGGGCGAAGCTTGCCGAATATCCCGAAGAGCGAAGAAAGGACGTCGTCCTGCTCTTCTCTGCCCATAGTCTGCCCATGTCGGTCGTTAATCGAGGTTAGTATACACGAAGGAGAGCCGTGTATTTCCAGTTCTAACGGCGATAATAGGTGATCCATATCCTGGTGAAGTTGCGGCCACGGTCTATGCTGTCATGCAGCAACTCAACTTCTGCAACCCTTACCGGATCTGCTGGCAATCGCAGGTCGGTCCCAGTGCCTGGCTGGGCCCTCAGACTTCGGACACAGTCTCGAGCTACGTTGCTCGCGGTCACACAGATCTAGTACTCGTTCCAATTGCCTTCACCTCGGACCACATTGAGACTTTGTATGAGCTAGACGAGGAGGTCATTGGCGAGAGCGGCCACAAGGATACCATCAAGCGAGCAGAGAGCTTGAACGGCAGTCGCATATTTATCGAGGCTCTCGCCGATATCGCGAAGCAGCATCTCCATAGCGGCGACGCCTGCTCGAAGCAAATGCTTCTGCGCTGCCCTGGATGTAAAAGCGAGCGCTGTGAAGAATCGAAAAGGTTCTTCGCCCAAGGCCAAGGCCCTGTACTTTAAACAAAATGATTATCTTTCATGTATTATTTAGTCCTGCTGTATATAATATTACCTTCACTCGAAATCTTCAATGAAGTTGCCCTTCACCATCGCCCATGCTTTGCAGTGGGTGGATAGGCTTTGTGGACCGGCTCGAGACTGTCCTGTTTGACCTTATTCAATATTCCTTCAAGCGTTTCGGCATACACGTGAGTTTTTATTATATTTTTGGCGCCATGGTGTGTTCTTTAGATTTCCGAGTTTTTTTTCTTCCAGTCTGCTCAATAAAAAGCAAACATCCACCTCCGACGTTGGTGACCAACCCTTCCACAGCGGCTGGTGGCTTCCCACCCTATACCTCTCACGGCGTTGCTTCAACGCCTCGGCGACAGCTTTGAAGCGGTCGCTGATGCATGGCTTGACTTTGTGCAGTCTTCAGTTGTTGCATCTACTCTGTCGGGTACTGTCTGCTACCGTAGCGGACTTCGTTGCTGGAGAAGCATATAAGGCTGAGTGCGCGATAGCAGACATGGCGTTGAATCAGTAGCTCAAGATTTACCCTTGAAGCTGACATGAAATGGCCGAAACATCCATTTTTTAGGAGTGTGCCCTACGCACCGTCAGGGTGCAACATGCTACCGACACTCGCATCATGCATCTGGTCGGGCTCGAATGCGGTGCCGCGGGCAAGATATCCGTCAGCAATGGCGTCCAAAAATACGGAGCTCCTTCGTATCGACATGCATGGCTCTACTGATCTGTGTGATGTTGAGCAATGGCTGCAGCTCCCGCACGCAAGATGATGAGGTTCGCATACCATCGTGGTAACGACAAGCGCTGCAATGACAGCAGCTCGCTACAACACCAAGGCCACGACTCCACGAGTAGCTACCTATGTACCTACGGATAACTAGTGGACACTACTTCTTAGGTGGCTGGCTAGAGCGCCAGTGCTGGAAACGTGCTAGTAGTCTGGGGTAGGCCATTGAGTAAATAGCGGATGATCTTGTGACTGTGCAAAAAGTCAAATGTGCCAAGTTCGCCCGGGCGTAGCGTTGGGTGCGTCGACGTCCGTGGGCCAAGAGCGTGAGATGAAATAAGAGACGAAAAAACAACAGATCACAGGCGTCTTATTTGCTTTTGCATCGCCAAGTGCGGATAGGGCGTCGGCCGATTCTGCTTGGCCCCCTTTCCTGGAGGTGCATATTCGTCCCACTGTGCAAGAGACATGAGTGAAGCGGCCGAAAAGAAAAAAAGGAGACAACACATCAACTATTGCAAGTCAAGAATAAATCGAGTTTATGAGCTCCAAGGTGTCACACAACAGTGTCTGAAGTTTGGACAGGTCTGTGATCAGTTATTAGCCGTCTCAAGTGTAGTGGTGGGCCACGGGTAAGTGTGCATACACGCAGTTGACGTCTGCTGCGGAAACATTGCAACGTGTTACTGCATCCATGAAAAAAGTGAGCCCTGTATTTATTTCTTCATTCATAAAATGGGCGACTGAGATGTTGGTTCTACTCGGCTAGCCAATAAAAAGCTTTGGGCAAGGTCTCGGACAGAGAACTACCTCGATGCCTACCTTGGCCAGTACTTGTTTCTAGGTACCTACCTCTTATATTGCCGTGATCATCATTACAGACAAAGTGCTCTAGTTGCGTTGAGCTTCCATAAAAGAGAAGCCGACCCGCCCCCTGAGGACGCTAGGCCGTGCATGGTTAGCGCCGCACAAACCCCTTTTGCCAGGTGCCACTCTAATCAGGACCCAATAACCCCCGGGGCAAGGGCCCCAGCACTCAGCAGCCAGCACAAGCCTCCTACTGGCCAGTGGTCACACGCTGTGCGAAGCAGTTGCAGGCCAGCAAGGCACAAATTCCACCTCCTGTCCCCCAATTCATCCCTGACCCCCCAAAGAAAAGTCCCCCTTCTCCTCCTTGTCGCCAGCCAAACCCGCGATCCTCACGTCAGTTCCTTTCGTCGTTCTTCCGCCATCATCGCTACTGCCTCCCTCGTTTCTCAGTTGCGTGTTTGCGAACTCTTGACGCTTCTTCTCCAGGAGATCAATCTGGGTCTCCCAACCCGCCTTCGCTGTCACTTAGGATCTGTCATCCTTTGATAGGTAGGTAGCTCTCCCCAAACGCTTCGCCTCCTCATTCCTTCCGACGAAGCCATCGCGCAAAACAATATATTTCCTCTGGGCTCGTATCATTACGATTGCTCCCCAAACGTCACATCTTTTTGGAGTCAAGCCCGCTCAATTACGCGTGCCGTGACCCCGTTCTTGAAACACCATGATGACGCATGTCCACTCGTAATTCAGGAGCACTGCTAATCAGCTTACCAGAAGCCGTACTTTCCAACCATTCTTTAAGAACCGGTCGACCGCTCTTTATACATAATCATGGGTAAGACTCCTCTTTCTTCACTTGACACGCTGCTTCGCGCCAAATGGCAGTCGCAAAGGCAAAAGGGGCTGTTTCTGGGCCAAAACCGCCACGCGGTTGGGCGTACACATTGCCTGCAACTTTCCCGCGATTCTTCTCATCACCTCCCTTCGTTCAATTTTCTCTTGTTCCACGACTCCTTGGCCTGGCATCAACTTTTACAATCTACGATTTCTTGGCTTCGAATTTTTGGACGTCCGCCCCATCACAGCACCGCGGACTAGCAGTACTTTTTCTACCATGCCATTTGATTTTGTGCAGCAAGTCAGGTCTCGCACTCGAAGTCTGCAACTGGACCAGGCATCTCTCGCGGCGGCCAAAATAGACCTTGGAAGCCCAAAACCCCATGAGCCAAAACCAAAGCGAATTGCGAGCGTCTCAGCGGCATCTGGGCGTCCAAGTTCTCTAGTCGCAGTCGCGCCAAACGCTGCTCAGCCATACCGGAGCATGCTCGATGTGGATGAGCCGCCAAAGCTTCCTTTGAAATCAATGTCCTTCAGCGAGTTGTATTCTGGATCAATGGACTCAATCAGATTCGATTCTGACGGCGGAAGCTCAGACTTCGCAGAGGCGGCCACCTCAGCCTCCACTATCCAAAAACAAGGCAGTGGCACCCCCATCTGTCAGGAAAACCCAATTGCCAATGCACATGCCCTTCTCTATATATATAGTCGACTCTGCTGCTCTTATGTCGCAGCGCTTTACTAACATTCTTCGCAGCTACGAACGGCACCGCCTCCCCGCCCACGATGGCGCCCGCTTCTCCCGCTAACGGCAAGCTTGATATTCCAGCAGACTTCGGTAAAGGGGTCATCCCTTCTAACCCTGTGTCAGTAGATGTCTCTGCTTCTGCTGTGCAGGATACCAGGAACATTGTCAGACGCAAGTTGACTGGCTATGTCGGATTTGCCAATCTTCCAAACCAGTGGCACCGCAAGAGTGTCCGCAAGGGGTTCAACTTCAACGTCATGGTTGTTGGTAAGTCTGATGACGACTCTTTGTTGAACTTGTCTAACCCGCGCACAGGCGAATCTGGCCTCGGCAAGTCTACTCTCGTCAATACTCTCTTCAACACCTCTCTGTACCCACCTAAGGAGCGCAAGGGGCCTAGCCTCGACATCATCCCCAAGACCGTCACCATTCAGTCCATCAGTGCCGATATTGAAGAAGCCGGTGTCCGCCTTCGTCTGACCGTCGTTGATACCCCCGGATTTGGCGACTTTGTCAACAATGACGAGTCTTGGCGCCCCATTACCGACAACATTGAACAGCGCTACGATGCCTATCTCGATGCCGAGAACAAGGTCAACCGCATGAACATCGTTGACAACAGAATTCACGCTTGTGTCTTCTTCATCCAGCCTACTGGCCACTCCCTCAAGCCTCTTGACATTGAGGTCATGCGCCGCCTTCACACCAAGGTGAACCTGATTCCCGTCATTGCCAAGTCTGACACCCTCACCGATGAGGAAATCGCCAGTTTCAAGGCCCGAGTAAGTTTCAGTCATGGATAAGCTGTTTTCGCTCGTAACTCGATGCTAATACCACCTAGATCTTGTCCGACATTAGACATCACGGTATCCAGATTTTCGAGGGACCCCGCTACGAGCTTGATGACGAGGAGACCATTGCTGAGAACAACGAAATCATGTCCAAGGTCCCCTTTGCCGTTGTTGGTGCCACCAACGAAATCAAGACCCCCGATGGGCGTGCCGTCCGTGGCCGTCAGTACCCCTGGGGTACCATTGAGGTTGACAACGAGGAGCACTGCGACTTCGTCAAGCTACGCCAGATGCTCATCCGTACCCACATGGAGGAGCTCAAGGAGCACACCAACAACACACTCTACGAGAACTACCGTACCGACAAGCTTATTGCCATGGGTGTTTCCCAGGACCCCAGCGTCTTCAAGGAGGTCAACCCTGCCGTTAAGCAGGAGGAAGAGCGTGCACTTCACGAGCAGAAGCTCGCTAAGATGGAGGCTGAAATGAAGATGGTCTTCCAGCAAAAGGTTCAAGAAAAGGAGAGCAAACTCAAGCAATCAGAGGAGGAGCTTTACGCCCGGCACCGCGAGATGAAGGAGCAGCTCGATCGTCAACGTCTGGAGCTCGAAGATAAGAAGCAGCGCGTCGAGAGTGGTCGCCCTCTTGAAAAAGAGGGCAAGCGCAAGGGCTTTTCTCTGCGATAAACCGGCGATACTCGAGCCTAGCTCTAGTGACGACTTGCTCTCTGTACGACCAATGTCTGACTACCACGATGCCCTTTGCAGCACAGGCTCCACGCCACACATTTCCTTATATGCTTAGTCTTTTCATTACCTCTTCGGGCCCGTTTCCATTTTAATCACGACTCCGTATCTAATTTGTCAGCCGAAAATACCATTGTTGCGGGAATGGTTAGAAGGGGAAAAAAGTGTTTATACAGAATAGTCATGCACTGCCAAACATGCGCAAGCGGACGAGGACAACAGACAGGGAAAGCCACAAGCGATTGGGCAATGCTTGCCGAGGAAGGTCAAGTCGTTGTCTTTGATTTCATCATTTGCGCTGGACACTTGCTGCTTTGAGCTGTTGCAAAGATTGACTAAGATCTTGGAGGACAGGTTTGCTTTCATTTGAGGGTTGTCTTCTTGGCGAATTGGTTTTGTCCCCGACGTTGCGCACTTATGGTTTCCTTTTTATAATCTAGTACAACGAAATTGACTGTTTGATCAACACAATCTGGCGCATTGGCCGGAATCTTGTGTTTGAAAAGATGGGAGTTGAGTCAATGTACTATAGTTCTTTTTTTTTTGCCGGACAGGATGCAGTGTTTTGTACTGCGGTCATTCGTTTGTCATTTAGCTCTCTTTTATTCTCTTGTCATACAATTCTATTTTCCTTGCAGCATGAGTTGAACGTGAATGAGATTGAGTCAAACACACCTAGGACAAGGAGCGTCAGAGCAGTGCGAGGCAATATATATGAGGCAGTGTTCTTTCTAATTCTTTTCCAAATCAAAGAACGGATCCTTGCAGACTAATGGCTGTGATCCGCTGACTGATGTTCGAAATAGAAGAAGCTAAAAAGGAGAGGAGGTAATTTACTTGCGACGCAACACCCGAATGTTTGCATATAACCATGAAGTCCGATATTCGCCAAGATGAAGTGACAGAGAATAAATAAACAATGAAATACTAGAGGGAAAGAATGGCCGTTGCTGTGCGTCACTCCACTCTGCCCGTCTTGCAGACCTTTTCTTGTGCCTGCCTGCCTGCCTGCCTGCCTGCCTACCCCTCCCTCTATTCACCTCTTGCGAGCATTCTTCATGAGAAAGGCGCCGACGACACCGGCGGCAAGCCCAACGCCGCTGAGAATGGCAACACCAATCAACCCTTCCTTGGAGACGCGGTCGTCGATGAGCTGGCGGAGGTTGGAGGCCTGCAGGTTAGCGGGCTCCCGTTCGAGGAGCAGGTCGTTGTAGCGGCGGGCCTCGCCGTAGCTGCCGAGCTTGTAGTTGCCGAGGGCGAGGTAGTAGAGGCACTCGCGGCGGCGCTCGGGGCAAATGCGGAAAATGTCAGAGAGGAGACGGACGCCTAGCTGCTGGTCCTCGCGGTTGGTGGACTTGACGAGGCCCTGTGGAAGGAAAAGGTTAGGCGATTGGATGGAGGAGGGCATTGAAGAGAAAGGGAGAAGGGAAGGGGGGGGGGGGGGGGGGATGGACGCACCCAGGCGTAGTTGAACTTGGTTTGTATGCCGACCATTGTGCCTTCCTTTTCATATTGTGCGCGTAGGACCTTGAGCTCGGCGGCGTTGAGCGGCCTGGTACGGGTTAGTATTGGATTTGGCGACGGGGGTTCGGAGTCGGCCGGGTTTTCGGAGCGGGAAGAATGCCTGTTGGTTGGACTCACGTTTCCGCATCCAAAGCGTCTAGACTTCTGCATTAGCGATGTTGAATCCGGACGACGGCCGGAAAAAGCTGGCGGAGGCGCGCCTGTTTCCCGGTGCAGAAGCAGCAACTCACATGGAAGCTCGGTAACCATATTGGCGGCGGCGGCGGGGGGGCTCTCGGTGTGTGGCGACGAGGGGGCGCAGGTAATGTGTAGGTGTTGTTGTGTTGGCTTGTGGGATCCAAAAGGTGTGAGATATGCTCGGTGGGGGAAGGAGTTTAATTCCGGGACAAGTGAATCTATGCGTTTGCGCGGATCGGGATAGAATGAGGTCGTGGAACCAGGACAAGCCGCGCGGGAGGATGTGGCAGTTTTTTGGGTTAAAGACAAGACTTGGAGGAGCAAAGTGTGGCGGGTGCTCGGCCGGTTGTGGCGCAGATGACGTTGACTGTATCCACTGGAAACTTGCTTCACCGTGACAAAACCGAGCCTGGATGATACAAATACGTGCCTTTATGATGAGACTTTTATAAATCGTGAGCTGCAAGAATCACATCAAAATGAATGCTGTTCTCAAATCCATATTCATTTAGCTGCGCTTCTTTCTTGGCCTGCCTAAATTTCAAGAAACCCGTGACAAAACGGCCTGGTGAAAGTGGGTGGGGCAGCAGCGCGAGGCAAGCCTTTATTGTCGCCTGGCCGACGCTCCGCTCTGTTTAGTCTTAGCAGGTTTGCTGCCGAAAAAAAAGGTCCCCCACAATGAAGACCAGTGTCTAAATACCTACCTAGTTAGAAACAACCCACCACAAGCTTTACTTCATCTCCGACACAGAAAGACCGAGATAACCGGCCGAAAAAATACAATCAACAAACGTGCCAAAGCCTTTTGAAACCCCAAAGATACACACAACCAGCGTTGCGCGACCGTTTTGTCGCTCGATATACGCCAGCCATGCTCCTCTCTGAAGATCCCGCGACCGTACGCCGTTCCTCCCCCTTTACAAAACACCACTCAACTCCTCAAAAAAAAAGGCAGCCACTAACTCTCTCTCCGTTCTCTCAGCTCATCCGGCACACGATTGAAAACTTCAACATCCACCCGGACAAGCTCGCCGTCTCGCGCGTGGGCGAATCCCTCTCCACGCTGCAGCAAGCGCGCGACCTGCGCCTCCGCGAGGCCGAGTCGTCCCTGAAGCAGCTCGCGCGGCAGCTCTCTACCATCTCGCAGCAGCAAGCGTCCCTCGCAGCGGCGCACGCGGCCGCGGACCACGCCTCGGTCATTTCCGACCTCGACACGCACAAGTTTCGCACGGCCAAGGCGGCGAGCGACGCCGAGGCCGAGGCGGAGCGCGTGGCGCTGCAGGCGGCGGATCTGGCGGCGCGGCTGCAGGAATTGGAGCTGCAGGGGGTAGAGGGGGATGTGGGTGTTGGTGGTAGTGGTGGGAAGAGGAGGGATTTTGTGGACGATGAGGTGTTGTTAAGGTTAAAAGTGTATAGGAGCTTGGGGATTGAGATTGAGAGGGACGAGGAGAGCGGGGAGTGGGCAAAGGCGGTGATTCGGAATGATCGAAAGGGGGATGTGCATGTGGTGAATATGGACAAGAAGTTTTCGCGGTATTTCTACGCGAATTACTTTTGGAAGACGTTGTGAAGAGGAAGAGATGGGGGGTGGATGAGGAGAAGAGGATGTGGGAGGCGTACATGTATGTTTTTTTTTTCTTGGGCGTGAAGCGTTGAATACTGTTTTAATAGGTTCTGGAAATACCCTCGGTTGATTATTGATTTTTCATTTCTACATAAATTTGCATTTTTGAGATTTTGGTCGAATGATGGTCGTGAATATTGTGTACAGTTGCAAAATGCTATTGAATAATACAAGACTCGGCCTATTTGTTGCCAACCCGCTCATAGTGTACAAAAAAGTGTCAATTCATAATGTCGTCAAGGCTCATCATCTCATTAATAGTGCTGCGTCGCCGATTTCTTGGAAGCCATTCTGGAAGCCATCTTGGGCGACATGACAAGCGAGAAATAGCCCTCTTGAGTCAAGGACGGGCCAAAGCCGACGCGAGTCGTAGACGACGTCCTGGCCCTGGAGCTGTTTGGTGAAACGGGGCCTGCGGATATCTTGCCGGTGGTGGTCTCTGGGCTGCGTGTGCGGCGCTTCATCATGAGATAACCGCCTTCTCCCGGCGTGGAGGCACCGCCTGCCGAGGGCGAGCGGTGGTGGTGGCGGACGTGCTGTCTGTCGGGCAGCTCGAGCCGCGAGTTGATGGTGGTCCAGATGTCGTCGTCGCCAACGCGCCAGCCGCCAAGGCCCTCGTAGTCGCGCTCGGCGCCAATACTGGGCGTCAAGCCGAGGCCGACGTCATTGACGGGGGTGACGGAGCCAGCGGCGGCGGACAAGATGCTCACGGAGCTGAGGCGGCGATGGTGGTGATGGTGGTGGTGGCGGCGGCGCGGACGTAGGGCAAGGTACGAGGGCGTGGGTGAGGGCGGTTCGCTGCGGGCGGCGGCGGCGCGGTGCAGGCGCGAGGGCACCTGCAGGCCATGGAGGGCGCGGTGGACATAGGTCAGGGCGAGGTCGAGGTAGACGAGGATGCCGCGGCAGATGAGGACGGAAAAGGCGAGGGTGGTGGTGACGCCAGCAAAGAGGGCCATGGGGACGGTGACGAGGAAGAGAAACGGCACAAAGAGGACGTAGATGGGATTGAGCAGCGCCATGACGGAATGCAGAGGATGGTATGTGAGACGGCGCAACGAGGAGCGAGGCATGGATAATGGCGCACAAAAAATCGAGCAGGATGTTGGTTTGAAGGGGGCTTGCGGGGTGTAAGCGAGATCTCTTGTCCCGTCCCGCTTGCCCGATGCAGCGCTGCGTCAACACGAGGCTCTGAGACAAAAAGATGGAGAGGAGACGAGCAGGGATTTGATTGTAGCCGAGATGTGACTCTGGGAGAAGAAAAGGTGAAAGCTATCTACGTGCGGTTATATGCGCCGTCACGTGTATGGAAAGAGAAGTCGCCGTTGGAAGCCAGACAGTAGTAGGGGCGAAGCCGAGTGTTGGGGCCATACAGCGAGAGTAAGGGCACTGAAGAGACGTGATTGACGTGGAAGGAAAAGAAGAAGAGAGAAGAGAGACAAAAAAGAAAGAAGAGGGTGGTGAGGGCGATGCAAGCGCGGCGGCTTTGCTTTTTCTATCAGCTCTGTTATCTGGGGGGGTAAGCCGTTCTCGAACGTCCCCCCGCTCGTGTCGCTTGTTGCAGGTGGTGGTGGTGGTGCAATGATAGTTAGTGGTGGTGTGGTGTGGTGTAAATGGCGTGCGCGCGGGACGTTTCCGGGTTCGATGGAGGGGGGGAGAAAGCGGGATCGGGTAAATATGGGATGAAATGATGTGTCTGCCAGCAGTTTCAACGTCTTTTTTTTAACCGGATTTTTCCAGGGTTTTGCTTGTTGGTGTGGCGAGATAGAAAAAGCAGATAATCACATGTCAAGAAGAGCGACGAAAAAAAAAAACGAGGCTGAGAAACAGGGAAAAGAACAATGGCTAGCGCCAGAATCGTGTGGGCTGCAAGTGCTGGCAGGTCTGGAAGATCCTAAAATACACCCTGTCAGGTCGCATCCTTTGGCGGGGTCTCATCGCTGCCGGACAGGGGGATTTGTGGGCGAGTTGCCGGGACATGCAGGCCGGCGGATCCAAGTGGCGTGCCAGTGACATGATCCGCGGGTATATCAGGGTGATTTTTGATGCATTAATTTGTGCTCTTGTTATACATTTTATACATGCATTTTTGCCGTCACTGACTCTGTTGCTCGAGTAGTTGATGTTTAGGGTAGCATCACGACGGGGGTTGAGGTGGCTGGACAGCATCCACCCGGCTGGATCAAGCATCACTTGATCAATGAATATCAAGTTTGAGCCTCGAGATAGTCTGGAAAAAAAGTAACAATAGAAAACTACGGTCTCGAACTTTGGCCATTCGGTCGGTCGAAAAAAATGACGAACATCATCAGCTACACCGCCCGAGAAGCAATCATTGAACCAGTGCCGGGCAACTAGGCATACCAGATGAATTCGAGCATGCATCGAATGAAGCTGACTTTATAAGATGAAAATTCTAGACGTATTCCCTTTGATTCTGATTCCTTCGATTTTAATAATAATCGTGTGTTGTGTTGCGTTCTATCCATCCCTTGCACTGTTGCCAACACTGGCAGACATCTCTTACATGCACGATTTTCATCTTGCACCAACAAACGCCCACTGCGTGCCATATGCACCTCCTCAAGACGCCTACGTAAACACCGTTGAGCCGGCACCTTGACCGCATGTTTCAATCCATCTATTACAACACCTCTTCTCACTGCGAGTGTTGCCTCTCTTCTTCACCAACACCATCACCATGCCTCACACCTCCAGAGAGCTCCACGCTAAGCTCGCCGTCGATGAGCAATCTGGCCATGACCTCTTCGCTTTTGAACCAGCAGTGAGTCAGAGATTCCTTGGTTTCATTGGAAAGCTTCCTCAGGAGCTCTTACTACAGGTCTTGGAACTTCTTGACCTACAGTCCCTTTTCCGCCTTTCACAAACGTCCATCGGGGCCAGACACTTGGTCTTGGACTTTCAACCATGCCAAGAGATTCTTGAGCATACTCCAACCCTCCCGCAAACCCTTGCGGAAGCCCGACTTCTTTCCAGATACTCTGCACATCAAATATTCCGCCAGGTTATTTGTTCCGACAGGTGCTCGTCCTGTGGCCTCGTTGGCGAATACATTTTCCTCCTCACGTGCGAGCGCGCATGCCTCTCCTGCGTCTTCGACACGACCAGCTTCCAGGTCATTGAGAAATCTCTCGCAGAGTCCATTTTCCAGTTAAACAGCGAGAGAATCGCTGCAGCCCCCGCCTATTACTGCGCGCAGCGGAAGCTGAGCTTTGTCCGCACGGATGAGATGAAGGAAATCGCCGCAATGGCAAATGCCCCCACTACACTCTTTGCAGCCATGGGACTGGACATGTTGTTTATTGCCTACTGTTCACAGAGGATCAGTCTCACGATCGTTTTTATCCCCTCTCCGTCAGAGGCATGGCCGGAAGGCGGCCGACAGTGCGGCGGCTGCGTGAAGGACAGCCATCTTACTCTGATATCCCCTTTCGATCCGAGGAGTCCACAGCTCGAGTCATGGGAAGAGATTGTAGACAAGCCGATGAGGCGCTACTCCCGGGCTGAGTTTTGGGACCATATAGAGCACTGTCGTCATGCTTGTTGACTGCTCGGGGAACGGAAATGAGTGCGGATCGGGCGTCTATTGCTGGTAGGATGGAGGGTCCAGGTTGCGACGAAATCTTTGCTTTAAAATTTGGCGTCCATCAGTTGCAAACCAATCTTTTTTTCCAAACTTTATTAGCTTGCAGTATTGTTGCAATAACCAAATGTGACCATGTAGTTCATGAGCCGGCTTACCCTGAAAATCGCGGGGTCGGCCCCGTATGTTAAGAATGTGGGATTAATGATGTGCATATTCTCCAAGTCCATACCTACTATAGTCTAGCGTGACGCTAGTAGCTTTTTGACCAATCAGAGGCCAGAGCCTGTCACGGCCACCATGACACCTATCGCGTGCCCTATGTTTCTTCCATCAACAACGACAAACTTCACATCAACATCAACATAACAAGACGAATCACTCGATAGTCTCACTCGCCGCGAGGCTCCAGGGCTTCCGGCGGAGGCAGCCAAAGCAGCAGAGGCATCCAACGCGACGGCGGCAGCAGCAGCAGCAGCATCGCGGCTCGAGGCGTCAATTGGCAGCCATGTGAGAGCTTGTCAATTCGTCGATGGCAGCCTCACCAGATGCAGCCCTCTCATTAGCCCAAATCCATGTTGGACCCGCTTCTATAGCTAGATCAGCTAGTGCAGGCTCCATCCTGTTGCATAAGGAGAACAAGCAATAAACATCAGCCAGAATCAAACCCGTTGATACGTACGTATTATCCCCAACGAAACCAACAATTGTATTGCTAGCTAATTTTCATTCAATATATAATCAGGTTAACTAATCTTAACAAATCAAAATATACAGGAGTTTAGCCCTTTCAACTCTGCGAATCAACAAGCGCATCGTGATGAAGAAGCGCATCTAGAGCCACGGGCCGCCTGGATAGAGCATCATAAAGGACACGACGCCGGCCTTGATCCCGTCCAAGAGACGGGAAAGACACGCAATGGCAGTCTCGGCCCATATATACCGCCTCAGGTGCTATTAGTAGGAGTTACCGGAATTACCGGATTCGGTCCCACTGCGAGGCCAATAGAGGTCTCCAGCTGCAGCCTCCACCACTCGACCTCCTCTCGGTTGCTCATAAAGGTAATGTACCCAGTCGGTTCCGTGTTGTTGGCGGCGAATACATTATTATCGCCCGTGAGAGAAGTCCGGATAGAGGGAGCGCCGGTTTGCGCAATGGGCTGCTGCCACTCGTCGCTCAACAAGAAGGACGCAAAGAGCTTGGCGCTCTCCGGGCGCGGTGTCGATGCAAAGATGCCTGCCAGCTGAGCCCACGTCATGAAGCGGTCGGGCGGCGCCGGCCTCTGCACGAGCAAGAATGATGTCGAGGGAGTGAAGCCTCCCAGGCCGGAGAATGTCAAGACTCGAGAGCCATTGGTAGCGTTGTGATTGCTGATGATGGTGCCGGTGGCGGCCGAGGCTCCACGAACCCATTGAACATCCTGCTGCAAGAGGCTGTCGAGCCACTGAAAGCCGTAGCGCTCAATGATGAGTGCAAATAGATATAGAACGCCATCATCGTCATTTGGGTACGTCAGCACAATCTTTCCTTTCCAGTAAGGATCCAGCACATCAGCATAAGTCGTTGGTACTCTCTCCTGTGGGACCAGGTCGGAATCGTAGTAGAATGGACCGAATTGATCTAGGTGGTGTTAATAATCCTCATCACATTTTTTTTTTGCCATTGTTCTCGACATACTGAAAGTGACGGGGAAATAAGCACCGTCAATGTGCTTGATGGCAAGATTAATATCATCGAAATTGGCTGGCTTGTAGTGCAAGAGGCGGAGCTGCTTGTCCCAGCGAGCAAAGTCCTGCACCGTTTGCAAGATGGCCACATCAATAAATGGGTTGCCTTCAATGTAGCTGCGGTCAATTTTGGAATCGGCATATTTTGATAACTCTGCGGTAATGTTGATCTCCACGTCTGGGAATCGACTGCGAAACGCGTTAAGCAATGGTGCAGCTGCCGCCTGAGCTTTTTTATTCTTTAATGTCAGTTTTTCTCTTCTTGTTAAATTTATGGGGGCGGCGAGGTTTTGTGGGAAAAGACATACAACTACCACCAAAATAGACATTGAGGACTCCGGATTCGTTTCTCGCGGCTTCGTAAATTTCGTCGATGGAGCGTGTATCCGTCTCCGTACCGCTGGCGTGGACGAGAGATTGGCCAGCCGCCAAGACGGCATACAGCAGCTGCTTGTTGATGCGCATTTTCTAGCAAGGATGTGGATTTTTAATCAAGGATAGAGAGTATTGTATGTTTTATTGCAAAACAAAGTCGTTGTTCCAATTGTCTCAACCGACTGCAGACTTTCATCTTCTATTTAAATGAATCGACCAGCATAAGAGGCGTTGCACTAATTCACTTATCCATCTACCCGACGTTCAATGAACTACCTTTCCAACTACCGAGCTGCCCACCTATTTAGGTTGCCTCCACCTGTTTAGGTTATGATAAAGTTCAATCGCGATTGAAGTCAGCGATAACCTGTCCCGGATCCACCGAGTTGACTTCCGAGCTGGGCTTTTATTACCCGAGCTTTCGCTGAAGTGGGCTTATAATTGCGACATATTTCAGGGAGTTGTAGAGCATACTGCGCAAAAGCGCTAGTTATGATTTTAGATTAGGTTAGGGTGTGCGAAGCACGCTGCGTAAAGCGCTGGCAAAGCTGGTTAGAGATTCAGGTTATACATACATAGTGAGGATTCATGTTAAATTGTGTTTATGTTGCCAAGTACTATGGTTCAAGCGCTGCTACGGATAATAAAGCTCGCGTAAAGCCTAGCGTAACCACGTTGCCGCAGCTTGATTAGCACGATTAGGTAGGTTGCCCACGTGGTTGCCCCAGCAAGTCTGGTGGAGCTAAACCAGCTGAAAACTGAATCCTGACGAAGCCTTTGCGTACGCATACCCCCAATCGGGATAGATAGATTCGCGTCAGACGGCATCACCGGGGCTATAATGCAAACCACAGAGACGTATAACTCTGTAAATGGTTAGAAATTCTCTACCAATCCTCAGCCCCATCCATAGTATTGACTCTTTTTTTTTTTTTTCCCCTCGTCAGGACTCAACTTCTGGGGCACAACCCCATGCCAAATGCAGTTGTTCTAATAAGCGCTACAAGTGAGGTTGCGGGAACGTGGTCCTAAAACGGCCCAAGTCGCGTCATTTTGGACCCTTATTCAACCAATTTCGGCTAAATTGCCTCCCCAAAATTATGAATCGTATTATCGTGTTGAAGTTGGGGGACGCGCGGCGCTACACCAAAACCGTCACCGCCCAAATATGATTCAGTTGTTTACAACCTGCGAAATAGCATCACGCCAAGAATACATACCGAAAATCAGTGCCGTAAAACGATGTGCCCCTTTGGAGTATAGTCTGGCCTAGAAGGTGCGAATTCTCCCTTTTAGGTCATTTACAAAATATCTGCCCAATTTACCCCCGAGTAACTTGATAAGTAATCATTTTCTATATGCCTTTTGCTTTACACATCCGCACATTAGCGTTCTGGTCTCGATCAAGAGGTTCCATCATCACCTCGTCTCTCCCGGTAAACTATATGTACAAGTAATACTGGCTTCAGTTATATCTTTGCGGAAGACTGACGTCCCCCCTACCTTGTGCAGTTATGTAGCACCTTGGAGTTATAAACGATTTCTCGATGCGGCCTTCTGACATGTATACCTCGAAATGCTTCGCGTGGCTTGTGTCTCAGTCGGAATTATTGTACTTTCAATATAGAGCCCGAGTATTGTATATCTACCTAATGAGAAGGTATGTATCAGAAAAGAAAAATTCTTAGCGGAAGATAGAATCCCGTGGCGGTACTTGACTTGTTCAACTTTCTTGGTGAGACCATGTAAGTCAGTAGAGACGATGAAAAGATAGAAAAGCGGGGGGTTTCTTTTTCTTTCTTTCTTTTCTTTTTTTTTTTTTTTTTTTTTTTTTTTTTTTGGTTCATTTCGTTGAACG